GAACAAGCTTTGTCAAATATTTGCACCAGAATACTTGACAAAGCTCCAGTTGCTTTTCTGCCATTACAATGTGCGAGCCGCAGGGTCGGAGTGTGTGCTCGAATAATTCATACGGTGGATTCCGACGATGCATGCGCACCCTCAGAGCATGCAAGCTGCCTCTCGATTCCTCTCCTTTCTGTTGTGATTTCGCTGAGGACTGCCGCATAATAGCCCAGAATTGTTTCAAATGCTGGGCTCGGTACAAGCCTAATTCAACCAAAATTTTCTCTTATTAGTTCACTTCCAACAAAAAATGAATACAGCCATATTTCCATGATGCAAATGTGTATTCACAAGGAGTGCACATGAACATATATAGTAGGATGACGGTATGACCAAGTCCAATCATAACGAGATATATGATTACAATCTAACCAAAACGGATTTTGTGATTCAAAGATTCCAAATATCTACACTTCATAAATAACATTGTAACCACTAATTCAAACATCTCCATCAATCTATACATCACCTAGATTTGACAAAGAGCCTTTGGAACTCTTATAAGGAACCCCGGCACTTATCTGCAGAAAAGTGGTCTTCATGGCTCGGATATTCATTCATCCTTTACTGCTATTTTCGAATAGGACAGTCTACGGTTTCAGTTTCCCACAGGACAAATAATTTCTGCACTAAATCCGATGTGTAGGTGACCTTATCCAATATTTTATCTTTCATCTATTGAACGATAAATTAGATAAACTAAGCAGGATGGATATTTTATTATAGGACGACCACATCATTTATTATTTTATTTGTAAATCCAATCAGGATCCATGGGTAAAATAATCAGGATTCGTTGGAAAAGGCTTCGAAGGCAGGTTGTGGCTTCCAGCAGCACACTAAGCATTGCATCCGACACAATGAGCACCCAGTTGGTAAATACATTCACTTGTCGATGCAAGCTGGGGTATAGTCTCAGATAAGGGACACAACAAAGGTTCAACACCCCATTAAAGTTGCTGTCGTTGATACTCTGAGCATTGACATACCTTCCCAATGCACGTGTTTGCGAATCCTTTCAGTAGATCTCGTTATCGATTTAATATCAAGCGGCTTCAGAGGAAAGCGGAGTAGATCGAGTTTCAGGAGGTTCTGTAATACTGCCTCCGACTTTCAATTAATCGCTGTATTTGATTGAGTCCCCATCCGACTTTCCATCGAGGTTCTCTCCATAATCCCATCCGGTGACGCTCGAAGCAAGTTTGCAAAAAAAATCGCTTTCGTAATTAACTTCAATTGTTGCAACGACATGAATGACGAGCAGTACAAGATTTCTGAAGCATTTTTCAGCGTAAGTGCGAGACAGATTCTGACTTGAATTTTCGTGAAGTACTTGCAGAACAAACCGAGTTGTGAGATCATCGAGTAGTGCGAGATTCGCTGTTCGTGGCGTCCTGAGGTTGCTACTATCCTCCACTAGAATGTGCACCGATTATAAACCAAAACCGATCGGAAGACCCCATCAAGTCGCACTGGGATGAATCCAAACGGGCGACTACCCCGAATCGGGAGCAGTCATGCAAATGACATGTTCTCTCAAACACTTGGTTCTGGCACGTACACTCTGTTTAATATTTTCTTCGGCTGTTGCATGGAACCATCCATTTTGACGAACGAGTGTTCTAACTGAAGGTCCAAGTGATGGCCAAACAGATGTCCAAGACGGAGCGTGCACAGAGTGCTGAAAGTGATATGCAAAAATATGACTATTCAGACGAAAGGTCTTCTCTGCGAGATTTCTGTTTCGGCCTGTCCAAGTTTCTAATCTGCCTTCATCTCTTGTCGGTCGGAATAGCAGAGTTTACTGCTCGGTAGAAGGATTCTGATAATGAAATTCCGTTTGTCTTGAGACCGAAGGGGAAGTGGATGCAACGTGAGCCCTTCCAACAAGAAAAAAGTGAACCTAGCTTCTCTTCGCAAGTTCTGGTCAGATCGCTTACACCCCCAAGGACCATCTACGAACGCCAGATCTCATACAAATGTCACAGAAAGTGTGTAGAAAGAGAAGACTGAAGTGAAACTGCATTTCGAGGATTTCAAAATTTTTCTCAGTCGTCGGCAGTCGATCTGAACGAGTCTCAAGGACATTGAATTCGAGCATACTTACATTGAGCACGCAGTTTAATTGGGAGAGTGGCGGTGGTGACAGTGAAATCGCTCGTAGCAAACCGTGCCGTCGAAGAGGAAGTGGGAAGGCCGTATGTGGCCCGCTATAGCCACTGCGACGTTAATCGGGAGGATCAAGTGGTCAGAACTCATATCGGCATCGACATTATGTACAACAACGCTGCGTCCCATCAACGAGCTGAAGGCCCGAGGCTTCGACAGCCTCGAGGGGCACGAAGCACGAGCTCAGGGGCAGCATCATCGACTCCTGGAGCACTATATCGCTGCCTATATCGGAGGCTCTTCTGCCCCTCAAGCATGCCCTCACCGAATACACTCGCTCTGCGGCTTAATGAGCTCCGCAAATTTCAGATCAGAGTGAACGGCATCTGGTCTGGAGGTGCAATCACTCACTCCCTCCTGCCTGCATCGAGAGACTTGCTCACAAACCCACTGCTCGATCCGAAGCAGAACCACCACGCCCGACAACATCGCCTCGGTCACTCTGTTTCTGGCTAGCGACGACTCTGCTCATGTCAGTGGGCTCACTTTTGTGGTGGATGGAAATTAGTCAGTCGTTGAATCGTTCCGCCGAGTTTAGCTTCTCATATTTACGGTAACAGAGGAAGGAGGGGATCATGGATCGGGGCCCCTGGTGAAAGCAATTCCGAAACACTTTCCATTCAGTGGCCACAAGAAGTGTGACAACAACTTCAGACACCAAATTATGTGACACAAATCTCTTTGATTCATAGAACAGTGGGACAACTTTTGGCGAAGGGATCGGTTGCAGCGAGAACGAAGACAGAAAGGAGCACGTAGGCGATCTATGACTTCCTCAGCCTTCGTGATAAAGGTTGCTCGTGTGTTGCCCTGTATGCACCAAATTGCAATCGTCTGTTGTGTGCCCACTCAGGCTCGAACGAACATTACATTTCCGTCAGGTCCCCACATTATCTCTCTCCGCGTGTATGGCATGGGGGTTTCGCACTCGATCATAATGCTTGCATTTGCTCATAGATCGCTCGAACTTTCCCATCATGTTGCTGGGTTTTGATAGAATGCCTTTTCGATCTCTGTCAACGACGTTGCAGCTTTGCTTATGTGCGTGTGAACGAGTTCCTCGGTGCTGCATTAGACAGACAAGAAACACTTAATGCACTTCAAGTGGCTCATTTTCTACCTCTTTCATGGCTATCAAGCTAATTCTTTGATGGTTCAGAGATATTACCAACTTAGAACATGATAGCAGGTATTCCATGTTACAGTCATTCTATCTCCTGCATTGCACTGCTGGGAAGCAACAGGTCCCGAAAATCATCATACACTAGAAGTGGCCCAAGGTGCATACATCCCCAGGATGAGTCTGAACACAATATCTACCTGAACTCTCTTTCTTTCGTTTCTGGGCCATTGGACAAACCGACTTTGCGAACTTTGCACATCGAACACGCTGCAGAGGGTACCACTTTGCGAGTTGGGCGATAAAACCGGAGAGAAAAGCGAAACCCACGGACAGAAAGCTCCACAAAAAGTGGAGCAGACGAAAAGGCTAACTCATTCGAGTTTGTTGCAATCCTAGACTTACTAGCAGTTGAAAGATAAGGTTACATGCAGTTTCTGTAGCACGAACAAATTCCATCACGCGGAACGATCGACGATGCACGTGTTATGAACCAACCCGTTCACTGGAACGCTAACCCAGTGAACGGGTTGGTTCATAACACGTGCATCGTCGATCGAATTCTCGTCCACGTCGATGCAGAACTCTTCTGAGGTTCAGAATTCTTTTGAGGATACATAAGTGTGACATTTTCTCCTCACCCCTTGAGGTAAAACGAGTTATAGGCTACAGTAGCCGATACCTATATTGCTTAGATTCAAGTTTGTTCACCAAGTTAGCTCGTTTCTCCACGCCAATCAAACCCAGGGCTCACTGTTTTGCGTCTTGCCCCTGCTTGTGACCAGGAACCTTGGTTTTGTCGACCAAATAAAGTACAACATGATATTCTGCTAACGTTGACAGTCACGCAGGCGGACATAGCTGCTTAAAGTGCACCCTGATGGACTGTGGACTTCAGTCCACAGTCCATGTTGACGAGAACTTGACTCTACTCTCCAAACAGTCTTCAATTTTGCTGTAGTAAATGTGAGGTTGTTTACTCGCACACATCATCCCAGACTATCGAGCAGAACCTGGCTCGATGGCTGAAGACGCCTGCAGTACAGCATCAGAGATGTGTAGTAAGAGTGAAAATGAGGAAAGAATGGCACACCAGAACTGCTGCTCAGAGATTATGTTCTCAAGGTACTACAGTCGTGCCTCTACAGTAAGTTTATGAGCTCTCCCGACGGAACTCACTAGTGTCACTAATTATGATCTCTCATATACATCATCGTGATTCTCTGAACATGAATCGCAAGAAAGAATACCGCCAATTGCTGTGCATCTACTTCAGCCAAGAGTGAAGGAGAGAGATGCACAGCAGCCGAATAGCCAACAGGTCAAATTTGCAGAATTGCGGTTCATCCGAAGGATAATTTTATATGTGGAGTGTTACTTGTAACTCAGACCAGACAAACTGATCAGAGTGGAAACTGATTTTTTTTTTCTCTTTGAATGGAGAGATGACAAATTTTTAACATGTTATAAATTCGGTTGCGGTGATGGTACTCTTATGACGAAGAATGAATTTACGATCTATCACAATCACATCAATTGCTCGTCAGGTTTCAGAGACATATTTCACAGTCAATCTGGACATTGCATTGCAGACTCAGTAGAGCAAAAGAGTATCTACACCAACATGAAACCAGAAACATGAAATTGGATGCAACATGTATGTGAACGGTAAAGTTGCTTTGGATTCCATTTTGGTTAAACCAAGCAGTGGATTCTAGTTTGTCATATGTTTCTATGATGAGACCATTCTACGAGACCATTCTTTGGTCCATGGTCGTAAATGCGAGCAGAGGAGATCAAAGTTGATGCTCCCTTGCTCATCTAAAGAAATATAATTTACAAATGCTCTCTAATTCTCCTTCTCCCGATGCGACCTCCGAAGATAAAAATTTACACTAATCAGATGATTTCTAGTTATTGTGAAGCTTCATTGATCATCAACCGCGACAATTTTGTCTCCAATTGACAGCCTCCTTCTTCTTCAGAGCTCCTTCTAAATTGCGACGAGATACTCTGAGGGTGGCCCATTCCTGCAGCGGCGGACTTGTCGTCAAAATGCTGAGCCAGGGCAAAGAGCGATCTCAACCGACGAGCTCGAATTTGTTGGAAAGAGAGTTGTCCTCTCTTGCACGAGATGTGGGACTGAGACGAACTCAGTTGCTGCTGAAGCTGGAGCTGCAGGTGCTGCTGCTGCTTGATCAAGTTCAGCAGGCTAGCGACCTTCCCACCGGAGCTCCGAATCACATCGAAACTCGCACCTCGTATAACCTCAAAGTCGAGACCCCGATTCTTCTCGTCTCTGCTCGCCCCGCCCGCGCCCATAGCTCTGGGGCTGCGCACGGATTTGCTCCGGCCCTTGCGTAGCTCGAATCGCAGACGAAACGATTGCGGCGAACGGGAAGAATGCAGCGATTCCATCGATCCAGGCGCAGAATTACAACACACCGCCACCACCTTGCTCAAGAGAATGAATGTCTGAATCGTCTACACCGCCACCACCTTGCTCAAGAGAATGAATGTCTGAATCGTCCGGCGCGAGAATGTCTGATTGAACTCTTGAATGCGATCTCTGGAGCACGATGACTGACAGTCGATGGAGCATGAGAGCGGATCCGGTGGCCACCTTATAGGAATGCGCGACGGCACGATCCGATCCCGCTCCCTTGCCTCATAACGCGTCGTGACGCATACGACCGTGACGTCTCGGCTTCTCGGTGGCAAGGTGGCAGTGCCTCGTCACGAGAGCCGAAAGCGACGCGCGACGAGTTGCAGCGTCGCTTTCAGAGTTGCAGCGGCGGCAGCTGTAGAGGATGCGATTCGGGCCCATTATTTTATTAGCATCTTATTCTAAGCAATGGCATATTATTAAATACGCCTGGACCTTCCTTTCCTGCGACGGTAAGATTATTCGCCCTGCACGCGTTGCTGCCTCCTGAAGTCAGCTCCATATCCCTCCAAGGCAGAACGAAGAGCCCCTATTCTCTCACATGCCGCACAGGGGATGACACAGAAGATCTTCTAAAAAATTAACTCGCGGGTAAATCAAAATAAAAAAAATAAATCCTGATTCGATTTCTTCGGGTCTACTTCGCCTTGTGGAGGCGCAAGGAGCCAGGCTGACTTCAGGAAACTTCCTCGACAGTAGCCTTTGGAACATGTGTTCACACATTTGACAGGACGAGATTTATTTTGAGAAAGCATTTGGAGAGAAGAGAGTGAGGATTTTTGGTCAAGCAGGAGTGCTCTTTGAAAACTATGTGCACTATTGAGTTAAAGAACATGTCTTCTGGAATTTTTTGTTCTATGACGCTGGTGCATTGATAATTTTGGGGATTGAAAATGACCATCATTTTTCATTTCGATTGCATCGTAGATTCGTAAGTGGCATTGCACGGTCCAACCGGTGTCACAGCCTTGCACCGTGGACAAATACATATACATTAAAAAACGATATTTAGGTGGCCTGCCAAAGGGAATAACTTTTCTTCCGCTGGTTGTGTTTATCGTGTCCATACGTTTGGCCTTGAACGTTTCATTCCTACTTCCCCGGCATTACTCAATACTTCTGTGTGGTTCCTATCTCCGTTTGCTACATATATATAAATAAATAAATAAATAAATATCACTACAATAAATTTCTAATCTCATTCTTTTCGATAGTCATAATTGGAAACTTATCAATATACTCGCCCTAGAGAGTCAGTCCAACCATGTGCTCCTAATATACTTGCAATCAGCTGTCTTCTGTCATCACCTAAAGTATATTCAACATTAAATGGCCTTGAGGATGATATATCATATACCCTTTCAATGATGATCTCCTCAGAGTAGTCAATCACTTCTCTTATGTCTTCAGGTATTAGTCCTTTGCAACATCCACCACTTTAAGGGGCCGTGTAATCCAAAATCAAAATGAACAAGGTGGTCTTTAGGAAAAAACATCTGCCATTAAAAAAAAACTAAGTCAATAAGTGAAGTCTTATCTGAAGGTCAAGTCGCATTTAGTGCCTCCAGCGAGCAGATTCTAAAGTCTGGTCAACATCTGTAAATGGATCTGCAGTCAGTTCAGAGGCAGTCAACGACCTTCGATGTGTTCTTACAAAGAACATGTGAGCGAGACAGGTTGGACACAGCGATGTGTGGAGAGGCTGGCTATGGGCAAGTTGGTCATTGAGCGCGAGGAGAAAGCTCATCTGGCAGCAGTGTATGGAGTGGCATGGACGAACAGCACGTAGAATCTCCACGATCGTAATCGCATCCATGGGCAAGGCGACCGATTGTCGTTGTAAATGAAAAGCAAGTGTGTGCAGACTTGCGTGCTGACCTTCCATGTTGACTGTCGATCGATCCTTACATAGGTACGGACGTAGCACAGAAGGCAAACATGGGCATAACCGATGACACCATAACTCGTGGGATATTGACCTTGACCAAAAACAAAACAAAACTTTCCTTTCATGACGAACATTGAATCTGTCTTTTGTCACAGTGCTTTTTCTCCCGGACGATCTGCAGACTCCGTGTCCAGAGTTCAGATCACTCTTGGATCCCTCGACCTTTTTGGGATGGGGAAGCTGATTCTACTCTCATAGCCTTGACCTGGGACCGGGCAAGGGTCTCGCTCGATACCACCACTCGTCCGTAAGATACGCTGTAATTCTCACCTTCTTGTCCAAGACAAAGATTCCTGGTGGAGGATAACGACGATAAGGATCGGGGAACTCGAGTTTCAGGAAATAATTTAAAGAATCAGCAGTTGGCATTGCATTATGGCGTGTTGCTTTAGATGGCTGCGAGTTTGGAAAGCTGGAGACCCACGCCCCTCATTTGCATGCATGTTGGAGCAGATAAGGATTTATGAATCATTCCGCAGAGTGACAAGAAGAACTGAGGGAGGCTGCTTTGGGACAATGGTTGCGTTCCCTGTAGAAATTACTGCAAAGAGATCATTACAAAAGCGTATTACGATCTCACGTGATTGCTGATGTCACATCAAAGCCAGGTTTCCTCACGACGCATGAAACTTGTCAGTCATAAAATCTCGTATGCTCACATGATTGCTGATGACACTGTAAAGAACTTTTCTATTCTAGAGGTTTAGTTATTCCTCTGACAGAAGTTTGGAAACTTTGGTTACATTGGGTCCATACACACCCTACAACGAACCATATTTTAAATATATATATTTATAGAAATAACTACATGTAGAAAACTGTGGTTTTTTTTTAAATTTTAATGTTCGATTGATGTTTGATGAAGTCACTTCGTACAGCTTAGCTTGCTCTTGAAATTTACCTTCTTTTAATGACATGTCAAGGAGTGTTTGATCGGTAGTACGTTTGCTGGCACTCGCGTGAGCTCCTTTAGCCATTTCTTGCAGATGGCCAAGTATAGTTTGACGAATTCGTATGGATAGATTATTGATTTTTAAAAATTTAAAAATATATTTGAAGTTGACTACAATTCAGAAGTATCCCCTACTTGAATTTGCTAATAAAAAATACATGCAACAATATATGAGTACATGACTGAATCCATAACTTGGTCAATGTAATATATATATGTAAAAAGTCTACACACATGTGTTTGAAGTGCAATTTTTTATAGTCTTAATGTTGCTTAAATGTCCAATTGCTAGTAAAAACTTTTACTCAAGATAAGAATGAAGAAATTGCAAAAAGATAAGATTTGAAGTTGATAGGTAGTTTAAAATTAAAATTGACTTTTAGATAAACTGACATTTTTATAAATATAGACCAGCTCATAAGTTTTAAACTCCACATTAATTTTCATCTTGTATAATAAGATTTCATCAATAATACCAAAATAACTTGAATCATATATACATGCATTTGTTGTGATTTAAATTCAATTTCGACCTCTCTCGCTTAGTATTCAGAATTTATATGAAGTATAATTAAATATATTTGTCGTAAACTTGAAGATGAAAAGTTTAATTGTTGATCACAAAGATAGAATCTTTGCCCGTATGGTCCATAGGTCACCGTATTCTTCATGCGAGTTCGTTCAGTTCTGTCGTCATGGCTATACATCCAACTTCTTTCGAGATATTTGCTTGATGGATCAATTGCTTGATGAGACCTATCAAGTTTCAATTTACCCGATGGGACCCCACTGCCGGTCCACGTCACACTGTTCTTGTATGAACAGATGAAAGTGTGTGAATCACATTTCGTGTTACCTTCGGCAGTGTTACTCTGTTTCGCCCTTCGCATCGCTGCGTAGAGTCTGGCCCTGCTTAACCACCTTCTTGGGAAGAATGGGACGGTAAGATGGGGAAAATGAAAAAATATCTCGGTTCGCTACTGGAGTAAAGAGAAGGAAGGTTCAGTTTGTATTCTTGCTAGATCGCGGTGATCGAGCGCTGCCTTTTGAACAGTTTAGGTTTGGGCACCCAATTCTATTCCACTTGAGATCTCAGAGCGTGGATGTCGCGGGAATATATTAGAATGATCGATCAACTTTCTGAAGCGGTTCTACCGTCTGAGATGTTACATATTCTTACAAGATCATACCCGTACTAGAACACTTACTAGAACTCAACAACGGCACACAATGATTGGTTCCATCTAACTTGAAAAAATTGAAACTTGATGAGTCACATCAAACAATTTATCTTTGGATGGGGTCCCATCCAACTTCTTATGTTGTTTGCTCCATATGTTATCTGCTCCAACACTAATGTCATCATTCGAGAATACATGTTCATTTTATAAGATGAAAGAAAATTAGTACCACCCCCAACTACTTTATGGACTAGTTTACTCAAATATTGATAAGAAGAAATCAAAGGAAAAACCTAAATATCGAAATGAAGGTTGCAATTTTCGAATAAGTGAGAAGGATATTGGAAGTGTTTGAATCGTGGAGGTACCCATTATTGATGTAAATAAACTCTGTGTACCGTCCGATGGACGACGGGAAGTCGAGGCGATGGATGGACGGAGCCAGTGGATGTAGTCTCGGGAATGAAAGCAGTTGCTGAGGTGGAGGAGATCGGCACCCACACCTGTCACTTGGCAAGGGGCCACGCGTACACGTGACAGGTGACAAGGTCGACGCCACTCAGAACAGCGTGGCACGACGCGTATCGAGCATCTAGCTCACTTCCGCCTCTGCCACCGCTCGAGGCCTCGGGAGGCCGCCGTCGATTGCGATGCAGCAGAGAATTCCCAACATTCTCCGAAATGTGCAGATTCGGAGACTCGGACATTCTCCTACGACTGTCGCTCTGGACAAATGCTGGTCGCTGAGGCCGGAGGCAATGTGTGCGCACGTCTATGGAGCCCAGCGTGGCTTCAGCTCCTTCGATCGCCCGTGCTGGGTTCGATTTGCAGGAACGATCCGGACGAATTCTGAATTGAATTCGTGCAAGTATTGGCCGCATCGATCTTTGATCACTTGTTCGGAGCTCTCGCTGATGAATTGAGTCGCACGATGCAAGGCAAACAGAAAGAGCAGTCTCTTCCTCGACTGAAGAAGCTTTTCGATGCTCTGTGACATCTCATGACAGCCGCCGCTGTTGTAAAAAGTTTTTATTTGCTGCGGGCCTCACCTCACCTCATCATCACTGAGCTAATTGACAAAGTCCAATTATATCTATCTGATTCTTAATAGCAACCGCTCCAGCTGACGATTTGAGTGGCACCAGAGAACTCAAAAGAATCCACCCTCTGCTTTCAGAACCTCGAACCACAATTGCACCACTGTATCCGCATCACTCGGTGTGCATGGTGCGAGTGCAAACGAACATCGATTAACTGAGAGACTGAATCCTCTCTGATCGACAAATGCAAGATGGATGGATCGAGAATCATGGAGCTAGAAATGAAATGTATAGATCAGACATCAAAGTCTCTGTGCAAATTCTTTTGCATTTGTATTTCCTGACTGTGTGTACAAGATGAGACCACACTGGATGACCTTCGATCAATCAATCAGTGGTCTCAGAGATCAGATACGTACGAGAAGATGGGCTCGGAACTCAGATCCGAACGCCACACGTATCGTGCTAAAGTATATACATCTCGTTTTGCTAAGATCGTGCGACACATTCCCACCTGAGTTGACTGACAGTGGTGAAGGGAGATGAAGGCCGCGGGGCAAAATTGTGACTCTGAAAATGGTCCTACGACGATTTCGACGATGGCGAAGATGGTGATAATGACAATTGCGATAATTCTGCTCCGAGTTGAATGGCTCCTCGTTCAGATTCATCCACTGCTGCAGAGTCCCGGGCGGTGCCTCCCACCTTGACTTGGGATTTGTTGTCGAAGTGCTGAGCCAGAGCTAAGAGCGAGCGGAACCTGCGCACCTGGAGCTGCTGGATGGGAGACATGGAGCCGTGCTCGAAGAGCTTGCTCTGCTGGTCGATCATTTTGATCAGGCACCGCACCTTCTCGCCGTGGCTCTGCTGCAGCAGCATCGGATGCCAGCTCTCGCTCCCGAAAATCGACCCGGGCCCGCTCGAGGCCTTGCCGATGTCGATGTCGTCGCGAGCTCTGCGCGCATCGCAGGCGGCGCGAACGCTGCGATTCCTGAACGATCTGCTCCTGCGCGGCCTGCGAAGCGCGGCCGAGGCTCGCTGCTCCTTGCGCTTCTCCATTCTGACGCTCATGGCCTGCGGCACATGAGAGGACATTTTCAGCACTGTCAATCCGGGCATGCTGCTGCTGCTACGAGCTCTATTCGTTCCTTCGATGAATCGTTCCACTGCGGCTCTAGAACGCAAGCACGGCCATCGTTTATGCGATCGATGTGGCGGTCGATGGCGGTGGTCGTGCTTTATATACGAGCGGGGCCTCCGATGGGCGCATGTGCTGCTCGACACGTTCACATTCGCCGTCGGCCGTCTGCCGGGCTGCCGTGCCGGATTCCTGCGCCGGAGCCGGGAATATGCCGAGGCCGAGCACCGCTTTTCGCGCATGTGTGTTTCGTTTTCGCCCGCTCGCCTGGACTATCCTTTCCGTTCTCTTAAAGACTTTGGTGCTTTTCCGTTCCGCTGCGGTACAGGCCGTACGGTGCCACGGGGAAGGGGGAGGGGCAAGGGCAAGGGGGCTAGGCTCCGAACCTTACCTCACCTTAGTCCAGTCCAGTCCAGTCCATGAGGTTGGGGGTGCGGGAGGGTAAAGCGTAAGGGAAGGGGGCTAGGCGCCGAACCTTACTGTACCTTACCTTACCGCAGTCCAGTCCAGTCCAGTCCAGTCCATGGGGGTTGGCGTTGGTAGGGATGGGCACTTACCGCAGTCCAGTCCAGTCCAGTCCAGTCAATGGGGGTTGGCGTTGGTAGGGATGGGCACGTAGCCGGCAAACTTTCGGCTAGCCGGCTAATCGGCCGAAGATGCAATTAACCGAAATATTTGGCCAAAAGAAATGTTAATGGGATAATTTTGGCCGAATCTGAAGAAATAATCGGCTGAAAAAGTCGATTTTGGTCCTAGTTTACGGTTTGTTTTCGGATAGCGGTGGCAATATTTATCGGCTAGCCGGCTAACCAAAAATTATGCCGGCTAGCCGTTAGCCGAGCCGTGCCGATCCGTAGGGGTTGGGGGAGGGTTAAAGGGAAGGGGAAGGGCCTAGGCTCCGAACCTTACCATACCTTGGTCCAGACCCATGGGGTTGGGGGTTGGGGGTTGGGGGAGGGGAAAGGGAAGGGGAAGGGGACTAGGCTCCGAGCCTAACCTTACCTCACCTAAGTCCAGTCCAGTCAAGTCCATGGTTAGTGAGCTCACGCTGGCGTCACCATCACTGGGACCGGGGTGGCCGATAACGGACGGGGATCGGATGATGATCCGGCGCAAAAGCGATCGCCATGGCTATCTTTATCGCAATCGCAATCGAATTGCATCACGTTCGCGCTCACGCGGACCGGGGGCAATAAGAGCGACGAGCCGATCACTTGGTCCATGATGCCTCTCTCCTCTGCGCATGTGGAAAATACTCGGGCCTTGCCAACTGGTGCCCGGAGGCCGGAGGGAAGGGGGTGCTGCTGGTGTGCTCGTCAAGAATCTGCGCTAGTTGGCCCCCGCTCGCTCTCCTCATCCGCCTACTCCTAGCTCGCCTAGCCCCAAGCCAAGCCCCGAATTGACCATGTGGAAAGCTTGCGAGTCAATGTGCTCAAGCAAACTCAGGCACAGAGGGATGGTCGTGCGGGTTTTACAACTGGGTCCATCACAGGGCACGATGGCCATTGATTGGTCATCAGCTCTTGACCCACTTTCATGCACATTTCATAAATAAAGGAAAGGAGCGAGAGGCAAGCGAGCGAGCATGCATGTTGAAAATGCCGCGCATTGATCACTCTCGGTATCAGGCCGAGGATTAAAACGTTGTCTTGTTTTCTTCTCCCCGCTGGACGACGGGTTTGTGCAGGAAAGTCCATTTTGACACTCCTGATTGACCTTATTTCTGGTGTCAGACCAGACCCTTGAAAGGGCGAGGGATCGAGGTGCTGGAGAGAGATGATGCTACCCATGCATCATCTTCATACCACAGATTCCCGAGAGATGCAATGCGCTCGCTCCTGCTGCTCACTCGGATGGTGTATGGTCGAACATGCGTCTGTTTCATAAATATTATCTACCTGTTACCATTGAAGTTCACTCCTCTGAAGAGAGGCCATGTTCTGTTAAAGTAGGCTTATGATGCTCACGGAGCAAAGTATATTCTACAGGTGGCCATAAAATACCATTGGATAAAATGTGTATCTCATGAGGCTTCTTATAGGCTTATAGGCTCGATCTCACAGGAATTTGTAGGGAGTCTAGACTGTCAAGCTTAAGGCTATTCTGTCGAGCTGTGTCCATAGGCAATAATGGTTGTAGCAAACAAGGAGGGACGACTAAAACGAGTGCGAATTATTTGGTCAAATTCTTTATATAGAATGCTCTTTTTGATAGAGAATCTTGCGGCTGAAAACTAATGCCCATTTAGAACATTGTTGAACTGATAATACATCTTGAAAGTGTAAGCCGCTGTCGAGTGAACGCACCAGGGATTCATGAAATCAAAGTATGGCCAAAGTCATAGGGAGGAGCACGGGAGCCATGAGAAATTGTAATCCCACTTACAATGTCGATGTATTAATGTTGTCAAGGAAGCTTATGGAGAATATGGAAGGAAGTTAGTTCCTCACCTTGTCGTCCAGACAATCCAAATGTGAGATAGGGCATTTCTCGAGAAGCGCTGAAAGTGTTGCAACTCGGTGCATCCAAATCTAAAACGTCAAATAAGTATCAAATGCCAACTACATTATATATATACAGTATATTACAAATTCAACACTGTTCATATTTCTTCCTTGTAAAGTTGTGAACCCAAGCAGCAAGAGATGTTTGCGTGCTGTCCTTGTCCAATCCTTCCAACATAAAACGAGCGCAGAACATTGTGTGCTTGAAATCGTCTACAAGATGTGAAACATTATCAACGTTTTCCATAATGCCAGATGCATGTTCCATATCGACTAGTGTGCTGTGTGTGACTTTAAAGGTTAAAAAAATATGGATAATCAAGCGTAAACCCGGGACTAGAATGGCCAATTGGCTTGAGATCAGCATCCACATCTCCAGAAACGCTCATGAGCTGAAGAAGGTTGTGGCTTGTCTGTCATTAAGCAGCCGCAATTGAGAATAAAGCATTAAACAATGTCCATGGGACGGAATTTCTACAGGTGTACAAAGGAATTTCCAGTCTCGTTCGAGTTTCATTTGATAGCATGATGATATTCAGGTCCTCTCTCGGTAGCATATTTTACTGTGCTTATATGACGAGGACATGATGAGACAACATGTCTGAAGTAAAAGCCATTACGCCCGTCCTGAAGAATCTTGTTTGTAGTGTGCAAGCATGCCAAAAAGTTGGAGGCGAACTGGAGATACTACATCATCATACGAGTTTGCAGTGCTCGCAATACGAAGCCTCCTCTCGGACCAGTCAAAAAATCTGTAGTATTTTCATATCGTTTAAATGTTCACGATGAGATTTACTCCTGACACCCCTGTCACGTTGTGGAATGCGTGAGCTTGGAATCATCCTCGATTCTCACATCATTCTGGACGTACCAGCGTTTATCGTGTTTAAATTACCGGTATTTTCCCTGGAAACGCATACAGTGGTGCTTTTAATCCGAAGAAGCTAGCGATTGTCGCATAACCTGAGGCTCTGAATCTTCGAGACTTTTGATGAAATATGGATCCATGAGAAGAACATGACTGTGCTCCTGACGCACACACGTAGAGTCTGAAAACTTGACATCAGGCTTATCACAGATTCTTCATCTTGAGGAATCCTCATTATCGAAAAAACTGCAGAGCCTGAATCTTTAGAGCTTACGTTTGACCAGTTTGACTGCTAATTATTGAGCAGTCTACAGTTAAATGGTGATGCCCATACTTAAAGGACAAAGACCTCGGATGAAATTCTAGTTCTTATATGAGTACAAGCTTATGAACTAACCTCCACCAACCCCCTAAGACATGCCACGTAGTGCAAGGAGTGTGCAACCTCAGGTATTAAATGAACCAATAAACAGCTTCATCGTGTGATGTCATGTGCACACTGTATCTATCAATTGGCAATTTATGCTGCCAAGTCTTGAAACCTCTTTGGATTTGAGCGTCTGCTTCGACTTCCTCTCGAACATGATTGATCCATACCCTTTTATATCATAACCTGCTCATCCTACACGTTGCTTCCACTTTCACTCAAAGGGTTGAGTATGATCATGTTGGTTCGTTCGGTTTTGAACTTCATCAAGAAGACTATCACGAGATTTTGGTGTTGTGTTCAAAGATTATTATTTATTGAGTTCCTCAGGGTATTCGCTGCACAAGAGCCGCTAATTAGAGATTCAGGTGCTCGAGCTCGAAAAAATTCAGGGAAAAAGTAACTCTCTACGTGAAGAGGCAATTGGTTCCTGCTTCAAGTTACTTCACGTCATTCCTACGACAAGTACAATAATACGTCCACTCCTTTCCAGTTTACATCCGTATTCCGCATCGCAGCATCACGTGGGCCGGGAGGCAATACAAAACAGGATGACGCTAGGGAGATGGTCTACAAGGAACAAGCTCCTGGTAGCTAACTAGCTTCTCATGTCCAGTCTAAAACATGGTTGCCATGGGGTCGATGAGAAACAACAAGAATGACCTTTTCAGCCTAATTAGAAATGCAGTTCCAGGCATGCTCCAATGTCACAAACGTGGCTTTTCAAAAGCGTAGAATGAAGGTGGGTGTAAGTTCAAAAGCAGCCCTCTAAAACACGTGGTCCAGGAGGCTACTGCGTTTAACATGAACGATGAAGAGACTTGTGAGACACAAAAAGAGAGAGAGAGAGAGAGAGAGAGAGAGAGAGTCTTGTGCAAGAGTTCTAGACTACTGTAGTCATGGACAAGTGTCGCATATTCCATCAACCTCCTACGAGAGAGCCGGTACTCTACATGGTGAACAGCAGTCTTGCGTATCCGCTCGTAACACATCACTTAGCCAGTCTCAGAAGTTACGGCTGTCGTAACGAGGTGTAGTTCGGAGGAGCAACGAGTGTTTTCGGAACTACATCTGCAATTCTTATGCATCCTTTGTCATCGAATGATCGTTTCCAGGAATGCCTCCACCAAATCTTGCACATCTGTTATATATCTAGACGGCCGGACTTACAAATGTCCAACCAGTTCAGCAGAACGAGGGCCTGATGGCCTGCTGCCAGGCCGGGAAAGAAGCGGTCAAACCTTCTGTACCGCAGTTCTGGCATTTGCTCTACAGGTTTTCTGTAGACAGGATGATACGCAGAACACCATTCCATTCTCCAGGAAGTGGCTCACTTTTCCCCTCACGAATTCACAGTACATTGGAAGTATATTAAGTGTGACATATCCGAATCTTTCCATGTCCAACATACCGGATATTCTACTAGATTCCCATGACATATCTCTGAACAGATCAGTCGCAATTCAGGTTCTGCTTGTAATGATCAGTGTCCCACTCGATATCCTCTATACCGTTGCTGAAAATCAGAAACATGTGACTGTACAGTACACTCCAAGGATCTCGAGAGCCTGAGAGCTACACGAAATCTTCAAGTCTTGGTTTATGCTCGTAATCCATGGAGACGGAAACAGAAATAATTCCATAACGTGTTCAGTTGGATCGTTTGCCAAGACAAGATCAAACCCTGACATATTCTGTTTGTTTACCGGGTCCAGTTTTGAAATTAAACTCGGGTTGACGAGTTTGAAATGCCTGTCGAGCTCACCCGCGTTTCCCCCATCAATGTGCATGATATCACTATGTGACAGGAGACTCGCTCTCTTCAACAGAGCGCTCACCGCGTGTTTGAAAACAGAGTCCAGTTTATAGAGGAAAACGTTCTCGAAGTTGGGCTCTGAATGAGTGTTTGTAGAATTCAAATCCCGATATGCAGGTTGCACGCTGCAGATCTGACAGCTTTTCTTCCACAATTTCATGAAGCAGATTCCATGAGCTAGCACCATTGACTTTGACACACAAAGATCTGGCTGTTTACCGACTATGCTTGCATATACTGCAGCTGTACGTTAGACAATCAAGCTGAAGCTGTGAAATTCTTCCACCATCCGAAGCACAGGAGGAACAAAAATCTAGCGAATTTCACGTTGTGATCAAGTCCATTCAATAATGATCACTGTGACAGAGATGTTTTGAGATCTCCGTCTCTCGACGATGCGTAAGCAATACTTGTTTATGGTCTGGAAAGTAGATGACGACCATCAAATGTCACATTCCATATAAGAGCTCGGTCACCCTTAAAGTAGAGATAATTTCACAGTCAAGTTTCAACAGTTGCAAAAGACTACAGGAAATACAACAGAGTGGCAAGAACATTCACTGACTCATTAATTTGGGATTCTTGAGCTTTGAAAGTTATTCAAAATCACGCCACACGACCTGGCCCTCAATTAATGAGACTCCAACATGAAGTCGTATTCAAGCGATGTCCCACATTCCTGAGAGAAAATCAAACTGAAAGTACAGGTCACAGTAAGAATAACGTTGTCAATGTGGTCTTCTAGTTTGGCAGTATGAGCATTTATTTTCCTGAATTCCACATTTTATTTGGGGCTCTTTTGATAGTAGTCTAGATTTGGATGTTTGTAGCCACCTCGTATCATGACCTGACAAAGCTGGGTCCACAGCAACAGTGATTTGTCTAATGTCCACATGGAAAAAGGATGCGTTGAATCGATCGGTGATTCAGTAGACTGTGCATGTCCACCATGAAAAATCATGAAATTCATTATTATTACGCTGCGACATCTTCTCATCCCGAATAGTAGCTCAACAAAAGTCGCCATTTGTTCCCTGGACTGAAGGAGCCTGCGCAAGAACATCATTGACTATCTGCCCTGATTGGTGTGCTTATTATTCTTTGATATCGTCTGATCTTGTTATTCACACGCATGATCTCACATCTTCTATAGACCAAACATTCAGGAAATGGCCATTATTTAAAACCGAGCGGAGTTCCTGTGAAGGCCCGCCCTACATTGAGACTGCCATGCGACCTGGTAGCCCCCATTGATTCTCGTCTGCCACAGGACATAATGCTTGAAAAAGAAAGAAAATAATTAGTCCATCAAAGATCTGTACAGTTGAATGGTTGTTTGCAATGAAAGTTTGCACAACATATCTAGCCTAGAAGAGAGCAAGTCATACAATATTCAATTGCTCGTATGCTGGTCAGTCTGATACCAGAGGGACCACACCGGTTTTCAAGTAAGGGCACACTATTCCATATTTGGTGAGGGAAGAATGTAGCATCCAGTTATCCTTGATCTGAGGCCAAATTGCATTCTATCAGGACATTCAACATGAGACTACTGCAACCACCTGCCTGGTTTCGCCCTGCAGTCGAATGCATATCACATCGAAGGTTCTAGTACAGTCCCTGGCTCCTTGGGGTCCTCAGGTCCTCTCTCAAGTCACTGTACTCTTACTCACAACCGTTAAGGCCAATCGAGAGTCACGTCCCTGATGTAAGCATGCTCATCATAACAGATGCTTACGTCGTAATGAGTGACGAATCTCATCTTGTTTGCGCTTCATGTACAAGCGGATCAATCATGAAGGAGGACGAGGTTTATCCGGAGGCACTCTTTGTGTTCGTAGTGTTGGACAAATGACAGCAGGGGAGCTGTGTGACACCAGCTGGGACTGCGACAGACCACGTGGTGTCTGGGCCCAGTCAAAGTTGAAGAAATTCTCAATGCACTTGCAGCTAATACACGTGCAACCATGCTGTAATTGTTGTCATGCTTGGACTTCGAATATGTGATCAGCTGTCGTCGGTTTACAGCTGCATATACGGAGTATATTGAAATGCGTAATGCTCCGAAAAGTGGCTTAACGAAAGGCCACAAGATCAGACCAGGTGGATTTAACATAACCATCATTCCGTTGCTTAAACTAAGAATGGCTTGTATGTCGTGATTGAATACGTGTGAGCCTTCTCAAACAAACATTTCACTTCACCTTCTCCAAATCATTACGTTATCATCTTCTTCCTATCTCCAAACTTATGTCCAACTAATCAGCTCATGTAGAGAAATATAATTTAGAAATGGAGTCACGTAGAGTCAGTAACACGTATACACGTAGAGTGATACCTAAGTAAGTGGAGGGCAAGTGCAGCAAGTGTTCACAGACATCTATCCTTCAGTAGTGAAGCTGACCTTGCGTAAGTTCATCCTCATTGCCCTCTTGCACCGTGATATAAGTTTTTGTACATGTATTTGGACACCTTTTCCCACGCATTTCAGATTCGCTCTGCACGATGAGAAATCCAGATTCTTTGTTCCCATTATGTCTTTGTTCCTTCTCCTTCCAAGGAGAATGTAAAAATTGCTACGGCAGTGCTTATGTATGAGGAAACTTATGAAAACCGGCATTTCCTGCACCCCAACCCTTCGCATCTTCATTTGGTTCGAGGCCGGGGATCTAAATGAAATGAAATATTGATGAATAAAGATGAACAGTAAGAAAGCAACTGAAACAACTATTAGATTCAAAACGAGTATCCAGAGACGGCTGCTTTTTGGACATCTTCATAACCCGATTCTTTGGAGTGTGAATCGTTTGGTGGACAAGAAGGAATGGATAAACAAGCTTTGTCATCGTCATCGTTAGGACATTCGGAACTATGTCCATAAAGTTTCGGCCATCCGATACTTCTGACCTTTAATAACCGATTTTTTTAACAGATCATGTGAACAGGGCTAATATCCTCAAGGATGGGTCAAGCAAGCCTAAACTTTGAAACTATTTGCTTAATGACATTTGAATTGTTATTCTCGTCCCTCATACCCCACATTACGCACGAAGGCTGCAACAAACTCAAATTGTCTGCCAAATTAGAACAATAGCCCACTGAGCTCGTAATTCTTTGAAGTCACTTGTCTTTATTGATTATTCCTGGGCACGTTGGAGTAATAGTACGGTTCTTGTGCAGACTGACAATGAGTGAGTTCATGCATATGTCACAGTTGTTCAATTCTGTCAGCGACTTTCAAGCATCATGTGCCGTATACTCTCAAGTACAGACAGTACCTGCAAAGTTTAAGGGTAGTAGGAAACATGCGAATTTGAACTCATCCTGGACAGGCAGCACTGCTGTCGAAATCTCGAAGGTCACAGAGAGGAAGTTCAGAGAATTAGAAAAATTCCATCAATTTGATGGGGAAGTTTCCACATGTATTGTGATCATGGGTCCAATGACCCAATTTGTACAGGTATTGATTTGATATGTACATTCCTAAAAAAATCTACGCTCTGCTTCTGAAACTCTAGTCTGAGAACGATAATCTCGACAGTCTGTCCTCCAATCGAAATGTCTCTGGCCCATACATGCTGCCAGAACGGCAGCCTAGAGAACCGTGAAACTGTGCGCTCGATCTGTTGTCCAAATGCTGCGCCAGAAAGAAGAGTGACTTCAGCCGACGAGCTCGAATTTGCTGCATCTCTGAGAAGGTCGAAGAGGACGAGAGATGACGTTGAAGTTGTTGTTGTTGCTCTTCCATCAATCTGAGCAGGCATCTAACCTTCTCACCTCGAGCCGAACTTCTTCCGACTCCGAGGTCATTGCCACGAGTGCAGTCGAGTCTGATTTTCTCAGACACACGCTTACTGCATTTCTGCACCGATTTCGTCCTCAATGTTCGTTGGCAGAGCAGTCTGCCGTGATCAGCGAGCTTCTCATATCTCGTAACATCTGACTGAGGCGCTTGTGGAGCCATTTCCGCTTTTGTTCAATCCCCCTGAGCCTTGAAACTCGAAGGTCTGTCACTCCGCTCTTCGCAGGTGATGGTGATGTTGATGGATGCTTCAGCTCACAAATGCCAGCTTTGACACTTAGAGGCGGCAGCCATCGCTACTTATAAGGCTCCCGAGTACGCCCGGGCCTGGCAGTCGTTTGCAGTAGGCCACGTTGGGGTCATGTCTCCTCCACGCAGCGAAGGAAACCTGAACCCTGAGCCCTGAATCTGGACACAAGCGAAGAATTTTGTATTATATGATTTGGATGTGAGCTGTGCATGCGACAGACGATACGATTCACTGTCGCTTTAGCGGAGCTTTGGCCACACGCCAACTGCATCCTCATCCTCCTCATGCTCATTGACCTCCCAGTCCCAGTCCCAGGAGTGTTCAACGAAGAATTTAATCCGATTCCCTCACTGTTCCGGTCATGTACTGAAATCAATGCAGCTTTTCGTTGCAGCTCTAAATTCCTAAAGGCGTGTGTGCCAGACACACACTGCGAATCTGAGATGCCACCCACACGCACACCACACCGCGCCTGAGGTCTCGAGCATATTTTATGCATATTTCCTCCCAATCTGTGCCTCGGGTTGTCGAAAAAGCAGAAAGATTTTGCCAACTCTGATTTAGCCCTCAGTTGCAAGTTACCTCCCTCCCTCCCATAGTTGCCCAACCCGAGCCAGAGCCACGACAACATTCTTTCGCGTGTGCCTGCTGGATGAGGTAGATTCTGCACAAAGCATAACGGTGAGCGGCTGTAGTTTCGCTGGAACACACGAGATCTGATCGAGTCTAAGTGTCTAGCTCTACGCTCTAGGCGTCGACTGCGCCATTGAGGATGGATGGATTGACCACGTGCAGTCAATAATAACGACCGATCCTCAATGAGAAGAAATTCAGTTGTGCACAACCTCAGTTGCCTCTCCAAGCCTCCACCTCCAGCCCGCTGGATCACGTACGACTTCTCTCCTCATCATTTGCTCGGTCTCCAGATTTGGGAGACACTTTCCCATCCAGCAAACCCACAAACTCGAGCTCGTGTGTTCCAGTTGCCATGTTTGGACTCTCTCTACTGTACCTTTGACTGACTCTGCGTTGCTTGCGAGAGATGGCCTGTCTTACTCGAGGCCCTCTTGCGTGGTTGCCATAGAACAGCGCAGCACTCCATCGTAGTCACTGCGAGGTTTGGACATCTGTCTCGGGGAACCGACGAATGGGAAATTGGAGTTGAAGTCAACAGTGTGGACGAGCTTTAGGAGCTACGAAATGCAAAGATTCAATCAGACATGTGACGAACAGCCACCCGACAAAACACTCCTCCATTCAAAGCAAAATCCAGCTGATTTGGTTTACTACTTATAATAATGATTTTTGATTTTGCCATCGTAGGGCTTTAGATGTCACGGCCTAGATCTTTCACAACTTGCTTCTATCCCAAACACTACAAATGATTGGGAACACATGTCCCAATTTGCTGAAGTTCTTTCTTCCTTCAATCGATCAATTCATGGTTAAGTGAAAATCAGCTGTGAATATCATGTACATAACATCTCACGAATCATTACAACTTACAAATGCCCTGAAGGTAATATGAAGTATATGTGATTCAGGATCAAGGAATAATCCCAAAGCTTTATTGGAAAGGGATTATTTGGATACGGCATAGGAAGGGCTGAAGCTGTGCAGGGCAAGTTGTCCCCTGGCTACCTTATAATAGATCAAGAGCAGTCCATACTCCTCCTCTGCAGGAGCTTAATGCAGCTTCATGGAGATTCATGCAGCTCGTGAAGTATACGGAACCTTCATTCGTTAGATTGAATATATTGTTCTCTTTTGGTTTTTGGCCAAAACAGTAGATTTGCAACGTCCGGTTATAACAGTTGCTTGCTCCATAACATTAGATGAATTTAACCCACAATACTTACTTCAGCCTAGAAAAAGGGTATATTAAATTGAAGCAACATATCATGGCTCCGCGTTGTCCAAACATTACATTATTTAATTAGCAACAATCTTGAAAATTGAAACTTTGCATTAAATGTGAAAAAAGATTCAAAAAGTGCCATATAGATTTTTTGAAAAAAATTATATGTATACACAAATATTATGAACACCAATAGCAACTATTCTTTGTTCATAAACCATGAACAAAATAATGACCACCAACATATCTTCAAAATCTATGACGAAATTCAATTGTAATCGAAGAAGATTGAAAATAGTCGTAATAGAGTGTACAGAAAATAATCAAGAATTTTTTAATGGAAAAAATTTAAAAATTTAATTCAATTATTTTTGTGGAAATAAATCCATATATAAATTATTTTTTGAAATATAATCATAATGACTTCATTTTTAATCAGGACATATATGCATTATTCATTGTCACACAGATTTTTTAATCTTGTTAAAATTTAAAAAAAAACTAGAATCTCATGTATTAAAATTACGAAAATTATGAATAGAAAATTATAGTTGCTTGCCTGTTTAATTAATATTTTTAATTTTTTATTTAAATAACTAAAAGAATAAAATCTCAACTCGTATTGTGACTAAATACGTTTTTACTTGAATTTACAGCACGATTTTTCTCAGAAACTTTTTATATCTGATGACAATGTTAGTGAATTAAATTTTAGATTTTGTTTAACTTTTCTTAGATTGTTATTCTAGTTTAAAGACTAAGTTTATATCTCTGTAGTAGTTAGAAGTGATCGTGGACGGTTTGTTGACATGTTGTGACAGACTTGCTTCATTTTTCAATAAATCTCTCTGTGTGTTCCGATGTCTTTAGTTAACTTTTTATTACGAAACTATAATTAAAAAGCTCAAAATAATCATATAAGTTTGCAAGAGGGAAGTAATATCCATGCATGTCTCAAACATGTGTCAAACGTTTTTATTTTTTATTTTCAATAACCACATTCTGGATTGGTTACAATGTACATGCATCATTATGATTTAGCATCTAATCTCCTCATGTAAAGTAGATTATAAGCATCTCGGTGTTAAGTTATTCTAAAGGCAAGGATTGAATTATGATATACACATATAGTCTGGAATACTAGGTTTTAATAGATCCAATAATCTGTCTCTGATAATCAAGCTTCTTTGTGATACGACTTGATCGATTGTAACTTGCTAAACAAAATACAGTTTTCTTTCTCTACAGCCCAGTAAACCTCCAAAATGAAGACGCTTGCTACAAGAGTTATGTCCAATATTCAAACCTTGCGTCTTGAGCATGGTAATTTAAGGAACATGATCACCTTGATGTTGGTCATCGTAGTCCACATGCTCATGTTTACATGAAGTCCAGTTGCAAAGATTCCAATTGTGATGGCTATGCCAGCGACATGGAAACCCCGTGCTCATGGCTTAAGTCCTCCCGAAGCAAGAGACAATCTTGGCTCACTAGTCTAACTCCACATTTACATTGTGAGACCGCAAAAGGGCTTGAAGGGTTCATCCAGATATGTCACGCCAAAATCAAAATCTGTATACTTCGATACTTTTTGAAATTATATCTTGCACCCCTTTTCAGTACTATTACGTCAGCTACTGAATACTCAACAACCATAGCTTAACGGTCATTGTGCTTCACACCCTAGTGCTGCTAAAGGCACATAGTCTTACTTTCTGCCAACTCGCTGCTTTCCAATCTCAGAATGTCAACTCAATGTATGCCTTACACAAACATTTTAGCGGCAGTTTTTGGAAATATATGTACTGACGTCCTTACTTATCAATTATGCATGACATTTCGATTCATGATTTCAGCTATATTGGTCTTCTTCTATATGGGACAAAATTGTGGAGGGAAAGTCCTTGACTTCACGAGTTGTTAGATAAGTAAATGAACAAAACGTGTATTGCAATGTCTGTCCACATGCGGAAGACTCCTGCGGTAGAAAGAAGATTGTGTGCTATGTTAAAGTTTTGAACACTAAAAGTGGACTATACTTCCTGTGTGTTGACATTCCACATATAGGCATGTGTGGTAACTTATGGGGAAACTCAAAGCTCCTGCATAGAATATATAAGCTTCTTTGGATATGAAGGTACATGCTAATTTGTGCAACAATGGCAGCATGGATTTATAGGACAAAATCAGTAGATGAATTCCCACTAAATGTCAGAAGATTCATTTATAAAATTGATACAGCTGTTAAGCGTATGTAACATCAGTTCTTTTGCCTCATCTACTTGCTGGCTGAAAAAAATCACACAATATATTTATTTCTTAATCTTGCAAATAGAATGTCTTAGACTTTCAGAACCTGGACTTGTAGTACACTTAAGACATCAGTTTGAGGCTGTTTAGCTCTTTCACCTGGTAAAATATTCATTACAGCTGAAACCAGCTGCAATCAGATAGAAATTTCTAAAGTGAAGGAAACGACTCAGGAAATGATGGCAAGAAAAGGCATGATTCAACATGAATTAAGTCAGTTTCAGTCTTATACACTCTCCCGAGTGACCCCACTGGATCTTGTATATAATATTTGTTCCGTATGCCTTATACATGAGTTCCATACGTAGTGTTTCAGTTTGAAGGCAAACTCGATATTTTATAGCTTGTAGAAATAATGTGTAACTCTTCTGATATATCACCCTTGAAAGAAATTCAGAGCTGGACCTGAATCATTGGGGTAGATTAATCTCACATTATGCTGGACAATACTTGGCCGCCATTAACATATCAATCTACAACAAATGCGATGCTCTTCAAACAGGACCTTTGAATTAGCTGGAGATTGCAATCATTAATGTCGAACTATGTTGTATCCAAATTCTATCGATTGTTATGAATCGTCAAAGAAAATTGTTTACTACAGATAAAAAACAGCATAGACTGCTGCTCAGGAGTGCAGGCTTTTTAGGCTGTCATATGATTTTGGTACGAGGTATGTGAATCGTTTCAAACTAGACTTGCTTCCGAAGAAAATAGGGAAACTTTCTCTTGAAATTTTTTTTAGCTTGAAATAATCGTTTGTATGGAAAAATTTTATCAAGATATAACATTCATCAGTATCAGAATCAGATAGGGAGGATTCTGCAGATAATTCATGTGACATGTGAATTTTCTCTCCTTCAGACTGCTGTCATGAGCTCGATGGAAACGCCTAAAAGACTTGTGAGCAAATTGCAATCAGGTTTCCACATGTTGTGAACGCCTTTTTTAACGTGAGGTATTGAAGATTCTTTGTGTCCAGTTCTATGCAACTCAGAAACTCGATTCTTCTGAAGCAAACAGAGGCCACATATTGAATCTGAACTCTTCAGAAGATCGTGACTCCAAAATTCGGGCTTTGCACATTGTCATTGTGAAGAAGGAGAAATGTATAGTTCGGCCGTAATTGATCAGCTGTACAGACAATGATCGTGAATCTGTTGGCATATTTTACTATGTTGTCAATAATTTTACAATTCTTGAGTACGTTCTGAATAAGTTTTACAGATTTTACAGATTTCTCAGTTGGAGAGCACATGTACGTAGAGAAGAACTACATTGTGCGAGAAAATCCAGTGAACACGACCAAGCTAAGCTGATTCCCAATGTATAAATTCCTTGCATGAGATACTGCTACTCTTGCTGGTACAGCTATTTCCGTCGGCTATATTGTCCAAGTGCTGAGCCAAGACCAACAACACCCTCAACCGACGTGCTTGAACATGATGCAGATGACGACCTTCTACAGCAGTATCTGAAATTTCCAGCTTAGATGACGAGGGATGCCGCTGGTGCTGCCGTAGCTGTCCGATCAGTTTGAGTAAAGAACCAACTCTCTTGCCATGAAATCTCGGATTCATGATCGACTTTTCCTCCCCATCGAGGTCCCGCTCGCGTTCAGGTGTCGTCTCAATCGTCACAAGAGCACGACTATCCAGGAAGCATCTGGTTCTTCGCATCCGAGGCAAGTTGATTTTACCTTCACCTGTTTCACACATGGGGCTCGTTTGCTGCAATGGATATGGAGACATCCCGGAAAGAAAGAAGGCTGGATCCAGGCATGGATGCTCAAAACATTTCCAGCAACATCAGCGTCTGAAATGGAGGTGCAAACATGGCCTACACTTCTCTATGTACCTAGCACCAGGGAGTTTTGACTGTAACAAACCCGAGCAGCCTGAAGACCAATTCTGGATCTGCTGAAGCCCGGAGAAGCGTCATGTCTCACATCCTCCCACATTGTTCGCGAAACGAAAAACACAGGCTACAGTAGGATAAGCAGGCGGAGCAGTCTCAGCAAAGCTGCCAGTGCTTTTCGAGTGTGACTGGGATCGTACTAACAGAAGCAGTGATTGTTCTGCATGTGCGTTTCGTTTTCGTTGCACCTGTCTGGAATACAAATCGAAGTCCTGTGTAAAGTGCTGAACGTGGGCTATCGTTCTAAATCTGTCCCTCCCTCTTGTCGTCGAAGTACATGTTTATTAAAATTGGCGGGTCCTCAGAGTACATGATAAGAGAGTCATGTTATATTACGACATACTAGATATGCTCGATGTCCAAAAATATCTTTGGCTCGGCCGATAGAGGGCAGGACATCAGTCACACGGACTCCTGAGTTCGGGGCGAATTATCCATCTGTCTACCTATAGAGAGATTCATGATTTGGAAGACTGATTCAGAACCCTGTCGTGATGTGATGTGACTGTGATTCTTTGATTCCCTCCTCGGTACAAGATTCTCATGCATGAAGCCCTCTCCCACAAGAACAGCAGTTCATTCTGTCCTACGTGAAACTCTACACGTCCTGCAGGAGGGAACCTTATTATGGCATCTGGTAAAACAGAGAGAAGTCGAAAGGTGGGCCTCTGTCACAGGAGGAATCGACCTCCTGAAACTTTTGAACGAATGAGTCATCGGATCCAGGCACATACAAAAGAACAACATGATTATCGAGGTGCTCCTCCACTACAACAGGATTCAAAGATACTGTGTTCAAGTGAATACCGTGAGGCTTTGGGAAATTTCGGGCTCATGTAATGACAACATAATTCATGATCACCAGTTGATCATGTGTCTGAATCAAAGACTGCAGCGCGGTACTCAGAAAAATGCTGTAGTCTGATTAGTTGTAAATTCACGCAAGTCTTTCGAGCATTATTGAATGTGTAGCAGGCTAAGCATGTGACATCCTGCCCCAATACTTGTCTGTACGGTACTTCATTCATCAAGTATGTGCAGTCAATAATCACTTAATGTCAGTCTGCGAATCTTCATTTGGGGGCTCTCTCAACAACAGAGTACACCAGCACATCCAACTGTATCTTGAACCGGCTTTGATTCTCAAGCCGAGGACCCTACGGGACCGGCAAGTCGTGTGTTAGTTAGTTGCCCTGTGCTGCAATATGTATGTTTTAGTATCCTAAAAAGTTGAACTTTGACGACTTCTTAGATGCTGTTGTACTTCATTCCATAAGCAAGTGGATGAGTTTCAATCTAAAAGCGAACACCCTCGTGAGGATATCAATTCACGATATAATGTGCCTCTAAAGATTTCTGGTACGGATAGATACGAATTTTCCTGAAGAAAATTCGTATCCATGACTTTTTAAAATCATATAGGTTTGGAAGTCTCATGATTGCCTATTAAAAAAGTGTTTTGTAATGTAAACTTCGATGTGCAGACAAACTGTTCGCTGATAACAGTGCCTAACTCATCTTCAGACACTACATAACAACGAGCTGAGTTTACAAATCCGGGACACAGGGTAGACGTTTGTCCTGCCTGTCAAACGATGGCATACGTCTGCGACTCTGAGAATTGACACCAGTCTGTTTATCAACTGCTCTTTGTCAAAATTCGTTCAATGACATATCTGTAAGTTGCATAGCGAGTCTTTCGTATGATCTTAACCACATGAGATGACGGATGAGCACTGAAGATTATGTTAACGTCAAGCATCACTAGAATCAAAGCAATAGAAAGAATATATACTGACATCTATAATCAGGCACTCGTCGTTTATGTTCGGGACATTGAGGAACTGAATTTACCTTTTGCCTAGCCTCCCATATGTGCACTGTGAAGGCTTTGACAACGCCTGGATGAAGTAGCCTCATTCACTTTTCACGTGAATGGAGCTATTTACTTATTGGCGAGACAGGTGATTCAAAGTTCCGGACACAAGGCCGGAAGTGGGAAGAGGTAATTGTAAGCAGTTATCACCTACACTATAACAGTACTCATCGGGGACTCTATCAGATCTCACGATGTCTCACTTGCCAATACAGAGCCCAGCATTTCTCCCTGACACACACTGCGTACGTGTATGCACTCGTACAACAACAATCTGGGTTAGAGTTGATGGTAGAAAAAGCTTCGCCTTGACCTTTAAGCTCGTTCAGTTATTTCTTCGACGGGTAGTTGGGAATCACGTCGAAAGCGTCCTCTCTAACAAAAAGAATTGCAGAAGTTGGAGATTGATTTCACAGTTACCCGAGGAAGCTCGTGCTCCGCAGGCTGGTGATTATTACCTGACCTGTGCATACGCTCAACGAAATCACTCTATTTGCTGGTAAGGCAGCAATTAGAGTATTAAAATCTAACTCCTATCAGAAATCGCTGGGCGTGGATGCCTTTCTTGTTCACTCCCATGCTGAGATGCTTCAACCTGTACCTGCAATAAGCTTGTAAGCTTTGTCACGTCAACATGAGGAATTCGACGAAGATCATGCGTCCTGAAGGCAGGATAGACACGATGCCGAAGGAATGGATGAAGATGAAAGTTATGGTCTACAATCTTCAGCAAAGGACATCGCTGCGTCTCCATCAAGCTCGTTCGAGCACGTCCATTCTCTGAACCTCACCAATTGAATCCTGTTTCCGGTCGCCAAACTCTTCCGAACTCGACGCTCTTACCTTGGTCCTCCCAGACAAAGCAGATTCCTGCTTCACGACAGCAACATCAAGTTGCCGGCGTGCGGGCAACTTCATGGCGCGAGGAGATCCTGCCTTGGTGGCAGCGGACATGCTTCGGCCCCACAGACACGGCCAAACGCAAACGCAGTGATCTCCAGCTCGAGCTGCAGACAGACGAGAATTTGTATTCACGCGGTGAGCTCCAGCTCGAGCTCACTGCGTGTTTTCAAATCCTCGTCTGTCTGTGACTCGCCATGGCCCCCGTGTGCGACAAAAGGCACAAGAAGCCAAACTGGGTCAACATTTTCCACAATGAACACGCGCTTATATTGCGCAATTGGGAATGGGCCCGACGAGCCCTTGGGCCCATTCCCAATTGATGGTGATGTCACAGCGGACACCATCAGCCTCCGGAGCAAGTCTCGGTCGCTTGGAAAGGCAGAAATTAGATCGCTCGCATCGTCTTCGGAGGGTTCCTACGGATCGACCGGTTCATTCTTCTAGCGATCAGGATGTCCGACCAATTCCTACCGAGTGACAACTGCGGACTGTTCTTCTTTTGCGCTCGAATTTCGCGGTAGATGAGCTCGAGAACACTTCATGGCTTGGATTCCGGGAAAGTACTTGAGCGTTCCTTGTGTTTCTCATTCGGTCAAGGGAGTGTGATGAGTGCGTGGAGGAACAAAGAGTGTTCGACATCGAGCTTGGTCCCCTCGTGCACGCATCATGGATCTCCCTCCATGTCATGAACCTTTTGCTCTATCCACTTGCCCCCATTAACCCCCTTCCCCACATGAAGCCTTGTCACTTTGTGTTCTCGTCTCACACTGGACAAGAAGATGAGGCCTTCATTCTAAACGCTTGGTCTCTTTTCCTTCTTCTCTACGAAACGTGAAAATAATTGATCTGAAGATATCGAGGTAGCACATACAAATTTGGTCAGAGTACTCAACTGCAAGAATGTAACTGGTTGCGAGAAGTAAAACTGAAAGAGAACAAAATACTATGACAAAAGAAACAATGCTCTCCGATCTCTCTCTAAATAATGCTCCCAGTAAATACTCTCAAAGTACAGTATATTGAATGACCACCATGGAGGAGGGTGTTACAATACCATACGTATATGGAAGTGAGTGTTAGTGTACCCTTTATTAATAGAGAGACTGTCAGTTAGAAGTCTCGATACTTCTTAGGGTTAGGGTAAACCCTGCATATCATTAGAGATAATCTATAGGTAGGGTTAGGGTAAACCCTCTCTATTATTAAAGATCGGTTATCTCAACACTCCTCCCGGAACAATGAACTTCCTCATTAAAAAACTTCAAGGAGATTGAAGAAAAAGAGTGGAGTCATCGTTCGCTTTCTAATTCAACTATTGTCTATAAGTTTTGATAAAGTCCACATCCCTGCTACAGCTATCAGTTTTTGATGTTACGGAGCTGGTAATGCCTTGGTAAGTATATCCGTGATGTTCTCCGCTGAAGCTATCTTTCGCATTGCAATCTGGCTCGTCTCCGTGAGGTTTGCGTGTAGTTGAACAAATGAGGACTGACATGCTTGACACGGTCTGACTTGATGAAACCAGAAGATACTTGTTCAATACAAGCTACGTTATCTTCAAAAATTGTTGTTGGCTTCTCCGGGAGTGGAAATCCAGCCATCTCAGATATAGCGGTCTCCATGGTGTGAAGCCACACTGCTTCTCAAGCTGCCTTGTGAAACGCAAGAAGCTCAGCATGATTTTTTGAAGTTGTCGTGATTGTTTGTTTCGTGGATCTTCAACAAATGGGTGCTCCATTTTTTATGAAGATGTAGCCTGTTTGGCACTTGTCAGTTCTTTGATCTGATTTGAATCCAGAGTCGGCATAGTCTATAATATCATTCAGGCCGCGGCGAAAATGAAGAACGAGATCTTCTGTTCCTCGAATGTACATGAGGAGATTCTTGATGCCTTGCTAGTGTCGTGCTGTTAGACGTTGGCTGTGACGGACGATGACGCTGACGGCAAAACTGATGTCTGGTCGAGTATTTGTCGCCAAGTGGAGGAATGCGCCGACTGTTGCTAGATACTTTGGTTTGTTCAACTCCTACTCCTCGGGTTCAGAAGGACGATAGGGATCATCGTTAGTCTTGCTCCTCCCTATCATAGGTGCTGATAGGGCATTCGCGTTGTCCATGTTGAACGTCTTGAGAAGCTTGCGAGCATAAGTTTGTTGATGAAAAAGCATACTTCTATCTGCAAGATGAGTAATCTGGAGTCCAAGGCAATATGATGTTTTGTCTGATGTTGGACTGATTGAGTCACACCAATCACCTTGAAGACGATGCAATGGTGCGAGCATCTAGTTGAAGGTCGTTTGATCAATTTCCCTTGGATGCATGCTGGGCATTCTCGAACATGCTCAGCGTCGCTAGTGCACATCTCATTGTCGGTAAGGAGCGGTATCATCCTCCTCATCATAGTAGTTCCCGGGTGTCCAAGTCGGCTATGCCACAAATCCGCTCTGGCGTTTGTTGTCATGGAAGATATGGCGGCACCTTCACAAGGTAGGCTTGGTCGCGTACTGCAAGCGGTGGCCTCTTACTTACCCAGTTAGGTAGGGCTAGCGCCCAAAATGGGCTGCGCATAGGCAAGTTGCATCTTCCTTGCACCCGTATGGGTGGGATTAACTCCTGAGATTAGAATCTTGTATTAGCGGTAGCGAGTATCGCCGTTCCACGCCCGAGTTGTAGTATCTCTTCGCCGCACTCCACCGTCGTGGAGGCGTGGATATAGTAGGCTCGTAAACCCCGATAGCTGATCAGACTCTTGGGGGGAGGGGGGGGGGCGCCGGCGGCATACATTGCCCGTTCGTAGTTGAGAGGGACTCTCCGGGCAAGACTATTGTTGTCTGGCCCTCACTGAACACTAAATTTTGCATTCATGCGATTGTGAGTATGTCCCAAGATTGCCACGACTCGTTTTGAGTTTGGAATTCAAAGTAAGTATGGTTTTTGAAAATCAAAACGGTGGATGCATTATCAAGTAGCGCGATATTGTCCTTGTTGATAGTACCATGACGCGTTACCATATAGTTTTCTGGATCTAACTCCGTAAATGTGAGAGACGAAGCATCTACAATATGAGACTCTCGTCGCGCAACTTTCAAGGACTGAATTCTTGATACATGTCACATTTGTACTTGCTAGCGTGACAATTGCGTGCCTGATAACCAAGTCTACCACACTTACGACAATTATTCTTGATCTCAAGAGACAACGGTGACTGAGACTGAAATCAAGATTGAGATTGAGAAGGTTTGTTGTCATATTGCTGATACCTGTTGGATGGGTTGTGCCTTCAATTTCCTCGTGATGTGTGTTTGGATGTAGCAGGATCATGAGATTAGTTGTTTGTACCTCCGGATCTTGAAGTTGAGCTGGTCTTAATGTGCTTCAAGGCCTCCGTATTGTGAATTTCTCTTGCATGTTGAGTCTAGGCCGTCTTCAGTATGAGTTGTTGCTTTTCAGCAATCATCAAGTATCGCATTAGATCAACATGCTTGGTGAATTTCATATTGTGATATTGCTGCGATGAGATGGCACATGCAGGAGGAAAAGTTGAAAGTGTTTTATCTATCATATCAGCGTTGGTGATGCTCTGACCACAAAATGCGGAGCTGGGCAATGATACGGTGCTGTTCTGAATCATAACTATGAAAATTTAGGAAGTCGAGTACTAAGAGACTCAATCAATTAGTCCAGGCTTGTGGTAGGATGATCATTTCTTCATGTTGGAAGCGTGATTCGAGTGCCGCCCATAGGATTGTCGGGTTCTCCTTGTGTATGTATTACATCCGTAATGACGGGTTGAGGTGTTGACGAAGTACCAACAGTGTATACCACTTGTGCGCCGGCTTATTCTGTTTCTCCAAGTTCGGGTGCAATGTGTATGTCAGTTCTTCGGCGGAAAGATACGTACTTATGTTGAAGTGCCAATCCAAAAAATTTGTTCCATCGTGTGCTAAAGGTTTGAAGTAGACCGGAGTGATTCTGCTGTACTTGGATTGTGCTTCTATTGTCATAGTTAATCTTACTATCTACTCTATGAACAAGAAGACTCCTTTGTACACAAGATTCTCAGGTACTTGTGTACAAAAGAATCGCCAAAGGTACGAGTGGGAAAGAGAGATGAGATGGAGACTATGGATGAGAAAGTATAGATGGAGAGAATGACATTTCAAAGAGTGCCAGAGAGCAACAAGATGAAGGAAGCAAGACAAGATCAGCAAGACACCGTATTCTCAATGGAAAAGTAGCAACTATAGCAAAGATGGCGCTCTAAATGCGTCAAAATCTGAATCATTGCCACACACTCCATAACGAGCTCACCCGCCAACAAAGAAACCTATCACCAAGCTCTAGACCAAGAACACAAAGTCATTGACGATCTTTCAGCCCTTCTTCACGCGATACAATGCCCTGTTGGATGTCAATCATAAACTGACAAGTGAAAATAGAAAACTGACAGGTGCAAACAAAAAGCTAACAGGAGCGAGCGTGCTGATAAGATGTTGCGAGAAGGAAAACTGAAAGAGAACAAAATATTATGACAAAAGAAACAATGCTATCGGATCTATCTCTCTCTCAACAGCACTCCCAGTAAATACTTTCAAAGTAAAGTATATTGAATGACCCTTTATCAATAAAGAGACTGTCGGTTAGAAGTCTCGGTACTTCTTAGGGTTAGGGTAAACCCACTTTATTATTAGAGATCGGTTATCTCAACAGAAATAAAAGTTATTGAGATTGAACTTGTGTAAAAACATGAAATTAGTTAAGTTTAAGATATTAATGTTAATACATCAAGCTCCCGGTACCCAAAGGGTCAAAATATTAAAAAACACAGAATAAGTCGTCCACTCGATCCTCAAGCAGAGATCTCTTGGCTAGTGCTAGAGCATTAGAACGATGATTAGTAACATCTCTAAAATAACAACCTAAATTATAATATTTAAATTGTAACAGAAATTATGTGCAATAATTTTATGAACATCTCTAATATCAATATATTTAGCACAAATAATAAACACATGACCTAATAATTTGATGACAAAATTTGTTAATATCTATAATGATTAAAATATTATATATATTCAAATGGTAAATAGATACCAAAGTGTCAAAATGTTGAAAAATACAATACTAACAATCCAACATAAAAGAGAACCCTAGCTAGTGACAAGAATACTAGAACAATAAATAATAGCATTCTTTAATAACATCCCTAAATTTATAAATCACAAGCTACGAAAAAATATAATTTCTTTACAATAATTTTATAAGTCACTCTAATCTCTACATTTCTAGAACAGTTTTTTAAAAAATTATGGCATATATATAGACATTGATTAATAGTGCAGCTTTTATTTTCATTTGAAATGGGGAAACTGAATCAAATTGAGCAAGTCATTGAAGAGTACACAAGTTGAGGCGATGAACGCGCCTTCTCCTTGCTCCTTTTGACATCTTCACGAGCACATGTTTATTTAACAAAGAACTGAAACTGGTGGACGTTACCACGTGGCGACTTTCGTGTGATAGAGATCTGTTACAAATGAGGCCGAGCGGTGGCAGCGGCAAGGAAGCAACTAACGTCCGCTCGTTACGTGTGTGCCTTTGCCACGTGCGTGCGGGTAACGAATACGAGGCTCCTCCAGAAACCCGACCGCCGTGGGTTTGTCAAGAGTCCTCTCTTTATCGTAACGTTCTCCAACCGGACGTTTCCCCTCCCTTTTACGGCGTGCCGCAGCCGGATAAGATGCGGACCTCGAAAGAACCTTTCGACAACCGGAAAATAACAAAGGAACTTCCGTACAATCAGATCGACTCGAGGGCAAGCGATTCGAGGAATGAGGTGAAGAATGTTCGATCGAGAAGAGCAGCGGGGGAATTGCGTGCGTTTGAGAGAGAGAGAGGGACGGGGGAAGAGCGGACGACCGTGAAGAACGAGGGGAAAATGCGCGCACGTGGAGATTTGGGGGATGGGGGGGGCCCACCGCCTGTTTGAGGATGGGAGCGTCGGAGCTTCGCCGCGAGTGCGGGGAAAGAGGGCCCGGAGCGTCAGTGCAGTGCAGGCGATGCTGGACGCACGATGAGAACGTGCGAAATGGCCCCGCCCGCAGCGCTGCTTCTGCGCAGGGGCGACGATGTCGCCGCGAAGGCCCGAGGCACTTGCGGACGAGCTTCCGAGAGCGGCGATGGCAAGTGGGGGCTCCCTCGCCTTCCACAGACTCATACATAATGCGCAAACCGTGTTTCGCAGGACGCCGGAGCGCTTGAGGGAGCGTGGCGGGGTGCAGCAGTGTGGAACACATTGATGCCGAGTGACTCCGCGGGGCTTTGCGTCGGGCTACCATCTTCGATAGCGTGGACCGACCGGCGAACATCGAAGAGCACCAGCAGTGGATTCTCGGTCCCTCTCTGACCAGGGACTTGCAGATTCCGCAGATGTGTGCGCTGCCGATCAACAGGATGACTCTGCGTCGAAGTTGGTGCTGCTCAAAGGGTCCCCTGGCAGTAGGAAGAGAAAGGTTACAGGTGGCCGCAAATAAGAAGCCTTCGGTAGCCCGGTGAATGTGTTGGATGCCTGCTGAGTTTATTTGAAGAACAGGTTCATTCGGTCACGCGTCCAACGAAGTGTAGATTGCTTCCCCGGCATACAGTTCGAGTGCGCCGTCTCTGTTTTGCTCATGCGCAGCCTGTGGATCATCCGCCCTGTGCCTTAGCAGCAGCAATGTCTCTTCCGAATATTTTTTGATGGGTGGGCATCGATCATATCAGAGGCGAGAACTTTACGCATTTCTCTTTCTCTGTTGGATTGGATTCGCTATGGCAGAATTATGTGCACGTGGTGTCCAGGATTATACCGGCAGTCGAACTTCTGTGGACTAACATTCTCAAATTTCGGGTGTACCCACCCGAAATTTGAGATGAGAACCTCAGAGTGGAAGAGCCTCGGCACTGTCATGTGCTTGACTTCTCAGTTAATAGGCGCTGACGAGTCGAGCCTGGACTGTAATTCGAATTGTTATCATTGGGCATGTGGACATGAGCAGAGTTCGGAGACATCTGATTCCATACAGAGGAAATTTTGAAACTGGCCCCAAGAAGGTGATTGTTTCCAGGAAAAGTAAGCAGCAGGCGACGACAAAGAATGTAACAACTTAAATATCCCAGAGGTTGATGAACGCCGCTGAAGAAGCCGTTGTCGAGTATTACAGAGTAAGAAGCCGAAATTCCGATGGAGTGGCAAACATATTGGAACTCGTAAGCTAAGTCCACTTGGAACTCGTAAGCTAAGTCCACGGCACGTATACATGTTGGGTTTAAGGAAATGGAAGAAGAAGGAAATTTCCATTTTCAGGCTGGATCTTCTGGCTTCGTTATTCAGAGCGATTACTGAACATTCGAAACTTGATCGAACGTGCTGACACTAAGATCAGATTCAACCTGTCTATTCTTTTGTTGAATTCTGCGGCAATTTCATTCAAAGTTCATCTCGTTTCAAAGTCTGCTGTTGTGAGCGAGGTTGAAGACCTCCCAGCAGTAAGGTAAGCATGCAATCGGACCATAGAAATACGTGAACTGACGCTGTAGTGGAGAGACGTTGGTGGATTTATGCAGAGGGGTACATGTGGATGGAGATCTTATGAACGACGAAATCGAAGCGTTAATTAGATGCGTAGCCAGGTTCGACTTCAACCCTCTACGGAGGTACCACCAAATGTAAGTTCGAAACCTTGATCTCTTCACACGTATCCCCCCGCTGTGCTCCCTGCTATATGATACACTGCCAAATGAACGTCGCTATCTCCGTTCTGTATCCTTCAGGCCTAAAAGATTCTCTGTTCGTATACTTACTGCATTATTGTCTGGACTGTAACTATATCTTAGTTTCTTGCTAAGATTCGTCCGCCTAAACAACCACGCCTGTTGACTTACCCACCTGTACCGTACGCACTTTGTGAAATCTCAACAAGTACAATAGGCTTTCTTGAGATATGAAACTACACCTCATAATTTTCTCAACTCTTTGCAAGAACAACAAGTTTGCCGTTTATGAAGAAAGCTATCGTCGGACTTACTCTGGGCTTCAAAATGTGTCTCACTAGTTTTAAATTATCAAACTAAGCTTACTTGATAATTTATGACTATATCATGAGAAGAAAAAATTTAAATTTTTTTCCCATTTTGCTACCTATAACTTCCTTCCAGCTCCTGAGTACATAAAACGATGCCTCTGGATATATAATTACATCTCTCCTTGCTCTAACTCAATTCTAAGCCGTCTGGTGCAACTGTACTTATATGGTTGCAACAACGTTTGGTTGAGTGGTTGTGGTACAAAAATAAGCTGGCAGAAAGTGTTATGACGACTGAACCTTCGTTCATCGTTCTTATTACTGACTATATCATGAGTCCATCTATTCAATCGTCTGCTGTGGTATATCCAGCCTTTTCATGTAGCGATGTACACCATGAACACTCAATTGCCAAGCAAGTTGCCACTTGGAAGTATGTGTTTTCTTTCTAGCTCAAACATCTAGTTATGGCATTTCCGATCTTATCAAACTTGTATTCTTTGTCTTTCATTTTTTTTTTTAGAAATGTGAGTGTGGTCTGGTTCTCATAGACCATAATGTTATCACACTCGATCTCCTCCTGTGTTCAAATTGAACTGATTTTAACCATCGTTCATTGTCCTCGCTTTCACAATCCTTCCTCAAAGTTTGAAGTGTCCATTAAACCTGTAGAAGCAACTCACAATTTCTAACCTATCTTTTATATGCATCTCTTCCATTTCTTGTTGTCTCCAGAAACTTTGCCTTATTTCCAAACTGAAATGCTTCATTAATTCCTACATGTAGGTTAGGAGAAAAGTGTAACCTGCTTTGCTACTCGATAATTGATTTCATAGTTCACTTATACCCGTATGAGATCAAGTTCATTCATTTCACTAAATGACCGATGATATATTCGTCATTGCTGTTCTTTTTTGAGTTTCCAATTGGGCTATGAAATCTCGGTTACACGGTAATGCTTCGGTCGATCTGCTCGGCGGCTCCTATATTCGGATTAATTTAGGATAAGTATTTTTTGTGGATTAGATTATTCACCGTAGATAGAGTCAAGTGGTTCATTCAGGTGGAATGGGTTGAGAAATTTAATTTAGGATGTAGTTTAGCCATAGCTGAGTTATCAGAGTTTCCCTGACACTCGCGTAATAAAGAAATTTTTGTTGCCTTCATATTTCAACTGCACGTTGATTTCTAATCTTGAGGGCTTATCTTGACCTTCGAAACTCCAATTGAATTTACAGCTTGACCGGCTTCTTGCTTGGGATTATTAGTCTCGTTCGCGTTAATGAATTCGTAACTTTCCTGAACTCTTATTCGGGACTTTACTAAAAACACGAGGGCGATCACCGAAGTAACGTACGAAATGAGGCCCTTTTGATAGCTTGTACTACGGGAAGAAGTAATGTTTGCCCAAAGGTCGACAACATCACGTTATGACATCTATAAATGAAAATAAAAATATGATCTTGATAAAAATCTGGTGACTGATGTGCGGATCGAGGTCAGTGAACGCTTCAGACGTAGAGAGCATTTGGAGCGTTTCCAGCAATCAATGTTACTAAGGCAGATCAGGTGAGAGGAAAGTAAAAGATGATGTTGATTTAGAAAGTAAAAGGCAGCAGTCAGAAAACTCGTTGTGTAGGACTTGACTTCGGCTGGATGGTTCTGTCGTCATTTAACTTCCTCTTCATCGCTTAATACCTACTGGATTGAACCTGATCGTCTAGAAGACGCTTCTCTAGCATCGCCCATTCTTCTCTTTAATTGTCATGTGCCACTTAAATACTAGCGAATCCCTGACATAAGTATGAGATAATCTTCTGCTAAATATGGTTCCCAAATATGAAAGAAAGTAAGAATTAAGAATTAATTCCCAAATTAAGAAGTAAGTTAAAAGAAATATTTTGACCGCTGTCCCACCAAGGGTCAGGAATGTAGTGTTAAGGTTGTTGCAACTCCATGCGGCAGAGAGACCAGAACGGGAACATGTTCTGAACATGAAACTCTGGAAAGTTACCCCAGGTTACGGACTCTGGAAAGTTACCCCAGGCTATATCGTAAGATGAGCATCTAACCTTGTGAGCAGCTGAGAAGATAGTACATACTCTTTTCGGAAACTTTCTCTAAAGCCAGAATTATGTAAGAGATATGTTACGGTGTAGCGGGAACATTGCACAGACGGTTCTGTACATGTGGCGAAAAAAACCACGGTGCCAACACTTGCAGGCAGTATGAGCATATCACATTAGATCCCCATCCCCCTTAAAACAATCGGATGTTCACCTGGCGTTTTTGAGATCGAAGGTTCTCTTAGAAGTCAGGTCGCAAACAGAATATACCCGACTAAGTGTCAAGGCTAATGTCCAGGGGAAGAAGAAAACCGTAGCGTTCCCAGTCGTGACTCTTCAGTAGAGGATGGTTGACATGAAGCCATCCACCGGAATGTCGAACCTCACTGTGAAACGCCGAGGAGGGACATGGTGGAACAATTGGATGGCAGATCATCAAGTTTGAGATCTGCCTGAGCCTGTTGACACACGGCGATGGTTGATGCACACGGTGCAACTATGTCACTGCGTGCGTCGATCGTCAATTTACGAGGAGCGCGCCGAACAGGGGGCTCCTTCTCACTGAGGAATAAGCTCTCATGAGCTCGAACCGTGCATTTGTAAGTCTCAGCGCCGCTCGTGACGAGCGGAGCGGAGCTCGCAACGAACACCGCTGTGATACCGCAAGACTGCGCGCTGAACAAGAGTGAGCCTGTCGCCGAGCACCTCATATACTCTCACGCCATGAGGAGGCCCCGGTCTCAGCGTTGAGGTGCACACGTCCTGGCTCCCGGGACCTCGTGTGCAGGATGAGGACATGGAGTTTCGTTCCCGAGTAACTCATGCCGATTCGACGAGGCGGGCCCCACCGACCCACATTTCGGAAGCCCCCGAAGAACACACCAGAATGTCGAGGGAATGTCCAAATTTCGGATCTGCGATCTGCGATCCGACACTCCGAAGCTCTCTCGTTTCTCAATTTGCAGCATGTGCAGTACGTGCACGCATAGCTTCGGGCATAGCTCGGGGAATAGGGGGGGAAGGAGAAGCCCCTCAGATGTGGGGAACACGTGTGGCGTCCCGGGCCCCACCGTCTCCCGTGGGTTCTGGAAGTGGCCAGCTGGCGCGTGGCGAGCGGCGATGGGTCCACGTGGCCATGTCGAGAGAGGGCTAAGGGAGGATCTGAGGGACCTTCGCAATTGTGTCCATGTGGGGAATGTCCCTACTCGTCTCCTTCGCCATGTTCCCCTTTCCATGTCACGAAGACGCGACGGGAGTGCGTGTTCTCCTGCTTCCCCACAACGCAACGCTGTGCCGTCGCGCCAGAACGCGCTCGGGCTCTCTCTCTCTCTCTCTCTCTCTCTCGACATGGCCCTCCCTTCCTTATAAGCCCCCACGCGCACGCCGTTTTCTACAACCTGCTCTCGATCATCTATCTGCCACGGACAGACGCAAAGGGAGAAAGAGAGACGAGGACACATTCAAAGCCAACAAATTGAGAAATTGCAATCTGGTTACAAACACACTCATTCCCGCCTACACGCACAGCTGGTCATAAACCAGAGTTTACAGAGAGAGCGGAAAGGAGATCGTCCGTGAAGGAAGAGCAAGAGAAATTCTCTGGGATACCGTCGAAAGCAGACAGACGAAAAATCCGTCGGGGAGATTTTGCAAGGGATTTTCTCAGCGATTCAATTTGTTCGTAAGACGCAGCTAAGTGCGTGGAACATGACTAACCATGGGGCACGGGGTTTGGGCCATCGGTCGGCGAAAGGCAGAGTGTACGGGCGTGTCTCGAATAAGTGCAGAAAACGGGTGAGTCCGATTGTTCAAGATGCGTGGACTGGACCAAATCAACAGAATGCAGGACTCAATGAATCTGCAATCGCGACCACCAGATCGCGAGTTTTGGAGGTGCTCAGGATGGGGAACCGCGGGAGAAGAGTTGGATTGCTGTTGAATCTGATCCAGCAGCAGCTGCGGGTTCAACATTCTTCTTTTTCATCATCAAATTTGCGTTTTCCAACGAACTCAGGACTCCTGCCGCTGCATCAGATTCGAGCTCACCGGCTTCGGTGTCTTTTGGCACTGGCGCAACACTTCGACGACAGATCGTGTGTCAGTGTTTCACAAAACTCTCCATCGATCAGCAATCCAGGATCTGGGATCCCTCAACTAGCATCAGATCTATCCACCATCTCCCTTTCTCATTCATTGTAGCCTCACTCAGATTCTCACGTACCTTCCATACCTGTACCGTACACTAGATAGACCAAATTGTTCTTGAGACAGCCCTTGACTCTATTTCCTGTGATATATTTTTTGTCCAGCAATGAAATCGAAAATCATCAAGCAATTTGTGAGTATTGTCCCGTGAAAGGATTCAGTCGCGTACTGCTTTACCAATTTTCCACCCGCTGGCATTCGTCGATCTCAAGCCTTGAGCGGATGTGATTATGCTGACCGGAAATAAAATCTGCTGGCCAAGGATGAAAAATCAGTGGGTCCTATCAAAACAATAGATATTATAAGTTCATGTTATGAGTTCATGGTTTTCAACCGTCCCATTTGTGTCTCAATCTCATAAGACTCATGATAATAGATACATATATTTGGCTCTAACGGTAGATCCAGTGCAAAAGTGATGTAATAGTACATTTTACACTCCAACTATGATAATTTAGTATTTTTAGACATTCCCTCTACTTACCATTTCAAGTCTATGCCTTAATGAAAATAGTTCATATAATCTAAAGTTGTTGTTTCATAAATCATGAAGTCTATTCATGTGCAAGATATTAAATTCTTTTTATTGTGACTCTCCTATCGTATGTTTGAAATTTCTTTAACTTTTGAAATCGTTCCACGTATATTTTTCAATGTATCAAGAAATCACACATCTCAAGATAGAACATTTTAAATAAAAATGTCAAACATCAAATGTTAGACAGTAACGTCCAAAATCTTTTTCTCTCCATTCTGAGCTTAGATCATTGATTTATTTGGTCAATTTAACAATAATTCCACCTTCCAAATTTTTATTTGGAAATCTAACTCTACTGAGATAGATTAAGATAAACTAATCAATTGTGAACCTTTTCTTTCTCTATTTAGTCCTTATTTTTGTTCCCTCAACGTCGGCACTCTCTATACCAACAAGATCCAGATGTGTACTTCAAATCTTGCCAAAGCAACTTCAACTTACCAAAAATCAAAAAATCTAATTTGAATATTTATTTGCTCTTGAACCATAGACATCAGTCTGCTCGTAACTTAAACATAAATGAGGTCTTTCACTCCAGCCAAATGATTTTGGAGCTTCAAAGATTCCACAATACCACCAATTTCAACCCATCATGGTTTCTCTCATGTCTCAACTTCCTACACTCCATTCTAATGAGCTTTGACTGAGAATTTGCCATTGGCTTTATAAGGATGTTATGTCACTTATGTAGCTCCGCTTAAAACGGCACTAACTAGATTTACAGCTAATATGCTATTGCGTGTGTAGATCTATCTTAGTAGAGGTTTGACTTTAGTTTGATCCCTTATTACGACTAAAATAATAACTGCAGTAGCGGTTGTTCTTTTTTCCATTCTTTTTCAACTTAATTCCCTCCAGACGATTCTCATAAGCACTATCGTGACATGGTGTGAGCCTTATGCCTGTAAGTGAGAGATAGGTGATAAAAAACATTCAGTGTCATCTTATCTCAATGTTATTGTAAGTAAATCTAATCCGGCTGAGGAAGTCCTTGTCTTCTAGTAACGTGGTAGAGATTGTGAAGCGGCCCAGGTAGAGCTAGGTTGCTTTCTCTAACACTACGAAAGATCGGCCTTTGTTCGTCCAATGTTGTACTTTCCTAACCTTTCCGAATGTGGCGCTAAGCAAAAGTACACAAGAAGCTCGAAAGCTGACTGCTTTGAGATAGCAGCTGGATTTTACATAAATATAGCACTGTTTTTAGCGTAGTGGCTTGTGCATTGAGATATCCTTTCTGGCGTGAGATATTTGGAACTTAATTCCTCAAACACTGAAGGTGTATTGTTCCACTCTTCATCAAGCCTCTTAGTACTGTTACCAAAAAGACTATGATACGAACCCAGGAATTTGGACCGAATTATGAAAATTTCAGCATAAAAATAATACAACTCTCATCAACGCATGTATATGTTTGATGTATAGCTCATATATCAAAATCATGTGGCCAAAAAATTGTGTGTAGCAGCTCTGAGAAAAGCCATATTAGAGAGTCGTGTGATGGGCCACTATCTCGTGGATATGATGTCTCATTCACAGTTTTATTCAAAGGTGCTGATCGAATCCTTCAAATTCATCACAAAAGTGTTGAAATTCGTACACCCTGAAAATAAATGAAATACAAAGAGCGTCCATTCCTCTGAATGCCTAGGCATCCACCCAATGAGCTATCTCTGAAACAGTAAGAATTGATCCCACTTCACCATGCCAACTAAGAATATCTCTAAGACACTCCAGGAGTTTCACCTGCTTGCTTACTCCAAATAAAATTCCAAAATTCTGAACTCACCAGTTCGTTATCGTAATCGAGCTTTCACCGATACCTCGTAGCTCCACACTATCTATCTCCGACAGTTAGAGGTATATAGCCTCCCTTAACATACAGAAACAGTCGTATGACATCAAAATATAAAGTGACAGATAAAAGGACTTATTATCGTCAATCCGGATGATCTAGCTTTTATCGACTGGATTAAGTCCTGAGCCCATGGGATATTATACTGATACCAAGGCCCACACATCTGGGAAATGCGAGATCTGCCAGGCTTACGTCACATCCGCCGCCACGCGCCTGCTGCTGATGCGTTCCCCGGAACTGTGTAGCGTAGTCCGAATACTCGAAATTGCATTGTGCAACGTGGGACTCGGGAGCTATGGAGATTTCCTAGCCATGGAAAAGTACTAAAGCTGACCCATTTGCGCGGCCATCTGGGCTGCCGTCAAGGTGGAGCCAGAATGTCCAGCAACACCCTCCGGCCTTTCCCGTTGATATATGCTAACATCCGATGCCAGTTAGATTATTTATTGTTTATTTATTTATTTATTTTCCAGAGATTGGTCAGTAACAACAACGTGGCCCACAACAAGTCGTAAAATCCGAGTCTAGAGCTCGATGGACTCAAAGGACTACAGACAAAACTCGGAGAAATACGAAGAGAACGAGGTGGTCAACGGCCAAAGGATAAAGCGAAAACAGGAGGACCTGCCAAAGGACGTTCACCAACATCTCAACTCGCATTGCTCGTCGAGCCCTCTCGGAGGGCAATCCGCGGGAGGATGTCAACGAGCGAGCTTCGATCGTATGGAAAGTATCGTCTTGCGGTGGCTTGCACCTGGTCCTGATGATACCGTGTGCGGTTGTCGAAGGCCTCTACTCACGCAATCGTCGATGAATCTTGCACCCTTCAGCTCTTTTAACCTCATGTTGCCCTGGTGATTGGGTGCTGCGATCGTACAATCGCAGCTTTTCAGGTGCCAAGCTAGAACGCGATTCGAAGTAAAAAAGGGCTTGCCCATGTGGATCAGTACATCTTCTTCATGTGCGCGCTTGATCCGTAACAAGGTGCTCGTACAGGATTTCAGAGTAGAGTTCCTGTGCAGTATAGTTCCCACCTTGCTTGCCATGAAAAATTCAGATTATGTTCGGGGAAAAGATTGCTGTTCATAGCAGTCTTAGAAAGAAATGCGCTAAGGAATTCGACGAACATAGGAGACCGAGTGCTGTCCCGAAATCGAGAACTGATTGAGACAAGTCCATAAAAAAAAAAAAGGTCCTTCGCCTAACTCAAGGTAGAGAAGGGCTCAATTATTCATCAAGGCTATATAAAATCTTCACTCACACTTAGTGGCATAGTCGAATTTTCTGTACCTCGTGCATCGTGCTTGTGTGAGCCCTGTTGATAGCACTCTGGAAGAAGACCAGTTGGATGATAGATTTGGTTTTGTTTGGGAAAGAGGAATATCTCAAGGTGAACTCTTTTCATCGGTGATATCATTGGAATCAACTTCATCCAGTATTCAGTTGACGAAGACCGTCACACCTCATTCGGATTGAAATTGTCTATGGACAAGAGACAAATTCAAAGTCCAATAAGTCTTTTCAATTTCTGGAAGCTTTACCTGGACCACAACTTAAAAAACCCCAAGGCTGTGAGTTCTGCCCCACGTAACGACACCAATCCCCTAGGAAGGAGTGGCTCGGTTCTCTCCAGATATCGAAGAAAAACATATTTGGTTACCTGGAAATTAAAGGGATGCACGGAGATTTTTTAACCATTTCCATAACATTTAGAATAAAATTTCTGAAGGTTTCACTAGACTATTCAATCTCAAAGCTTTATTGTGCCTAAAAACTTCTCCAATATTTTCTGTCTTCGGATAGATTCTGCATTTTATGCATAAAACGCTGCTTCTTGAATCTCTTGTGAATCTTATTTTACCCGATCTATCAACAAATAAACAAACAAACATTTGAAACCAACCTTGAGTCAAATCGCTTAAAAAAATTAATCGCATTAAAATAGAATACAAATGGCGCATCGGTTCATTCATTCATATATATATATATATATATATAGAGAGAGAGAGAAAGAAAGAGAATCTTCTCAACCTTGCATTAACAAATCCTTATCTGTAAAACCACATTCACAATGATGGACTCCAGATTCTATAACCTAAAGTTTACATCTCCTAACTTGTGGTTTCTACTAAAGGCACGAGCATGGAAAAGTAAGAGCGAAAGAAAATTTTAAAAAATATAAAAATAATGAGATCGGGCTTTTGGAGTGTGATCAGAGGAGAATAGAATCTTCTATGTAATAAAATCATTCGGTTCACAAACATGGCAAAAGTATTTTTCTTATAAAAAATCTTGCCTTGTTTTAAAAGGAGCGAATTTAGAGGTAAATTTTGTTTCAAGTTCCACAAAAAGTTAGAGGCCCCTTATAATCTACAGAGAACAGTCCAACAAAGCATATCTACCTCTAACTATAGTCAATTGCCGATTTGTTGCGTCTCAAAGATCAGAGCAATCTTCTCTACTCTCTTCTTAAACGTGACAGTATGTCAAGGTAGTTTACTTGTGGAAGATAAATTGAGGGGCCCTCTCCTTCAAATTCCATAGAGAGTGACAATTCAGACCGTCATCAGCTCACTTCAGTTAGTGCATGCAGAACAACAATCCATGCACTAACCTGCAAAGCAGGGACTTGTTTTGCCAGACAAGCTCTTTTCACTACTCTCCTTCGAGCTCAAAAGATGTCAGCCGGCCCCGACTAATTGTACGAACGTACACCTGATCTGTTAGTCGCTGATTTTGCTCGCATTGGTGGCATCTTCCACTCGGCGACCGCATTCCAACCTTTCCTCTGGGAACAGGTCTTCAGGAAGTCATCAGGACTTTTTTACATGAGATGCAGACTCAACATAGATGGGGGTAAATGTAGTCTGGATGCAAAGTGAGACTTGTCCCGCTCAGCTTCGCTGTCGGGGTTGTTCGGAGATTTAGAAGGCGCTTCAGAAGTCGGACAATATTGCTCAAGCCATGCTGGTGACTGCTGTTTGTGCGGGGTCCTGTAAATCCACTGTAAGTGCCTACCGTACATTTGGCTTTTTAGCAGTCAGACTTAAAGCATGTCCTCATGGGTCCCGCATTGAATTTCTACATGTGATTATCTGACTTCTGAAGTTTATATATTCATCACATTCTATGCAAGGAAGAATTTCGTATCTTACGGAGGTGATCATGGCCTGGATAATGTAGTCAAGGACACAGTATATGCACCATTCACTTCTACTTCTTTTTTTTCCAAAAAATTTGGTCTTGTACTGAGTGGTCATTGATCTTGGTCTCAAAAGCTAACTTGAGCATGTGGATTGTGAACTGTATAAAACCCCAACCCAACAGTGAAACTTGTGTCAACGTCGGACTCTAATAGCATATTAACCACCAGCTTTTTAAAATATTCAAATCCCCGTGTTACCAGAGAAGTGGAGACGGATTCGTGAACAGAAAACTATGGCATTTACGCTGAAGTCTTGCCTTTTTTTCAATTTTTAGTAATATTTTATGATATATCAGTTCATATTGACATATCATTTATATATATAAAAATATTTACACACATGTTTCAGTCATTCTTTACTTGATCTAAACAGGACGTTAGGAATAACGAGATTTAAGCTATTAGTGAAGTAAAATCTTCGACCTTTACGTAAAGATTGCTAACACTGATTTTTTGAGTTGACATTTCAAGGTAGAATAGCTGCCCCAATGGCCCACGCTGGAAATCACCGTGTTATGTAAACGTCAATGTCAAAACGATTTTGTTTGATTAAAATTTCACGGCATCTAGAATTGCAATTTCAAGCAAAAATAAAAAGCTGAGAAAGCACAACCGGTAATAACACCAAGAAATCGTGAATTACAGATTTTAAAGAAAATGCACATCATCAGATAAGGGTCTATATCCTCTACTATCAAAGAATAATGGGAGCTAAAAGCATTGGTTTACAGAAAAGGTACTTGACATCAATTCTAATGCGCCTTCGTCACTGTGGAATACTACTTCGGGGGAAGATCATCAAACTCATTCTAGTTTTCAGTTCTTCGCTTGAAGTTATTGAAGGGTTAATGTTGTTGTCCTTTCTGACACATGTCGAACATGAACCACTACACCTCTGGCGTCTCTCCTTGCCAAAGGAGAGAGATGATCACTCATATGATATGAGTGATATCTATGCAAAAAAATTATGTTAGCATGTATGGTTTATAATATGGAACATTTTACTTTCTTGAAGAATCAGTTTTGTTGGCAATACTAGGTACTAGGCATCAGTAACTGAGATGTGGATATCCACAATCTGAAATTTTATTTCGGTCATGACCTTTGGACTCAATCATGAGAAAATGTAGCGCATGAAGTCAAACACACCGACGGACGGCAAAGAGAGATGAAAAGCGTGAGGATTTGGCCTGGGGCTTACTCCAGCAAGCAGTGTGAATCTCCTGAGGCTAGATAGGCCGTGTGTATGAAGAAAGTATGGTCTATCGAGTAGTTTCCCTCGCCCTAGCCATGAGGCTGCGCTGCTTCATCCTCGAGAGTGTCAAGGTGCCAAGCTCTGTATGGCCGAAGACGTGGGAACTTGATCAAGGCGAAAACTCTCGTACGCGGACTGACTCCAAAACACTCTCGCAAGGTAGTCAACTATGGGAAGAATAGACGAAGAGGATATTCCTTATCCCCACTCATTTCGCGCCGGCTTAAATTCTGTCGATTATGCGAGTCTCTCTCTCCAAGGAACGAAACATCTACATGTCGTCTTGACGTACTGAATGTGACATGTGCCTGTGATTTGAGCTGGATTGCGTCAGATCGTGTCACGCGTGTGTTCGTATATCGACTGTAGATTTGGTAAACTACAGCAGCTCGTGTTGGCAACGAGTTTCGCACCCGGAACTTAGATTCGGTTCAGAACGAGCCCCAGTGTTTTCCTCACATGAAGTCTGAACAGACTGCATCGTATTGTAGTATCCGACGTGTCCTGCAACGCAGCAGACTATCTGGGGCCCCACCAACGAGGAATGTTTGTTGTTGTGGGCTCGGGTTCTCCCCCTGAGCCAATTCTCCTGCTTCTGGATGCATCTGTAGCCTAAATAGAATCCCGGGGCCCTAGAGCTCTCGCTGCTGAGATCAGTGACACCACAAGAGCAGCATACAAAACATGGGACAGATCAGCGCCGTCTGGCCCCACCATCGAGCACCTCACCGTGGTCTTTCTGAGGGTCTTGAGGTCAGGAGGAAAGGTCTGCGGTTTGGCAAAGCGTGCCATTTGTACTGGTAAGTTTTACGCTGTCCGAAGTAAGGCAAGTGAGGTCGAAAGCGTGTGTCCAGGCTTCCATGGGGACAGGTTTAAAGAGGCCTCAGCGGCCTCAGTCTGTTCAAAATTGCCATGAATCAGAGCAGCTGATTCTTGCGGCTTCAGAGCTCCAAGTTCTGTCTGAACAGCTGAAGAAGACGGGAGAAGGAGAGCTCCTTATTTCCTGTGATCGTTCAGATAATTTAGACTTCAAGTGTACCTCGTTACATGCCTGGAGGCAGTGAGATCTACATGTCTCAACGGGAGCCATGGGTGCTGGGCCTTCGGCCAACCTTGAGTAGACGCCACCGTCGTGTGATGCGCATGTCGAACCAGCATGGATGTTCTCATGGCAGTCACAGTGTAGCAGATTTTGAGAAGCATCGGAAGATTGAGAGCGGAGTTTTTGTGCATTGGAGTTCCGCCTTGCAGGATTCACATGTGGTGTCTGTGCGGATTCCTGAGCAGCCTGGAAAGAGAGTGGCATGTTTGCTGAATCTTATTGAACAGCAGGTCCAATGCCAGAAATATCTTTGGAGCTCTGAATTGCGAGTTTCTTCGGGATCAGAATGCCTTCCCCTGCGTCAAATTCGAGCCCGCCGGTTAAGAGCACTCTTTGCTCTGGCTCAGCTTTTTGACCAAAAGTCGCGCAATTCAGTCCCTTTTTACAGCTCTGAAGATGGAATGGGTGATCTAGAAGTACATTTGTCGACAATATCGCTTTCGGATTAGATTTTGTTGCCTAATACTGATTGTATGTCCAATGCTGTCTTGCACATTTGCTAGACGTCAGAACCAAACGAAGAATAAAGGAAGCATCATTTGATATAGCCATCTTAGTCATCTAAACTGTGGATGAGAAGGGATCAGGAATTTACATGAGATAGCCATCTCAGACATTTAATCTGTGGATCAGAAGGAATTAGAAATTTACATGAGATAGCCATCTCAGACATTTAATTTGTGGATCAGAAGGACTGAGAAAATCGAACAAGAGTATTACAGTAGAACAATACAGGCCAAACCTTCTCTTTGCCCGAGTCTTTCAAGCATTCCAAGGAAGTAGAGTAGTACCAGAAATACAAAATGGAAGCTTTCTTATTCAAAGAGTGAGCTTTGTTCAGAACGATCTCCATGTAGAGATTGTGGCAAAGCTTCATGTAGGGCACACGTGAAGGTACTTGCTGCTTTGAATGCATACTATAATAACCATCAGCAGTAAATTGGCGCAGCAGAAAGTAAAGCACAATTTTGATTAGAGTTGGATCAATGGCAGGGTGTCAAATGCCTTACTCGTGCATTATAACTGCAAAGGAGAGAAATATGTATGCAGTGAAATGAGCAGATTTTTGTTCATCTTGATCATATGGAACTCTTCGCTCCAGGCTTAACAAATGCGTGGAGAACAGATATGGAAAACTGGCAAGCGAACGCTGCATCTCTTAACTAGCGGCTCCTCAATCACACCATTGGATTGAGTGTGTCAGAAAACCATGTGCCATGATTTCTCCAGATTTCTCCCCTGTCAATTGATTGAGTCTGATGGTCCTCACTTGAGAGATTATAGAAAATTTGGTGTCAAACTGAATAGATTTGTATAAGCAGGAACTGTCCCACGAGCAACCAACCGGATACCTTCTGGGTCTTTTGTACAAATTCCGATTCGAAGTAGCTGTTTCAAAAGTCCTCATCTTGTAAATCTCAAGTAAATATCAATAGGTAGAAAAGCATACACTCTGCTGGGAAAACCTCGAGATCAATGCAAGTTGTGTAACATGAGGATCTTTCATCCTAATCATCCCAATAAAAGTTATATGAGAACTATGCTGGCAGAATGTACGTATCTCTGAATGTTGATCGGACATTGTAGACCAAATAGCTGATTCCGAGAAAATCCCCCTCGCTATCCAGATCTGCGAATGCGGACGTCGTATCTCCAGGTTGGTGCCAACTTTTTATTCGATACACCAAGACACATGAATCTTCCTGAAAGTTAGTGAGCTCAAGACTAAACTGTTCATGAGAACCACTCTTAATTCTCAATGATGAGCCTCGGTCGTTCCATTTCCAGAAAATTTTATAGTATTATAGCCATCAACACCTTTAACACGATGTAGATGTTGAATCGTGTTTACAGTATTGTTGTCATCCTGATATGCCGACACAGGTTGAGCTGAAGCTAGAAGCCCTGGAAACTTTTATCAAATGTAAACTCTAATACACAGATGAAAATTTCGGGACTAGTACTAGGAAGCGACAGTTACCAGATCAGTGACCGATATTTCCATCCAGCTGATAGAAATCAGCTGGACTGATATGCACTCCAATGCTTCCCAATCAGTCTGTTGATGTATCACTTAGGACTAGATACTCCCAAGAGCAGAGCAAATCGTCCCTTCTCTTTCCTGTCAGCGACCTACGTAATAAATCTGCATCATATGAACTGTAGGAAAGCATTCTAGTATTGTAGTTCCAGATATAGCTGAGTGTCTATTAATCTCTTATATGGATATGTTTGTTGAGAATATGAAACCCAAACTATGTATGACTCATTGTCATACATCATCTTTTGCAGTCGATTTATCACATAACTTGAGACCAACAAGCATTTGCAGAATCAGCAGCACAGAGAATAAGTGGTATACATTCTGACTCGTGCTGGGTCCCTAAACCTTAAATCTCGAGCTATACCTCGAGAGTTCTATAATCTATATCATATATAGATGGTGTGACAAGTTGGACTTTGAGTGATTCGAAATTCGAAATTGCAGGTTGACCACAAAGCTCACATCATGCAGGGTACGTTCAAGTCAAAGTAAAGAAATGTAAACCAAATTTCAAACAGTGGACCCGTTCATAAGATTCTGAGTTTAACCTTTTTGCGCGTTGTTTAATCAACGTCCCCGTAACATGTTCTCATTCACATGCTTGTCCGATGGGTTTGGAACACGAGTCACATGACCTTCCTACCACTCTTGCAAAGCCATACATCTGTCATATAAATTTTCGTAGCAAACGCATCGAGTGGAGTCTCCAATTTTTCTGCGTAAAGAGCAAAACTGATAGATTTGATTGATATCTGAGGTAATTTGGAAACCAATTGTGCTGTCACTTGTGTGTATATAGTGTCTCGTAAACCTGATGTGCTGAAACAGATGTCAAGCGTTAATTGTCCTGGCTGGACCGAGCTCCTCTGGACAGAGTGTTACAAGTTGACGTAATTCCATCATATTTATACTAACGAATATATGTATGCATATCGGATGAAGTTCTAGACCAGAGAATCTGTAATAAACTCTCCGATTCTTCACAGCCTTGATGAATAATGACATTCTTCTTTCTGTAGCAAATGATATTCACCATCGCTGAGGTTGGCAGTACTGTAACATCTACTGCATTTAACCCAGCCGGGAGTGAGAGGGGACCGGATCGGAATTGAATGACATTCTCTTTCAATCCGGTGAGATTCCACCCCAGTGATAATGGTTGGGTGAGATATTGTATATGACTTTAATATGTATATATTACATGTCAATAAAAAAAATTTATGTAAATAAAATTTATGTTAATTCAATGTCATATAAATATGGAAATTCATGTAGATCATGGACTTTATGATTATAAAATCCAAATTATGAGTGAATTTCTCTGAAAAAAAAACAATTGTTCTCAAATTTTATTGATATATTCAAACAATACAACTTTGGGTTGTTGATTTAAGTGTACTCAAATCTATCTAATCAAAGGTATTCACATATATACTTAAATAGTTGTAAAGTTGTACAAATATGTATCTCATCATATCATACAATACAGAGATAGATAAAATAATAACATGATTGTATCGTATGCATTTTATAATTGAATACTAGATCACAGATAGTCAAATATACATCTAACCTATGAAAGTAATTGATTAAGATTACCATATTCAGTATTAGAATGTCACTTCGTTAATTGCTTTATCTTTTCATTGTTATGTTTTCAATACAAGCAATTCATACATCTACTAACCCAAAGGATGACACCTTTTGTGTCCAATGAATATTTAATTGAAATTATTTATAAAACATGTTCTATAAATTTGAAACATCTCACAAAGCAAAACTTATTTTGATGTATCCATTCAACCAATATATGATGTAATTGTATATTTTGGAATCTCAGTATGAACAATGATGGTCATATTGAATGTCAAAATTCAAACTAAAAAATTTAGCCTACAAACATAAACCAGAATTGTAAGCAGAGTTACATTGATTACATAGATAAATTATTTATGTAAATTAATAACTCAATGATACAAAGAGTAGATCTAATGATAATTTTTCCATAGGTATAAAAAAAACATAAATTCATCGTATCTTTCAATTATTTTTGGATAAATGTACACAAATACGTGAAAAAATAATTAGATGAATTTGTATGCTCATTAAGATTTATTCTCAATATGATTACCTGTGTGAAATCATACGTGTTGTTCATTTATACAATTATTTATTGGAAACATATTCGATGTGTAAAGAAACTATGTATATTTATTTTTAAATCAATAACATATTATGTTGAATTTTACTCAGGACACCAAAACAAGATGAAACTATTTTTAAATTATTCACAAATATTTATAAAAAATTCATCCATATTTATATATATATATATAAACATAGAAAAAATTTCTCATTGCTAAGAAATTAAATGTAAAGAAATTACTTGTAATTTCAAATGCTAGTTTTTTAATCATAAGACTTCGTTTACAAATTAAATTAGTTATTTTTTATGATTTTTTTGAAAAATTGTAATATTTCATAATATTTTGACACCTTTATCTTTGTTTCTATCTAAAAGTATACCAGAAAAAAACACATGATATTTTTCATAAAACCTGTGTATTCAAATACTCCAACCCCTTCATCTTCCACGTTCAGCAATGCAAGCATTATTAGGAGTAGAGGAAGCCGGCTTTAAAGGGCATGTAAAGCCGGCTGTAAAGGGGAAAAATCAAATCAGTTTTGACCAATTCTTTAGATCTCATCCTATGAGAATATTTGTACTGACTGCTTACATATTCAAAAGTATCACAAAAGTATATGTAAAATTCAAATCTCATTGCAGAGAATCCGTCTGAGACTTTGTGATCACTTCTTTGTCATACTCAAACTTTATATCTCTTCGATTGTCTTAACTCTCTTTACAACATTAGAGGAAGTCTCTATTTGACCAAAATGGTGTGTATTATTTTGTTGAGTGCCTATTATGATACTATTGAGGCTAGCTACATTTTACAGTTAGATGGATCTTCCCATCTCTCTTACACTAGATCATTTTACACCCTTCATATTTGGATGTCTTCTCTATCTTGTAACTATGATAATCATGACTAACTTACTTCACATATGTACGGCGACATCACAATCCATTTGGATAGAACGCATTTCATAAGGGAGATTGTAACATTTATGTTTCTCTTGGACTTGTATATTTCTATGTTTGATAAGTTATTGTCTCTCATTTCAAATCCATGTGAATACCTTGTTTTGTGTTTATATAAATACTTCTGTAATAATATTTGGAAGGTGAATGCATTCACTAATTTCTTTTAGTGGTCTATAGATATATTGTCCTTGTGACCATTTAATTTTCTCCCCATTAGAAGAAGAAGTTAGACATGCGCCACTTTCTTTGACTGCAGCATGTGAAATTAGAAAATACCCACAGATGGTGAGCAATGGTGGCGGCGTACTGCTAAGTCACAATTTTCATGTAAATAGTTGTAAGATGAAGAGTTGATGTCAACCTTATAAAAAACAGAATTGAACTTGGGTTTTCGTTACACTCATAGGTCTCAAAATCTCTACTATGACGCCTAACCAAACAAAGGCCCAAGGTCTACTTACCAAGAAGTTGAACTCAACAGCTCAACCAAGGGTTCGAAACAAGTCGTTGTCCTTGTAAGTCATAAGTCTCTCAACCTTCAGATTCATACCCCTTCAATATGAGGTTTATTGTTGTTTGCCTCAAGCTTGAAAGCTAATCACGAAAAGTATGGAAATTCCTTATTCCCCTTTTTATGGTCTTTTCTACATAACTCTTGCTTTCCGAACATCTCTTCATCCATTCCTCTTACACTAGACGTCCTCTGTTTCATAAAATTTCTATTTCTCCTAATTATGGCAACGCGTACCTATCATATGATTTTATCTTCCAATATTGCTTCCTTTCACTCTTTTTTGACCCGTCCAATTCCATTTTACCTGCCTAATATCTCACCATATATGGCAAAATACGAACTCACATGTCTTCCACTCCAAGCCACATTTTCGATCCCACAGATCCATGCCATCCGAAAGAATCCAGTGCACGAAGCGATTAATTTGTTCGTACATCCAAAGCTTATAGATACGTTCATCGAACCACAGCTCCGCAAATCTGTTGACGGAGTTCGTCCCACAAATATGAAAATTTGAAAAATCCTACCCTTCTCATGTCCCCAAGAGATCGATGGACGTCACCACGTTCGCGTGCGGGTGAGCGGCGTGGTGCGATGAGGTAATGTGACTGACTGAGTACATAATTACCGGTGCCATGGGGTGCACCACAACCATCCGATGGCTACTGAGCCAGAGAACTTGGTATGGGCTTCGCAGTAGGATCAAGTGGGTGCTACTCCGATACGATGCTCTTGTACCCATCCAACTGGCCCATTGACTTCTGCAGAGCACTTTCTTTGGCGATGGGATCTGCGACGTAAACAAACCCTCACACGCTTGCAATTTGCGCCGTGAGAGTGAGAGTGAGAATGAGCAGAGAGCGCTCGGTCTCGGGGAAAGGGACGGTGAGTTGCGGCATGTCACGTGATGATGATGGTCTCGCTTTGTCCTTGAGTCAAAAGCGTTGAGGTAGAAAGCGGACAACACCGCCGTGACTTCATGACTCTACTTTTCTCTGCCCTGGTCCTCTGCTCTCGTTTGCTCTTGTCCGATGTGGTGATGGGCGATGGCAGGAGAGTAGTTCGTGAGGATGAGGAGGCGCTTTGAAGGGAAGCCTGGTCAGAGCATCAGACGGTGGATTTGTGGGGAGAAGAATATTGGAGCTGTGCTCTGAGAGCTGTGTTTGGCAGACAGGCTCACTTTCGAGTTGTGGAAATGGGTGAGGAGGTTCCTCCTGCCGCTGCTGCCGAAGCAATTGGGGAGGTTTCGAATGGAATTACGTACACCTCGTACAGGGATGAGACCCAGTTGGCTCCCATCATGGCTCTGATTGACAAGGAGCTCTCCGAGCCCTACTCCATCTTCACGTATCGTTATTTCATCACTCTTTGGCCTCATCTTTGCTTCATGGTATGGACTGTTGTAATTTGAAATTTCTTTCTCCTTGTAGGTCAAGTTGGATGAATTGAATGGCCCCTTAGTGATCTATCCTCCAAATAGAGCAAAATCTTCGTATTCCCTTCATCCACTGTCTCAAATTAGTGATAATCTCTTCCGAATCCTGTTCAGGATCTGAACAAGAATGGGAACTCATCCACGCGTACTTGCGTGAAATCTTTTCCAGAATTTGAATTCTGATGTGAAATTCTTGTATGTATCTGCAAGTAAGATTGGCTCTCAATCCACAACATACTCTAGGGCTACAAATCGATGCATTTTCTGTGGGTCATGGTGTCTGACTTCTGTTCATTTCATAGATTTGGGAGCAAGCAATTGGTACAACGTTACCAATAATAAGACCTGAAACTATTTTTGATTGCAGGCTTCTCATGAAGGAGAATGTGTGGGGACAATTGTTTGCAAAATGGGCCAACACAGAAGCACTTTCCGTGGCTACATAGCTATGCTCGTGGTGATCAAACCCTACAGAGGAAAGGGCATTGGTACGACTCATTCCATAACTATGCTGATTGAGAATGCAATCTGTTGGTATTTTTTCTATCTCCACGGGCATTCGTTTATCCTTCACAATATGTCTTGCAACTCTGCGAATCATCGTTTACAAATCTTTCTTTGTGTGAATAAAGGAAGATTCTCTTCTTTGGCCCTGAACCAGCTGTGATGAAGGCCCATGCTTTGTTCCAATTCACTATGTGATACTCTGAGTCACCTAGCCTTATTATCTTCTTACGACCAGAAAGTGTGAATCATCTAGTGAATCCTGCAGAACATTATAAAGCTCTCTAGCAAGTCTAAGCCTTGAGATGGGTTGCTTCTGTACCACACGCCCTAGCCCATGCCTTGGGTTAGACCTAGAAATCTACTGTTTACATTACTTTTACAAGATGATGACTCCATGCGAGTGTCAAGAGCTGGGTACTCCATTGCTCTAATTGCAACTTCAGAATTCCCTACCTGTACATATGTCTCTTTCCTAAAAGCAGCCTCACCTTCAATGCTAAACATGACTTGTGTTGGAAGTGTTTCCACTGCTGGCAATCGAAGCTGTGAATATGATGAGGTCTTTCGACCGATCTCTTTGATCGGCTTTGTAGCGAAGAGCTTCTAGACTGTGAACAAGTAGTACTGTTCATGGAGAGGTCAATTACTTGCAGTTAATATGTGGAACATTTCAGATTATTCAAGCTCTCATATTTCTATTGTCCATCTTGCAGCCACAGAATTAGTAACAAGATGCCTGCAAGTTATGCGCGAGTCTGGGTGCGATGAGGTACTCCTTTCATCACCAGAGTTTTAAGTAATTTTCAGGACGATCTTTGCTTATTGGGGTACATTTTTTAATCACTTGAACAATTAGTTTTGCTCAGAAACATTTTTGCATCCCAATCATCGGGGCATCATCATGGCTGATTTTAGGGAACCTTAGAACTTACCTCATGTATCTGAACAACACCAATTACTCTGAAATACTCGTTTTTCTTCTCCTTCTCTAGCCATCCTCTCTCAGTTCTGGGGCTATGACTGGAAGGGCTATGACGTAGTTTCCTCACCGTTTGCATGATGTAGAAGTAATGATTCTTTCCAGATAAAAGCATCGAACACCAGTTGTAGCAAGAAAGGAGAGGCTTCAAAATTTAGTAGCTTTTGTGATGTACAAGATTAAAAATGAACTGGGACGAAAATCGGAATGTTTTGCTAACAGTATTCACTTTTTGGTCTTTGCCTGCAGGTGACTCTGGAGGCAGAGGTAACCAACAAGGGAGCTTTAGCTTTGTATGGTAATTTGGGGTTCGTCCGTGCAAAACGTCTCCATCGGTATTACCTTAATGGTGTAGATGCATATCGACTGAAGTTGCTGTTTCCAAGACCTCAGGACGCCTCCAGCTTGATGCCGGAGCCTCATGCGCAAAGTTCTAGTATGAATGCCTGCCAAGAAGAAGGATGCCATGATCACCATGATCACCTTGATCACCATGATCCGGAAAGCACCTATGGTCGAAACATGTCATTGAATCATCTTTACTTGGAAGCATTGAGCCTACAGGATCAACAACTGAGACAACCGGGCTACAACAGTACAAACTATCATGATGTCCAACATCACGACTGTGCCCATGGCTGTTCGCATGATTCCGATTTAAAAGGCCAGAGGCTGAACATGGGCATAACCCAAACCTTGTCGTAATCCGGAAGGTGTGCACAAAAAGCATGGACATTGTTTGGCTTCACACGTCCCTCCGAAGGCATAGAGCCACCTCTTCGCGCACTCGTCGTGGAAAAGTCGGACGGTGAATCTTTTTTGCAGTTTGAGAGGCCTTTACGTGCTGACTCGAGAAACAATTTTGGAGCCTCTATTGAGGTTTAGTTGAGTTTATGCTTCCAAGTGAAAGTCGATAGAGGCGAGATCGGGGGGCCTTCATTAGTGGTGGGCACCTTGCTCCTATACATGTACGTGCTTCCTGATTAGCTTCTTACCTTCACGTAACAAGTCCACCAACAACTTCACGAGGAGAAAGAATAGCTCGTGGGTACTGCTGAGATTTTCAAAGCAGTTGCACGTGTGGTACAAATACAGTTACAGGGAGGGTTGTACAGAAGCTGATTACTTGAGAGAAGGTTTGCACGCCCTTTCACAATCTAGAGGACTTCGTACCTACTCTCTCAACTGTTAATACTTCCGAACTACGAATACAATCTCTTCGTCTCAATCTGAGGAGATCAGATGCCCCGTGTTTACATTACCACGGATTTGTGTTCTTGTGTTCACTGCTTGCCGCTGGGGTTGACCTGATCATTTATAAAAATTGAAGACATTCACGTTTCAACTTAAATGGCACGCAGAATTCAGCATCCCACGAATCTGTGAGCGTTTACATTTCAACTTCCAATCGTAATGTAAATATCCGTCAGGAGGAGTGGGCTACTCTTTCCCGTATTACCGCGGGTTGTTTCTAAGAGTTTAATACTGGTCTCCAACAGTCTCATCCTGTCCACGATTAGTAGCGTGCAGTGTTCATGAACTTCTTGCACTCCTTGTCGCGTTTAAGACTAATGATAATTTCCCGGTGAATCACGACTTTCGGGGTCGGTTTATGGACACTAACGTCGTTTGATAAGTCACGAGACATTAGATTGTTATAACTACGGCAGACAAATTTAGTGTCGCGCTTTCGTATTTTGGAGTGGCTGGGGCCATACACTCCTTCTCACAAGAAACACTACGCTGAAGAATATTGACAGATGGTACATAATCAAAAGACAATGGTCTTAAGGTTTGCGCTTCTTTATAGATATGTGTATACTATAGATGTGAACAAACATGAACATGCATTTTCCTGTGCTTCACCATAACGGCAAGAAAAGACCATTCCGGAAGATTCTTCAGAAAAAGAAGCCCCCGCCATTCTTCCTTCAGGCACAACAGAAACCTTGATGTAAAAAAATTGTTACTGCTCTGCCAGGCGAGTAACAGAGGAACAAATCTGTATGTAATTGGAAATAATATCATCTTTTGTACTTGACCGGTCAAACATGCGCTATACAATGTACACCTCACAGGGCAGATGATGAAGCCACCAGACTTGGTGTTCAGCTTCACCACGACAAAACTCCCTGCAAGTCTTAGCAGGCGTTTAGCAATGCGCCGCTATTTCCAACTGCTGTTCAGATACTACGTGTGACCTTGACACCTTGTAAAAAACATCAAGATGGTCGTTGGAGTTTCCAAAGTGAGCGAGTGTCAAAAGTGGAATAACCTCCAGTGCAAGTGGTATCTAAAAGGTTGATAACCAGTGCATCTTCAAAGTGCTGCATAGTTCACTACTTCCCAGTGTAGTTAACATCGTTGTATCATTTGCCCCTGTGGAGAACCCAACGAACAATCATGTCAACCAAAGTGAAAAATACCCTCAGTGTAAGATTTCAAAACTTCATAGGGATGATTTAGCCGAAAAATGGGTAAGGACTCACGTATTCATCATCAACGTGATGTTGTCACCTTTCAGAAGAATTCTTCCTGCCAACAACAAAAATTGAAAAAAGAATGACACATGAGCTTGCGAAAGATTCATGTTCATTTTGGATACACGAGTCGAAATAACGAAACTACGAAGAGCTCTTGTGGATACTATTCAAGATACTAGTATCTGGAAAGTCTGGTTGACTCCAATGCTTTCGACCAATGAGCCTTCATCACCATCTTGCTCAGGCAACACTTGCAGATTGATGGAGATATAAAGGCAAAACTTCAGGATCTCACCACCAATCATCCACGTTATAAAGGACTATGTTAATTTGGGTGACGATTAATTTGATCCTTGATATGTAAGCGAAACTGGTATTATCAAGAAGGAACTGTCATTATGACGTGAGCAATTTCGTTCTTCAGACTAAGTAAGAAAAACAGAGCATAACACTGACACATACCCAGGGGCTTCTTGGTTTTCTTCTTTAGAGAGATCTCCTCGGCATCCTCGAGTACAAGATTCATGTACTCATCAAAACCCTGCAACGGGAACAGGCAGCAGTAGTAAGCATCACAACTTCTGTACAAAATCAGTCACAACACGAGATGCTCTAGATACCGCGGGCATGTGCTGTGTGAAAGAAAAGGTGAAGCTTTATAGATGAGATAGGTTATGATGTAAGCCTTCAAGCTGGGAAAAATGTACTCACAATAATACGGCCCTCAATTCGGAGGTCCTTCTGTTCGAACAACCAAATTTGAATCCTCGATTTCTGTGTTTTAGAGCAGGAGGAAGATAGGGATCAGATAAAACAAAGAAAAGCGGAACAAAAGCCGCAATTTTGACAACATATGTGAAATTTTCAGGAGCCCACTGAAAACCAAACTGAGTAGAGCATCAGCAGCTGAGTCAGAACTTCCGGTAATGGCATAGGTAGGTAAGTAGCTTACACTTTGCAAAAATCGAAAGATTAAGTTCTGTCGCACGGAGGAGGAAGCAATTTACGTGGTTCGAGCCACCACCACATGTGACACAAAAAAAACCACCCATTTAGTTCTGATGCAGGATAATTCAGGTGACAAAGATAAACTATAGAGCCAGAAAAACGAAATACGAGCGCAGAGAGTCTCATTAGGTCAAAAATCTAGTGCAATTTGCGACGCCATATATCGAGGCTGATCGAGAACAGGCCCCGCATACAGCTCCAAGGTTTCAATCGATTTCCAAGGACAACCAGGAGCTCCCATCTTTGCAAACATTTTGAAGACTCCCACATTTTTTGCCACAAAAGGCAGGACGAGTAGCATGGTCACCGAGCATTGAACACAGGACTAAAATCGAGCGCGAAAAGACGCCAAGACCCATCCTACATACAAAAGCACAACGAAGAAACTGGTCGAGAATGAAGAACATACGATCGGCTGTGTCATAATCCGCTGCACTTTGGTGGTCGCCATGGTTGCGCGCGTTTTTTACTTCGCTCGAGGTGTCGAGAGAAATTTCCAAATCCGAACGCAGTGCGCAAACCTGAGGCTTAGGGTTTGACTCGGAGGTTTTGCTCGCCTGGCCGCGCTTCCACAATACACTACCGGAGTTGCTACCGCTTGTTCCGGTTTACTACTCTGCCTCTCTTCCGCGCTTACCGCGAGCTAACGCGTGCTTTACTGGCACAAAGAGTTCTCCCGTTCCACTCCAGGTTGGCCTCCTACGCCAAAGATGGATTCGAAGTGTCCGCATGATCCATACTTTCCGACCCCGAATAAGCTGGAATGATTGTATTTTGTCCAGAAACCATTTCTAATCGATACGAACATTGATTTTACTTTATGAATACGGGTCTAACTTTTGGTGAGAAAAATTTAGTTTCCAGTCCAAACTACATAAATCTCCTTTTTTTCTTCACACAAACATCTACATGTAAGTTCTATGGAAGAATAACTTAAGTAATAATCTTCTATGTTGTATGAATCGTTTTCGAATTATATATATACCATTGCACTGAGTTCGGAAAAAAATGTGCCAAGATGATTATTCTGCTTTGCATTACATTTTAATTATTATGAATCGTTCACATATATATTTGTATATATCATCCATGACAAAATAAATAATGTAGAAAAGAATATCATTATGATTGTCTAACATGTGTAACATCACTTCAATATTACTTTCCATTATAATTAGGTTTATGAGCAGTCTATTTAAGATATTTTTCTTTATTTAAAAATCATATATACATGCAAGTTTTAGAAAATTAATAGGAGATGTAAGCAATTCTAATGTACATCAGAACTTAAAATTATTCTTGAAAATGATAAAATGTTAAAAAAAGAAGAAAAAAATGTAATTACGTTTAAATTGTAATAAAGAAACCAAAAAAATAAATTATTACAGCAAAATTTTTATCCATGACGTAAAATGTAAAGGAGATTGTAAAGAAAATGTTCCAAAAACTAAATTGAATGGTTTATACTTTGATGCGGAAAAAAATTAGAAAATTAACACTTTGAGTCATTAATATGTGACTTGATACAAATTGTTATACCATTTTTTTCAATCAAAGGTTTATATACTTTTCATAATGGGTATGTAATATACTTTACAAGCTTATCTTGCATAGTTTCACAAAATGACTTCTACAATAGGAAATAAGAACAGCATGATATGTTCATAGGCTCAAAAACCTTACTTGTTTTGTATACAAGATATTATAAGTAGAATATGTAGTATAATGATTGAAGATATTAAAATTTTTATGGTATTTCATAGATCCAGAACTGAATGTGAATTTTCACACATCCAAGAAGTGTAGAATTTTTTTGTGCGGAGATATTTTTTATATTCAAGATTTGTATAAGCTTTATAAAGATGCATTTCATAAATTTGATTTGTGATGCAGATAAAAAAAATTAAATTTTAAACAGATTTTTATATGTATTTATCATATATTGAAAATTGGAAATTATTTAACTGGATATTGAGATAATATTTGAATTGAAAAATTAATTAAATTATAAAGCTAGATAATTTATATCAAGAGTCGAGATTAAATATCTCAAGGCTCTTCATTTCTGCAATTGTGATTTAAAGTAACACACAAATATACAATCGTATTAGCAAGGTCTAATTTTTAAAATTCATTGTTTGGGACGATAAAGATAAAACTAGGTGCTTTTCGAAGCAAAGTCAAAATCAACTTCCAAATTGATCATCAGCTCACTTAAGTATGATTATATGGTATTTTTTTTTAATCAAAACGTAATGTATCTCGAATCATATACACAACATTTTCTCAGAAAGATTTTATTATGCATTTAGCAGGTGATATCAGCATTAGACTAAGGGCAATATAATTTATCAACAAGGTCATTGCTAATCAAGGTATCGACAAATTATAAAAATTGCTGATGACCAGCAAGGCCCTAACTTACTCTAAAAAATAATGGCCGCAATGAGTAAATATGAAGTAGATATTGTTAGAAAACAGCATAAAACCTCGTAGAGGTTCGGGATGTTTTCTCGTTACTTCTTCATTGAAAATTTTAATCACAGTATACGAACCAACTTCGAGCCAAAAGCCCTGCACATCTTTCGTGTAGCCGGAACATGATAAAAGTGAACATATATAGTTTGACGAGAAATCTGAACACACAGAGTTCTTACGAAAATCGGACTTTTTTGGAGCGACATCGAAACAGCGCGCATGACGTAATCAATACTCGGACCAAATTTCGAACCTTCGCATGACAGAACATCGTCCTAAACCATGGATCCGGTGACAGAAATAAGAACAACACGCAGTTCCTACCGAGAAGGGATCCACGCAAGCTTAACAGATTTGTACACCCGGCGCTTAAAAGCCATGTGAGAAGCGAAGGAAACTGACTCAGCTCGCCCGTCATCCAGCATCGTCAGGCCCACCAACCAACCAGGCAGCCAGCCGCACTGTACAATCTTCCACCGTCCCCGTTGTGTTCGTCAAACCACCGAATCGACTCGACGGCGATGAACTAACCGTCGACGGCGCACTGGCTAACGAGTACTCCGAGCAGTCAGCCGGTCAGCAAGTCAGTCAGTCAGTCAGTCGTCGGAGGCAGATTGCAGCTTTAGCACCCCGAGAGCCCGGGAGCCCGGGTATGGCAACCATGTGAGGCGAAAGGCGGGCCGCGGGCAGCTATGGAAGACGAAAGACGAGGGACGAGGCGAGCACATGGAGTGATGGGCAGGCCCAAGGCTCCAACTGGACGACTCAGCGATTACGTGGAATTCGTCATGCGCCGCGCGGTATGCCCAGTCGTCCCACTGTCACAAGCAACGTTACATGCATGGATGGACTGACGAGCGCAGCGCACAGCAGATTCTGATGCTGCCCAAGTCCCACACTATTTAGCGCTGGCATCAGCAGCAGCCGTCGAATTGCTCAGCCCTTCGCCTCTAGATTGCGCTCGTGCTCGTGATTCTGCTCGTGGTCCACAACCGCACAGGTCGAGCGTCGGTCGTCTGTGCCTCTTTCTGATTCAGGTGAGCCCGTTTCCTGGGTGGGTGTTGCCATCTCTGTGATTTTGGAGGCGGAAGATTGATAAATTGATGAATTGATTTTTGAAGACTCCGGAGACTACGGTCGCTCGCTCGGTTCAGCTGAGCTCGCGTGATTTTGTAGCCAGGGCGTTCTGTGTCGAGGACGGTTCGATTCCGGGACTCTTTTCGTCGTTCGCTCTCGGCTGGTCGGTTCAGTTTTGGTCCTCGATGAATTTTTTTGGCCCGTGCTCTGCACTTCAATGGGAGTTTCTTGTGAAGCGGGTGAGGGATGGAGGGAGGTAGAGTGAGGGAATTCGCCTGTGCAGAGATCGGGTTGAGTTGGTCCTCTCAGTTGTGCCTGGGAGTCGAAGCTGATGTCACAGGGGCTCCTCTGCTCGCTCTGTGGTGGAGCTTTTGGACTGATCACGATGTCCGAGATGGAGTTGTTGGAACCGAGTACTCAATTTAGTAATAGTCAAATTTTTTTCACCAGAGTTTGCTTCCTTCAGAGCGGTCAGTTCGTATTTGGATTGGACCACACCGTCGCCACAGCAGAAATTTGAACACTCGATCCAAATTTGGCCAGTCCAGTCCAAAATTCTAGGATCTGCCGCCGTCTGTGCGTATGTTGCTGACGCAGTGGGAACCATTTTTTTTTTCAATTCTGGTAGTTGCAGAGCCCGTAACTAGTACTGAGCTGGTTCTGACTTGGAGCAGTGGTTTGGGCCCTCTTTATCTGTCGAGGAATTTAGTAGGCTGATTTAGTACGCATCTCTGCCACTCGAGGTGGACGAGGGTCGAAAGCTCCACAGAGCTTTGAATTTCATTGCGGTTTGCCATCATCATCATTATCACAGACTGACCGCCCTCAGTACGTCTGCTGCAGGTGGAGAATTTGCCGACGATGAGATGATTGTATAGAGAGTGCAATTTTTCAGTTTTTAAGTCGACAATATGAGGAAGGTTACCTTGTTGAGAGCACTGCATTACAGTTTCGCAAGGAGATGGACAGCAATCGGTGAGCTGCCTTTCGGAGCCGGGAGATCTGGCCTTTGTACTTCATCAGGATTAGGATTTGAGCCCGTTGTCCATGATGACAACAATTATGATTCAAGCGATAGCAGTACATACTCCGACAACTATGTAACAAGGTCCAAGTTGAGCGTGCGAAGTGGAAGAGCTCGAGGGGAAACATTTATTCTAGCTTCGACACTGGTATGAATGTTTCTGCTCTGCAGCCATAAAGAGGTCTTCAAGATCGGAAACCTCACATACTATAGCAGCTCTGATCCTGAGAAGGCTATCTTGCTACTTATTGTACTAACTTGCTCTTGTGTACCTCTTTTCTTGGTGCAGAATAGTGGAAGTGCCCAACCGCGGAGGAAGTACAGCTCACTTCCTGAACTGAAGCTTGATGTGGGTGGAATTATTCCTGTTCCTTTGGCCCAAACGGGAGAAGGCATTGCAGATTGTGAGCTTCTGCGTTGGTTTGTCCAGGAGGTAAGGCTCACGCAGGACATTCTCCTTTTGAGTCCATTTTTGATGGCACAGCAATTACGAGGCCTATGAGTGGGCCGGACTGTGTTGGATTTTGAAGTTCTTGTCTTGGTTGATGAAGGGAGATGAGGTGGACGAGTTTCAACCATTGTGCGAAGTACAGAGTGATAAGGCCAGCGTAGAAATAACCAGCCGATACAAGGGAAAAGTAAATCGCGTCTTGTACATCCCGGGTGATATTGTGAAGGTGTGTTTTAGGACTTCAAGTTGTCTCAGCCTTTCCACTTTTTTGCTGGATCATCGTATTTTAAACTTCATGATCAGTCGTACTTCCAGTCGTTTGTTGAACTACCACAAACTATCAAATCAAGAATTGTCAACAATCGCATCCACTGTCAAATGCATATTGACAATCATCACTGCATACTATCACTAGATAAAGAGCATCTGAATGGTTTATCAATAGTCGGCTGTCAACCGTAGCTGCTTGCTGAGAACTTCATTGGCAATTCAGGTTGGGGAGACTCTATTAGAGTTGCTTGTTGATGGAGATCATAGTTTGGCTACCCCAGTTGGACGGGAGGAAAAGTTCGAATCTGAACCTACAGCTTCAGACTCTACAAGCTCTTCTCCTGGATCCGGTTATGGACAGAAAGAAGTACATGCAACTCCGGCAGTCCGCCAGCTTGCCAAAGCTTATCGCATTGATTTGTCGGCTACCATTGGGACAGGCAAAGATGGTCGGATACTCAAAGAAGACATCTTGAGAGCCGCTCTGTACAGCTCCTCTCCGGAAACTGCTAGCAGGTCTAGTCGAGGATCAGAGGGCAGTATAGTGCAGTCAGAATATTCTTCTGATTCTGAAAGTGATGTCGAAACAGGGGAAATTCCTGTCGATAATGTCTCAACTGGAGTGAAGCCTTTTGTCGAGGACTATTTACAAGAAGACCAGATCATTCCTATCAGGTACGGCCAAAATCAATGAACTCATTGAAGTTGTGGCATTCACTGGACTTCACTTGAGGTACAGTGAATACAACTTGAAAGAACATTTGCAAAATAGACATTCTCTCCATTAACCTTAGACTTCTCTACTATTTTCAGGGGTTTCCGGCGAATAATGGCGAAGACCATGGCAGCAGCTGTTGCTGTCCCTCATCTTCACTACACAGAGGATATTGAAATGAACTCCATCGTGCAGTTGAAGAAGAGCCTTAAGGACATGCCTTTAGAGAAAGGGGTGAAACTTACTTACTTGCCGTTTTTGATCAAGGCCCTCTCACTAGCCTTGCTGAAGTATCCAATCATGAACAGCACCGTCAATCAGGAGGTCACAGAGATCCACGTCCACTGTAAGTGCACTGCTCATAAGCCTGTGAATTTTAAGAAGAGCGTTAGCTTCTTGAGATAAGTACTGGGTCAAGTGAAAATTTCATGTAAGGTGGCTCTCCTCTCTGTCGAGGCTAGTTTGTGGTATTGAGGAGTAAATCTCTGCGAAATATACTTTATGTAGTGCACATTCTTATAGTGTCAGGATATTGTTCCCAGCTTAACTCGAAATCTCTTATACTTTGCAGCATCTCATAATATTGGAGTAGGGATGGCAACCAGCTCAGGCCTTGTCGTCCCCAACATTAAGAATGTCCAGAGATTGTCCATCATGCAAGTAAGAACGCAACACTCAGTTTCTTCTTACAAGTAGCCTCAGACTCTGTTTTTTTGTTGCTTTTTTGAAGCACTAATAGTCCTGACCAATTTGAAAAAGAGACGGTCATTCTTATCCTGATGGTGAGAATGTTCTCAACCTTGCCTTTGTCAAATTCATTCTCCACGGTTTTCCGCGTTCATCTCTGTTTACCGAGCAAGGAGCCTCGCAATATCACAAATAACCTGGTTGATTTTCGTTGCAGATTGCCGAGGAGCTTTCTCGACTGACACAACTTGCAGCAACGAATAAGCTGAGCAACGAGGATGTGACAGGAGGGACTATCACAGTGTCGAACTTCGGTTCCATCGGAGGAAAATATGGGTCTCCAGTTATTAGTGTACCGGAAGTGGCAATTGTAGCCATCGGGAAGATGCAAACACTTCCCCGGTACAACACGGACGGGACTTTGTACCCTGCGAGCATCATGGGTGTAAGTCATGATTTCACTTTCACTGACACATTATTTGAGAGGCTGCATGCTACTTTTCCTCAAAGTGTTCGTGGACCTGCTTTAAGCCCCCTTCCCTTATCAGTATTAATGCTGGATCTATCTAACATCAGTCATGTCACTTATTTTGTCATTTCAACAGGTGACTTGGGGTGCGGACCACCGGGTCATCGACGGTGCCACAGTAGCAAGCTTCTGCAATCAATGGAAGGTTCTCATTGAACAACCTGGGCGCTTTCTTCTGAACTTGAGATGAGGCATCAGATTTCCAAACATCTAGGAGGAACCTTTCTTCAGGCCTTTCTTCGGGCCCGAGTGACAAGTTCATGTTACCCTTGTTCTCGGTTCTTAAGGCAGCTCTGAGACTGCTGTAAATATATCATCCTGAAGTAGGCATCGTTCATTGGTGTCTGTTTGGACAAAATAGACCAAAACAGACCCAATTTAATATACAGTTCTCGGCCATTCTTAGCAGTTCCAGAAAGTTCTGAAGACACTCAATGTATATTGTAGAGCTGAAGATCATAACCTGAAAATATTTAGTAGGTTGGTCAGAGCGAACGTAAAGACACAACTCCTGTTCGTCTGTAACATACCTATCAAACGGCTGCCGGAGAGAAAGCGAGAAAGTTAAAGGAGTTGTAAGATATACCCAAATTTTCAAGCATTGCTTGGCAGTCCGAAATGTCATTTTAAGAAGACTTTGTCCTTGTACGTTTTCTAAGCTGACCAGAGACGACAACACTTCAGGCTGATGGTCAAATGATGGAAACATCTCAGTGGTTATGAAGGAAGCTCTCCCATCCAGGATCTATCGTCATCTTATTTGAAAACCTACATGTCCTCCACGCGTTTAACTGTGTTGTCAAGGGATGGAACTCTTATTCACATGGAGTATATTTCATGTACTGACAAAGTGAAACATCGATGAAAAGTTAGTTACATTCCACCAAAACGACGGTGTACAAAGAATGAAGCTCAACCGAGTCTCGCTTCCTATCCGTGCCTGGTTCCAGTAGTTTAATGGAAGTTGACATGAGGGCAAAATCAGCCTACACATGTGAGTTAATTACTTAGAGGGTACAAGTGTGAAGAGCTGCAGCTCACAGGTGTTAAAAGGTGCAGCAGAGAAGGATTAGGCGCACAGTGAGAGGACCTTTGTCAGGTGATCTGGATTACTGATTGTCAAAGTACCACTCTCACGTTGAGCATCTCGTGAGTCTCGTCATCAGCTTATGGAGCATTAAACGTGAAGTGGTGGATTGGCTGTACACATGGTTTCCAGCGAGACTCGCAGATAGACGAAGAGAGAATATGATACCAGTGCGTGTCGTGTCTGTACAGAGTCCAACAACTGTCATGACACCGTGGGCTGGTAAACACTGTGGAGGTTTCCTCATCTCTTAACAATTCACATTGCTATCTTAATTTTCTCGTCATTGGAAGACAGAAGAGAAGAGATCACGTTACCACTTCCACATCCTTCGAAGAGTTTTTGAGTCTTGTACAGAAAACGACTATTAGTTTTTTCATCCTGCGAAGATTCCTATCGAAATTGGGCAAAGTTAGTACGAAATTTATCCTCTGCTGTTCACAGTTTTCTAACCACATTTAGCCGGCAAAAACAGTTGCTCGTTTTTTGACATTGAGGCGCTAGTAAAAGATGTCAAGACAGGAACCTTCAAAAACTTTGTACTGGCGAATCCCTGGACTGCTGCTCGTGGATACAGACACATTTTTCTTTTGTCAATATTTTAGATTTAAGCCCGAATGTCAGTGTGATGAATGTTTACAAATTGCGGTTCATGGAGGCTTTACGAGCATTTACAGCCTCCAACTGGTCAGAGCTTAAAGACTGGCTAAAACATGCTTGGCAGACCCCCAAACGAATTCATGCTTGTTGTTTAATCTTCTTGTGATATCATTTGAATACTTTTCTTTTGAACCTTCGAAGGATCTTTATCAACACTTGGGGAGCTCATTCTCGTGACGAGAGTGATGGTATCTGAACGGTTTCAATATAAGATTAGCTAAAACACATTGGAACAGTCGTCAATAAGAACCTGCCAGCGCTCTGCTATATATGGTGTGAGTATTATATATACACACACCTGATCTCACGAAGAATTTCACGTAGGCAAACGAGTCATGTGATGTTCTTGAACCAAAATATACTGTTTGACTGGATGCTACTATTATTTGTCGGTTATTCTAAGGCTTGGAATAATAATCGGGTCTTCATTCTAAAAATACACACGACATACCTTCCTGGTTCAAATATAGTTGTCGTAGGGCTACACATGTACACATGTGGAGCTATTTCAAAAGAACGTGAATTCTTCTCCTAATTTTGAAATTATGTTTGAGAAGTGTCCATTAGAAGATCAAGAAAAGATAACTTTATTTTAGGAGATCTCTTGAGTGTGATTTACTGTTTGACTGAAATAATCGCATGATTTAAGACAACTTTATTAAAAGACTATGAGTCGAAAAGTAAGACCCGTGAATACAGCAAGAGGAGAAAGAAGGTATAGAAATATCACATAGATATTTCTATAGTAATAAAATGTAAGAGATAGGATTGAATATCTTTATTTCGTAGAAAAGCAATCAATTGCAAGTATAAATGGATAGCACTGAGTAACTTCAATATCATTAACATCGTAGGAAGTAGTTTTAGGTCACTATTAAATACGGAGACATTGTGAAGACAGAAGAAATGCAGAAGTAAATAACATAAACAATGTATGTAACAAATGAAAGAAAATTTACACTGTCAAGTGCCTTTGTGGGCCGAAAACAATAACGTGCATAGGATATGTTTGTTCTTCATCCGTCCTTTGTCAACATTTGCTGGCATCACATCTAATCCTGTGCCATGTATTAGAGCTAGATCTAGTTTAGTGGAGATCGTTCAAGCCTCAAGGAATATAGTTCCTCATGCTGGACATCCGGTTCATTTGCTGAAGGTAATAAAGCCGGAGGACCTGTCTACATGTCACGTACCGACACAAAAGCAGCATTGCACATACAGTATTTGGAAAATCCTTCAGTTCCAAGAGCAGTTTCAGTACCACACGGATGATATTTCCATGATTTCCCAATCTTAAATTTCCTCATCTCGGATATCTCTCCATCAGTTATAGAGCTGCGCACAAAGTCTCAATTATGTCACAGTATATAGTCCCGAACTAAACAAAACAATAAACCAGAATACCCCTTTGTAAATTGAAAGTCCAAACAGTTATCACAGCTCACTTTCGACCAACTAAGAAACCTAGCCATCCATATCCACGAAACAATCGGGCAACCACTTGCAACTCAAAATTGTGCTTAAAGTAAGCATTCATTGTTGAAAATCATCTCCATAAAATGTATCAAAAAACATCCAATGGACTCGACGAACATAGATTGCAAGTCAGAAGAACCATAGGAAAATGGTTCAAAAATTCCTCTTTCGATTTTAAGACAAGAGCAATCCAATGAGGAAATATGTTTCATATATACAAGGATGGAATGTACATTGAAAAAATTTCCTAATCCATAAAATAGCCATCTCCAGATGACGTCTTTGCGAAGCCACTAACCAGTTAGATACATTGCTATACCTTCTATTCATATGCTCACATCCAGCTTTAGGTATCTAAGAATGTCAAGCTATTAGAAAGCAGTTGAATTCTCAGAAGGTGCAAAAAAGCATAGATTTTCTTTGAACAAGGCTACTTGCGTTTAATTGCTGCCCACTACATATGCGCTAGAAAAACATCACACACCTACAAAGCTTCGAACCAAATAAAATCTGATAGAATGTATAGGAAATAGGGAATCGCGCACAATATCATGTCAGATATTCACAATGAATAACTTGGTAAGATCATATATTCTCAAAAGAAATGACCTTCTCAAGGTAAATGAGACAGTTGAAGAGAAGTATAACCTGCTCATAGTTAGAATCATATTTCAAGGAGGTCGGTCAATGACTTCACTGTAATCATGGCAGACTCAAAAACCACCATAAAAACAAACACGTCGGAAACACTCCGAAACCTTCATCTTGTGTCACAAGAATTTGAAGAATTATATAACTTGTAAGAGGTTTATAAAACCAGGCCATACTCTATAATATCTACAGGCTGTTATTTTGAGACTCCTTAAGGGTGTGTGCATCCTACTACTTCACAACTCATTGTCATAATACAGTTACTAGTTAGGTCTACAGCCTTCAGCCAGAGTATAGGGGGGAGTGGCGTCTAATGAGATGCCTCTTTGAAAGTAATTCTTCGTACATATTTCGTTGGAGGTTAGGTTTACGTCCTTTCTGTAGAATGTACTTTGTGTATTTATCATTAAGAGATGAAAAATTAATTTTGATTCCAGTTCTAGTACCATGATTGTTCAGACCTGTCTTTTTTTTTAATTTAATTTTTTTTAACTACACCGGGAGAGGATGGCATTGGGTATGGAGGTGACAGGGCAATACATTATGAATGCCTTGTTCTTTCGGTAGCGCTTTATTACATTAGGTTTTATTTCCTTCTATAAATTGACCAAGTATCTTACTTAGCTCCATATGGAAGTTTATTCTTGCACGCAAAACTCTTTGATGATGAATTGCTCATTATTGGTTCAAATTTCATTATACCAATCATGAGCTAACCTTTTTTGGGAGCCTAGCGCCATCCTAGCCCCTTGGGTTTCCTCCATATGAGACGTGATGGATCTTTCCATCCTTTCTGCTGTGTTAGTCGATTCCTACTATGCTTTATGATCCATTTTGTCTCCGTTGGTTGTTGTTGTTGCATATTCCCATTTCTTCCGTTCAACTTTCTGTGTGTGTTCTAGAGGTCAATAGCTATACTCTTCGTATATTTCTCGTTATATCTTGTCAATTTTCCATCTATTTACAACGAGGTTACATACTCATGTTTTTGTTCTTATATACTCATTATACCTTAAATATGATGCTTCTACTCTTCACATTCTTCTCTCTCAATCAACATGTTCTTTTTAAAAGTCATTCATTTCTATGGTTGGTAATTGGCGTTTGATCATGATATCATGATGGATAATACTTATCTTTTGAAGTTTTTACAGCGCAATTATGTCTATTTCTTTAGCAATAACAAAGGGTGTCTTCTACATCTCGTCCAATGATACACATTGTAAGATCTGCATATTATGCATGTCTTTAGCTTACTTCATAACCAGGGCATCATCTTATTGTCTTTGATGTCAAGGTGTTCAAATCTATAGTCATTTTATATTTTTGCAATTTGTTATCTCATGCTTGCTTTATTATTTATAGCATCAATAGAATGATCTATGGATTGGATAGAGAACTTGAGCATTGTGAATTGGAAGTTATACTCATGATTTTGCTCATGTTATCTAAACAGATTAATCGCTAGATATGAATCATATGTTAATGATTTTCAAACTGGAGGAATTTCATCTATATGTTATACGTGCTTGTATTTGTGATAAGAGTTTGACATGGATACATATAAGTGTATAATTTTATGTGAAAGGCTAATAGGGTCAAAATCTTGAAATTTTTTATCAATTTTTTATTTTTTGCACCCTTATTATAATTTGTATCTGTAAAATAATAAATAAATAAATAAATAGATTTTATAGAAAATTTTCGGATGGCAAATATTTACATATTTTCTGAATATATTAAGAAAATATACCAATGAATCACTTCATCAAGTTATAAAGTAGAAATATTTAAAATACAAGATAAATTTCATCATTTTCAAAAAAATTAATTCTATTAAATAGATGACTTCACAAGATTTTGAATCTGTCATGATTATATGATATTTTTTAAATTGATAAATATTTTTTTAAAAACGCATATTTGATTTTGATGTTATTGGAACATAGACTCATTTTAGTCGTATGCATTCATCTACATATTTCTTGATGGGGTATTTCGTCTTCGTCTTCTTTTTGATATATTACATAGTGTCTTTCTATATTTCGGATATCCATCTGTACCTCCATTGTGTATATTTTGAGCTAGTAAATGTAGTCAGTTTCATTCTAAGTTCATATTGCTTCAGAAGAAATAAAGAATTTTTTTTCTGAAATGAGCTTATATTTTCATGAAAAATATTTTTCCAAATTTAAAAATTGCAAAATCAATAACTCATGCAATGGTAAATTATATTTAAAAAAACTTTATAATTGATATAAATATTGCAAAAAATCTCTAGATCAATAGAACCTGTGAAAAGGAAATAAAGAATTTATTTTTACTCTCTATTATGAAAAAATGAAACATCTCTATGTCTTGAACCTCCAACACCTGCTTCAAATCCTTTGAAGTTGGATCTCCTTGTTTTTCTCTATATACTAATTGATCGTTATATCATGTTATATATCACTTGTTCACCAAAAGGTTTATTCTAACCTTGCCGTATTCAAATTTAAATTGTAGCCATCAGATAAAAAAGGGGTTCAAGTGCTTTCAGATAAATTTTTAAAAGGAATTTCCGGCCACAATAAGCTACACACCTGAGATTCAGTAGATAAACCTCATCCTGCGTCTTAGGAAAAATACTGTTCATAATCATACAGATAAAAAAATACTGTTTCTAATCATACAGATAATCCTATGAAATCTAGAACAGAGTTAGAGTTCTCTTACTGCATCAGTCCTGTTCAGTGAGGAGGACCATTGCGTTGCAGCATCGCTGGCGTACTAAATAAGAAAATCAGTCCATCATGATGAACTATATCTGAGGACCGGAGGAGGTTGCTTACGAGGCTCCAATGTCTTCCTTTGTTAAAGGCAAGACCGTGCTTTGTCTTGACTTGAGAAAGGCGCCAGGCATTAACCCCGCGTACCTTGCGGTAAATCTGGTCTCGAATGGTGTCCAGGAGGGCCTGATCCGGATCGAGTAAAAACCTGGCGGTTCCGGTATTGTACAACTCCGGACCTACGGTACTTCCACGGCGTCAAGTCGCGAAGCCTCCAGATCATGTCGGAATCCCATAGGCCGAACTGAAAGAACGAGGACCCGCGACGTTCATGAAGTCGCAGCGACGGGAGGTGAATTGAACGATAGTCAACGTCGCGTGGACGGAGAGGCGACCCCCATCTGTCGTACGGGGAGCGAACTCGGACGGCGGATGTAACGGAGAGTAAAAAGCGCGGTCCCCCAACGGACGGTCCACCCGGAGCGGTCGTCGGGAAAAGGCGACGGCAGGCAGGGCGGAGGGGAAGGGCTGGAGGCCGCGGGGGCCTGACAAAAAGGCCAGACTCTGGGGCTGGGGCTCTAAGCTACGAGTAGAACGAGAAAGTGGCGCTGGCATTAGCTGCCGGGCGCGGGCGGGCGGGTGGACAGGCAAGGCAGGCGGGCACATCGAGGAGAGAGCAGCAGCAGCAGCAGCAGCGAGTGGGGAGGAGGAGGAGGCCCTAGGGCCTAGGCAGGCAGGCACAGGCACAAGCCCAAGCCCAAGCGAAGCCCCCAAGGCCTTTCTTTGGCATTCGAGGGATTGCAGTGTCGCGTACTCTCTTGTTCTTGTTCTTGGCCTTCTAGGGTTCAGACGGTGGATCACGCTCCCCGCATCCTCTTCCTCTTGCTTTCCTTTGCTCTGCTCTGCGCCTTCTGGCTGTCTGTCTGGCCCCAACCAGTCAGCCCCGCCAGCAAGCGAAGCCAGTCAGCCGGCCAACGCAGCGAGCACAGAGAACGGCCAGCCGGGCACCACTCGGTGGGTGCCTCCTGCACAGCAAAGCACCCGACCATGGCAGCAGGTTCGACAACAGGCGAGCTCGCCATACGCCGCAGTACAATACTTTACGTATCGATACTGAGATAATATATACATACACTATACGATATACGTAAGTTCCCGGTGGTAAAAAGGCCCAAGCGCCCACGCTAGATTCTTCTTCGCCTTGGCTGGGCTTAGGTTCCCTCCCTTTCCTTCCGCCCCGTCGCCTTCTTTTCACACCGAGGGCTAGCCTGCCTGGTTTCCCGACGCTTGCTGGTCGGGCTTTTGTTAGTTTGGGCTTGAGAAGTCGAGAGGGGCAGGAGAGAGAGCGCTTGCTCGCACGAGGTGGCCAGGGCTCAGGGGTTGCAACTGTCTGTCTTTAATTTCGTGCCAAGGTCGTTCGATCCGTCGGTCGTCGGTCCCCCGTTCCATTCCTCTCCATTCCATTCGCTTCTGGTCTCCTGTCTTCGCGTCGCTTGTCTCGCCCTCCCCCTCCCAACTTGCAGTTGCCGAGCTCTGCCCCCACGACCTGCTCTGCTCCCCCACCCCCTTCCGCTTCCTTCTCTCGCGGGGCTGGGCTAGGCTGGGCTCTGGGGTTGGGGCTGGGGCTGGTGCCAGGCGCTGGTGTCAAGGAAACCATCTCTCGCGCAGAAGATGATGTTGTACGAGGCGCGGGGTTGCAACTGTCGTCAGGTTCGCTTGCTTTAGTGCTTGAGCCCTCGAGCGAGCTCTGTCCGAGTGTGCTTGTGCTTGTGCTTGTCCGCCTGTCGTCTGGCGTCCGGACTCGGGAGTCGCGAGGAGCGGAGAGCGCTGCCGCTAGCAAGCACCGCACTGGTGGGTGGGGCTGCGCTGGGCCGCAGTGGGGCTGGGGCTCGGGCGTGGGGCGTGGGGTCGACAAGCTCCGTGCTCGTGCTGGGGAATATGTTGGACGAGGCCGGACCCATCCTCTCTTTGTCTCCGCGCTGGCCTTCGCTCGATCGGACCTCCCGTCACAGTTTCTAGGTTGACGAGCACGAGCACGAACTCGACCTCGACCACGAGCGCTTGCGGGCGAGCGAGGAGTAGAAGCCTTCGTCGCTCGAGGAGGCGAGCGAGCAGCAACGAGCCGGGAGGTCGACGAGGAAGCAGCAGGAGCAGAAGCACGAGGAGAAGAAGAGCGTCTTCGGTAGGAATATGCACGAGGAGATTGCCGTGGCTTGCATGCGTAGAAGAGGGTCGATCAGTAGAGGCGTGTCGTCCGTAGTTTGATCGGTCGAACGCAAGAACAACAACAACGAGGAGAGAGAGGGAGAGGGAGAGGGAGAGGGTTAGAGAGAAGAGCTGTCAGTTCGAGGGGTAATAATCAGGAGGTGATCGATGGGAGCGGTGACTTCATCGGTTGCAGCTAGATTCGCCTTCTTCCCACCCACGCCCCCGTCCTACAAGGTGTTGACAGATGAGCACACGGGCAAGAAGTTTCTGTCGGATGTGAATCCGCGCGACAATGTGGAAGTGAAAATGTTGCACACCAAGCGCGGGCAGGAGATCGTGGCGCTGTACGTGCGCTACCCGACGGCCACGCTCACGCTGCTCTACTCGCATGGCAACGCGGCGGATTTGGGCCAGATGTACGAGCTGTTCGTCGAGCTGAGCGCGCATCTGCGGGTGAATGTGCTCGGATACGACTACTCGGGCTATGGAGCCTCGAGCGGCAAGCCCAGCGAGGCCAACACGTACTCGGACATCGAGGCCGCGTTCGAATGCTTGAGGCGCGACTACGGCACCCGCGAGGAGGACGTGGTGCTGTACGGGCAATCGGTGGGCAGCGGGCCGACGCTCGATCTCGCCACCAGCCTGCCGGGCTTGCGCGCGGTGATTCTGCACAGCCCCATCCTGTCGGGCCTGCGAGTCATGTACCCCGTCAAGCGCACGTACTGGTGCGACATTTTCAAGAACATCGACAAGATTGGATCCGTCAAGTGCCCCGTGCTCGTCATGCACGGGACCTCGGACGAGGTGGTGGATTGGTCGCACGGCAAAACGCTCTGGGACCTGTGCGAAAAGAAGTACGAGCCCCTCTGGCTCAAGGGCGGCGGGCACTGCAATCTCGAGCTCTACCCCGAGTACATCCGGCACCTGCGCAAGTTCATCTCCTCGCTCTAGCCCTTCCCTCCCCCTTCCCCCCCTCCCCCTGTCTCTCGTTTATTTTATAAAAATGGTCTGTCGACTTCGACGACGCACGCAACGGTGAAACCGTCGAGGAGCTGAACGAATCACTGTCCGACTGAATCGATGAGTTCATTATCAATCCCATCCGGAGAGCAAGAAAGAAAGAAGAAGCGAGGTGAAGTTCACGACGACGAAGGTAGCAGCAGCAGCAGCAGTAGCAGCAGTAAGTAGGTTCCACGGGAATGAATTTGCGGCACAGAGCTGAGGTTGGAGGAGGAGAGCTCCGTCGATCGATTCGAGCGGTGGAGCGAAGGAGCGATGGTTCCGGTTCCGACTCTTCTTCTAGCTCCGCTTGGTTTTCCCCAAAACGAGTAGAAAGTGTAGTGAAGAAATGGCGCGGGCGGTGGAGCAGCGGAGCGGAGCGCAGCAGAGCAGAGCCAGAGCAGGAAGCTTGAGAAAACGGTTAAACAGGGAGAGCCCTTCTGCCGCAGGGCTCCGCAATTCCTCCGCACAGAGAGAGAGAAGAGAGAAATGAAGAGATGGCCGTGTCTCGCTCGCTCTCTCTCTCTCTCTCTCCCCCCTCGACTCTCGAGTGCTAGCTACCTCTGAGGATGTACATAGGAAACCGCTTGCCCTCGTCTCGCAGAGCGCCGGGGCTCGGGCGAGTAGTGTGAGATGAGATGGAAGCGGGGCAGGGGTGGGATTGGGGTGGTGGTGGTGGGTGGGAGAAGGCGCTAGGAATGGGGAGGGGGGTGGAGGGATGATGATGATGAGGGTGGTTTTCGATGTGTAGCGAGGCGGGCCTGGGGGGCTCGCATCGGGGCCTGGAAAAAGAGCTGACATGAACACATGTACATGGAGAAAATTATGAAGGGATTCACAAACCCTAAGAGATTTTCATTTATACCTTACGGGCTCCTGCAGTGAACATGTACAGATTTAGTTAAACGAAAGGGAGTGAGGGCGGAGTGGAGTGGTAATCGACGTTTATTTCATGTTCCCTGCGCACTGTTCGACGATGGTCCATGACTCTGCGGGTGCTCTCGCCTTCGCCAGGAACTAGGTTTTTCCCGGAATTCCAAACGGAAAGGGAGTCACTTTCTTTCTGCCACTCAAGGCTTGCAATTGTCGAAGTCTTGCATTCATGTATAATATATCATTTGTCTTCAAAATCTCTCTGGCTCTCTCTGTCGCGTCGGCATTTCGCCGTCTTTCTTTCTTTCTCGTGGCGCCTCAGTTCTCGCCGTCCTCCGTCCCCTCGACATGGTCCGAGGGGTCGGACATGTCCGGTATCGGCCACGCCTTTCTTCCTTTATAACTGTCACCGTACGTCGAAAAAGCTCTTTGTGCTCTAGATGCTTCGACGTCGTCGACGACGAGTGCCCCCGCCCGCCCCAGCGTCGAGTTATGATTGTCCTCGGAACAGCAGCAGCGGCAGCAAATGGTTTTTTTCTGCATGTGCGCGCTTCGTCAGAATCCTTGTCTTGCGTGATGCGTCGTCGCTTGTCACTCTCAGCCGGTACGGTCAAATCCATGCACGCTGCTCGCTCGCTCGCTTATCATGTGAGCGAGGAAGGCGTCGTTGTGTCGATCCCTTGGACCTCACTTTCTGGCTCCCTCCTCCGCCCCTCGAATCCATTAATCAATCAATCAATCAATCAATGAGTCACCCCCTCCCCCTCCCTGAACTCTACCCCCGGGCCGGATAGACATGGCTAGAATTCAAAACGTGACGACCGTTGGCGCAGACGTCACGCTAGCCACAATGGTCGTCGGCCAGTGCCAGACACCAGCATCAGCAACGAGCCCCAAAAGTCCCACCGGGGCAAACAGTATGTAATCGGACCCGACGTCTTCGTCACGTTTATCGCCCCACTCCCTATCCTCTTGCCCCTAACCCCCGTCTATCCTCTAACGTCTCCTCTCCTAGTACATGCCAGTTCTCGGCAGTGACAGTCGACGAGGACGCGGGGCTTGCTCGTGACCAGCATGACCAAACCCATCTCCCACCCCCTCCGCGGGGCTACTGCCAGCAGCCGGGTAATGATTTGTCCGGTGGGAGGAGGCCCCCATTCCCCGTCTCGTGTCGATGGCCATCTCGTGGATTGCGAGCCTCTGAGATGACCGGTCATTATGCTATTTCCGGCTGAGGACATGCTCTGGGGGTATAGCCCCCGCGAGGTCCGTGGTTCCGGAGGTGGTAGAGAGGAGGAACGGTCTCGGAGAAGGAAGTTGGCTCTCGCCACGTGAGTGCACGAGTAAATGAGGACAAATTTAGGCCGGATTGCCCCCGCGGATGAGATGAGACGGGGCCTCGAGTCCGCAGTCGTTCGTTATGCAGCCTCTCGGTGCTCTGCTCTGCCGGGGGAAGCTGCGGCTGGGGCTGGGGCTTGGCCAGGGGCTGGGGCTCGGGGGGGTTCGAAAATAGGGCACACGGAATCCCTCGCAGGGACGGTAAATAAAGGCTGTGCTGACAGTGGGCGAGTCGATGATGCTGCTGCTGGAGCGGGCAGGGCTTCGATCCACGCCTTGAAGACACGGTCATGCACCGGAGGGGAGGATTGCCACCCTCGTCCAGAGTTGCCACAGCTTTGTCGGAGTGGAGCTAATGCTCGCTTGCAAACGACAAATGGCAGGCAAGTACGATGATGATGCTTTAATAAGTGAATCGACGACAGCGCCATCCGTCCATCGCTCCAGTTTGTGCATGATGAGTTGTAAAGCGGACGTCGTCTCGCGGAATGACGGTCGGAAATGTCACGCAGGCAGGCACGCCCTCTTCGTCTTCTCTGCTGGGGGGCTATGCCTTCAAGGGGCTGGGGTCGTTCAACTTAAAGGCAGTTTTCTAGTCTTTGCAGGTAGCCGATCTCGCACACGGATCCGGGGTCTGGCGACTCCATCCATGCCTCTTTCCTCCCTCCTGCACGAGGACGAGCAGGAGGCGCTAGTGGATTCGGACGAGCTTCGGACCGGACCCGAGTGGTTGAGTAGAGTAATGTGGCCCCGACAGAGCGCTGCTCAGAATGTGTGTGACCCCATTTCGTCCTCATCCTGCTCCCTGCCCCTGCCCTCCCCCTGTTCATGCCATGTTCTCTCTCGTTGAACTGCCTGCTCTGCTTTTCGTTCATCTCTCTCTCTCTCTCTCTCTCTCTCTCTCTCTCTCTCTCTCTCTCTCTCTCTCTCTCTCTCTCTCTCTCTCTCTCTCTCTGTATGGCTCGACCCAGCTGGGGCATATTTGGAAGCATACATGTGTTCGTCAGTTAGTTCCAGAGGGAATTTTTCGGAATGGGAGCCGAGAGGGTCTGAGAGCGAGCTATATATGGCGGAGTTACATTTCGCCAGACGCACATTTCTGCGCTCGTTTCGCACTTTCCCAGACGAGCTGAGCTGAGTTGAGTTGAGTTGAGGTGAGTGGAGTGGAGTGGAGTGGAGTCGAGTTCCCCGAGCTTATTTCGAGAACCAATTGTGCAGACGGACACTCGAGAGGTTCAGAGTTTCAGACACATGTTTCGATGGATTGGGCCTGCGCTACATGCCAGCTCGCAGTTGGCCATTATCACTATGCTGCACTCGAGCTTTTCAGATGTATAACGACTAAAGTCGGCCACCAACCAACTGATTTAAGAAGGCTCGTTTCGGTAAATAGAATATGGTGTGTTGTCTCGCTCGCTCGCTCGCTCGCTCCCATCAGTCCATCTTCACCGTTCCTGGAGCGATCCCAGTTCGTTATCATCCCTGAGCCCTTGTCCTCCTCGTGCTATCTCTGACCGACCAGCGAATCTCAATGTCTTCCTCCTCCTCCTCCTCCTCCTCTCTGCTAGGGATCATCTGCATACTGCTCCTTCCGGTGCCCCACGTCCGCCAACTCTCCCCTGGGTCCTCCTCTCCTCTCCTTTAATAAAACGATGAAGACTGACTGCTCTCTCTCTCTCTCTCTCTCTCTCTCTCTCTCTCTCTCTCTCTCTCTCTCTCTCTCTCTCTCTCTCTCTCTCTCTCTCTCTCTCTCTCATGAAGCATGTTATCGAGAATACAGGGCAATATGGCACCACCAGGACGCGCATTGTGAGAATCCCGGTGGTGACGGGATTTGGTGCTTCGTGACAGCTGATGATGTTGTGTGAACTCGGAGGAAGTAACTGCGACACCACTTATCTCAACCACTAACTTCACTCTTCACCTGTATCGGGCGCAAAGAGCATTGATGAGATCTGGTGGTGCAGTGGTAAGCAAGCATTTGCTGACCTCGAGTCGAGTGTTTTACCAGCACGGTCTCGTTGTCGTCCCCGCCGCGAGAATGTCTGCCTTTCCGCCTTCCTCTTCCCAGAAAGCCCGTGTTTCAGTCACTGAGACGCCAAGGCCAGAAGATAATCGTGCTCGAGAGCACTTATCTGGACCGTCTTGATGCTTATGGCATCTTGTTGGTGCAAATCTGCACGGGTCATGGAATAATCTGACCTGCAAAGATCGAATCATGGAAAGCAGAGTCCGGCATGGGGAAAGAGTCTGTTTGTTCCGAGAGGAGAGCAAGAGAAGGTCTCTACATCTTCCTGCTGCCACAATCGGTGAGCTGCATCATCACCACCATCATCATCCGTCCATCCTTCCTCTATCCGATCCAATCGGAGCGCGGGGTCCATGATCGGGAGGCTCTCCCCCGACTCGGCTCGTCGAGCACATTCTCTCTCCAATCATCCTCTCCTCCTCCTCGGGTCTCGCGGCCCGAGATCGATCGAGCCGTCAAACGAGATTCGGACACCAACATCGACAACGACGAGACTGAAGGCGACTGTCCTGGTACCACTGCTACCATCACCACTACCATTTCTTCTGCTGCCGCTGCTCTCGTGTCACTGCCTGAGGTTTGCGATCACGAGATCGAGAACAAACTCCTTCTAGAATCCGACGATTCATCATTTGTGCATGGTTTGATTCACTACCAGATGGCCATGATTTCCTCTCGGTTATACTCTGTCGCTCAGTCGTTGAAGGACGGGACAATCGTTCGGCACTGCTGGCGATGAAAAGCGTAAGTTATTTATGTCTTCCGTGTTTGGTTTGGCATAAAGTACATACGCCTGCAGCTTTGAATTCCTTCGACGGGGACGGATCGGATTTCATCAGGTGGTGCACTCGAGTGGATGTATATTAATCCAACCATCACAGTGAGTTGAGTGGGCCAGTGCCTTACTTGTTCCCACTAAGACCATTGAGTGAAATGCTGTTTCGTAAATGGTACATTCCATGTCACTTACGACGCAGCGAGATCTACGTGAGCTTTGACGACTCCACGGGGGTACAGATTTGCCAGTCAGCCACATTCGTAGATGCCAAGGCATGGTTAGAGCTCAGACCGGCTCAAAAAACCATTATTACAGTTCATATCGGCTACCGTCACGATATGTCGATACTAAGTTGACCTTTAAACTTACCCAGCTCAAATTACTCTCTTCACTTTCGTAAGACAGATGCAGTGATCGGCAGGCGTCTTTCTCGGCGATCTCTGTGATGAGTGGGTATGGCCAACCTGAGCTAATCATATATAATGACTGAGATATGAACAATAACGATTACACTTGGAACTTGAATTAATCCAGCTCACATGGCTGCTTCGACGTTTCGCCTCTTTTCATACAATTGTTTCGTCTGACAACTCTCCCGGACGTGCATCCAGAAGTTTTAAAGTTTCAGGTTACTTTCGGACACAGAGCTGGATGAACAAACTTATTTTGTATGCACAGACTCGAATAGGTGCAAATTCTTGAGAGGAGAATTCCCCGACACTTGACGGATGCAACCAAAATATATCCATGTGGGCGAAGGTATTAAGAAGCAGCCGGCTGTAATCATTGGTACTAGAGCCCTTGTTGTTGGGATGAAGTATTGGTACAGAGAAGCTCGTTAGTAAGCTTTCAGCTTGAGAAGCTCAGTCACTTGAGATCATCTACAATGGCCATATCGGCAACCTCAGAAGGAAAATCGGAGCTGAGGCCTAATATAGTGTTACAATTATGAAATCTTCACCACGACAGGGCTCATTATCATAATAGAACATGATACACCACCATCTATCGGTGTTTCGACAAATTAATCGAATGGATCGATTCGAGGATCGTGCTCACTGGCCAATTCCATACCCGTGCAAAGGCACGTGGGGCACATCACCTGCAATTTCACAAACAAAAAGAGGATAAGCTCAGAGAAGAATGTAAGTTGATACTACCGGGCGTGGCCAGGCACAAAAAGGTATGTAAAAAGGGAATCGTAGTGGATGGTTTTTACTATGACAGGACTTCATCAGACCAGGATGTGACAATGATGCACACTATCCGTCAGTATAATTAACAGCTGTTTACTAGACTGAAAGAATCAGTGCCCGATTCAGTCAGTTTAACAGCAAAAGCAAGACTGATCTGAACTGTGGTTGACATTTTTCTGACCAGCTGAATCAGGCACGAAATCCTGACAAGTCGATGAACTTCGGGACACTGACCGCGGACAACGGATATTGACCAGATCATTTAGAAGAGACTATCTACGCAAGCAATTCGTGTTCGTTACGGTGAGTATCTGAACATTGCCCTACGACCCAAATCTTGTCATAAGAACAGTCCCACGGTGTACTAAAGGTGTGTCTTCTACAAGTTTCATTTTAGATGTCACTCCCACGCAAGCACATATCCGAAGTACACAAGTACTAACTTCATGTACCACTGTACTAGCCTGCACTCATCTGCCACTGCTGTGAAACCGAATTTGGAAAAAGACGTTCAAAGACTACCAACTGGAACCTACCTTGGCAGCGCCTGCACATGTTGAGCACCTCTGAGAGGTTGGCATCCTCAATCCGCTATCGGCATGGCCACCAGCCGACACTAAGGACTCTTTGACTATGAGCGCCCCAGAGCCTGAGCATCGGGCACAGGCCAGGTATCCTGGAAGAGAAAAGGAAAGGTAAATTTGCATTAGGACAGGGCTGTGTTTCGTGACGGAAAGCTGAGATTTCAGCACAGCTATAGTGAGAGCATTACTATTCCAACAAATGGGCTGAAATCGAAACCTTCACCTGTTCCGTGGCAGTATCTGCAACGTTTCTGTTCTTGTTGCTTCACATTGTTGATTTCCACAACCATCAGAGACGTGATGACGCCGACAGCGCCACCCGAGAAAGAAGCTACAATAGGATCGACCTCGCTGTGACAAACAGATTGTGTAAAGTCAGTGTGCAAATAAGTGAAGAAATAACTACGGCTTCATGAGAGAATCGAGCTCAAAGATCACCATAGGCATAGTAGAAACAAATTCTCTGGCAAAGATGAGAATTACATTTTCTTCGCATTCGCATACCAATTTTTTCCTACTTCCTACAATTCCTTAAGTACCTGAGCTGCAGAGGTAAATGCATGCCACGAATAAAATCTTCGTAAGAAGTGCCACCGATACCCAGCTTCAGCTCCAGCTGCACATTGACATGGATCTCGATCAGACGCTCTCGTCGGAAATGAAGTGAACAGAATTAGAACCGCCTAATAAACGTATTTGAGACGAGACATGTAGAACGGTTGAATCCTAGACTCGACTCGATGTCAGCTAACACATCCTTAGTACACATGAAACTGATTAAAGCAGTTCCATTGTAGCAAAGAAACTCTCAAACCAAAATTGCAATGGGCGTATCCAAAGCATCGGACATGAATTATGTATTGAACAACTAAACAGAGGTATGAGGTGAATGTTCGACATCGAAGGGTGTTCTGCACTCTAAGTTGAAATGACACTCTCAACAACTTCCAAGAAAAACCATCGTATTGACAACTTCATTTGGATTAAAAAAAATTTTCACAAATCTTATGGTGACCAACTTCAGTTCATGAACAATTTTGGTTGGTTGGATCACCATAACAGAAGACAAGTGATCAGTCACCATCAAAGTGCTTCCCCACAATATACTCTCCATAACTACTAAGGGGTTTAAGATAGCAGAAGAAACTCACAATTGGTGAAAGCAAACCAGCAAAGAGCATGATGCTGGAAATTAATGCAAAGCAGGTGGCATAGTACTGCTTAAGAGTTGCCGATGTCTGCAGAAATAAAAGGATAATGTAAACATCAGTAAGGGATCCAATAACCACGTCAGGTGAGTTCAAGGACCAAACACAGAAGCGAGAGAATATCCATAACCCACACTCAAAAGATACAATTTCAGGATGTAACAACAGAATATCTGCATCCTTGGAGGCCGCGTTGGCGATTGGAGAAGCATGTACGACATTGAATACAAGGTTCACCTCAACGTTAACTGGTTCACTAAGAGGATTGAGGATTGCTGACAATTGCCAGCTGATCTTCCCATAAGTCCTTACCAGAGGTGGCAAAAAAGGAATGGAAGATGGAAATTCAGGAACATCATCCTCTTCCTCCTCTTCCAGAGCAGTCCCTTGCTCTGCACTCTTTATCTTTTGCTGAATCCTTAGCCTCCTCACCTGAAGGCATGAATCCATTCCACAGCTTAGTCCGAAGTTTACTACGTCACACACGATGAGCGCATGAGGACCGAATATAATTTCAAGTTACTACACGTGTTTTGCCGCCCGAAATTGTTTTGCAGGATGGTAAACAGTAGTTACGATACACTACCTCTTCCATTAACAAAAAGATCTTATTTCGTCTCATGTTGATATGTTCTCGGATCTCTTGAAGTTGCATAGGAGCAAAGTCCAAGACCGTGTCACGGCCCTCGATGATGCAAAAGCTGCTATCACTCAGTGGTCCAGCTTCGTCCCCTCTGAAACAGAAAGATATCCATGCCAAGCAGACAGTTAGCAATGCTCAAAGAGACCCCAATCCGGCGTGCCTGCACTCATCAGCTGAAAGAAAGTACTCATTGTCAACTTCGCTTCATTCTCTCTGTTTATGTGAACATAAGTGAAATGTCTACCGGTTTGAGATATATCCTCAAATTCACTCAACTGAGCGTACTGTCTATAAATGCGCATAGAAGATTTAATTCCTCTTTGAAGCATCAAATTGTCGACTTCTGCTGATCTATCCTTCCCTCACTGATGTTACTCTGTGCGTAGAAAACCTTCGTGAGCCAGGAACTTCTATAGCCGAGGTTGCCCCGCGAATACCACAATTCGATCTTTAACGTGTCCAGTGCCATGAAGGATGTGCTTTCACTGAAGCGGAATTATTGACTCCTCGATTTATTGAAATAGTCTTTTTTATTAAACTGACAAAAACACCCATCCGTGCTGGTCGCTTGGATGCTTTATGGTTATGTTTTAATATGATAGTACTGTAGTGTTCATCCCTTCAAAATACACTGTGCTTCAAGGTTCTAAACCTAGTTTTGATTGGGACGTGAATACACGAAATTATAATCACAACTTGTGGGCAGAGAGACCTGAAGCAGCTTCAGACATGAGAAGAGCAACACACACCTTGCGCTTGTGTACGCAGAGTTGGCCGAATCGGAACTACTGCCACTATTGCTGCCGCTGCCGGGCATGATGGCAGAACACTCCCCAGGCCTACGGAACCGAGGCAGCCTCAAAGGTCCAGAGCGCAACCCGAACACAAGAGACTGTGAAAATTGTGAAGAACTCTGGAGACAAGTCCATGGCTTGGCACGCAGCGTTTGAGCTGCAGAGCAGCTGCAAAGCAACTGAGACGCCATCTCGAACACTGATACCCACTATTGATCGACCATGGATCAGCCGGCACTCAGGATGTCGACCGACACCGACACCAAGCCTCCCTTGCTCGCTCCACCTGCACCAGGCTACCAAGCCGCAAAACCCTGCACCTGATGAATCCTCCAATTCAAAACCAGTGCACCGACCAAAATTCCCTCACTGACGATTCTCCCTTCACTGCTCGGTTCACCATAACAGCGTTAAGAGAAGAAAAAATTCATCCTACGACCTGATTCGCCCAAACCCATCACACAATCCTCGTGGGAGACACGGCTCAAATAAGAAAAAATCTGTCTCACGGTCTGTACAATCTCGGAGAGAACAGGCTCACGAGGACTCTTCCCATAAATACGAAAAAATCTACCTCGCAGTGTGTACAATCTATGAGTGAACAGACTCAGAAGGACTCTTTTCCAAAAAGTCCTCGAGATGGAAAAAATTATGAAACGTGGTAGACTTTGTACGAACCTGAGACAATTCAATCCATCTTTGGATGAATCTTGAAAAGCGTCCAATCTGCCTGCAGGCTTTGAAGGAGGGGCCCGAGGCCGAGAGCTCGGAGGCCACAACAAAGTTCTCTTCTACATGTGGCGAGCCGAGCACAGGAGACGGGCTGGGGCTTACAACCGCAGCCCGTAAGCGCAAGCACACCCGAGGGGGCTAACGAGGAGACCATGTGGCTATCAACGAAGCTAGCGCTACGGCACCGGAGCTAGATCTGATAAGGCTCGGATTGGAGGATGGCATAAAGCCAGCCACGGTTGTGGATCATTAGCACAAACCGACACGATGACGGTACCTGATGCAGCTCCAGTTCGGATTCCGATTCCTCGGCGTGTGTTTCATTCGCTCACGGCGCTCCTGCCGTTTCGTCCGCATCCGCGCGTTGCCCCGCTCTCCAATGATGGCGACGCGCAAGCCCAAGCCCCAAGCCCAAGCCCAAGCCCCAAAGAACTTGGGTGGTCGTCGTTTACTCCCCCAGCCCCCGTCCCGTGACATCCACACTCGTCGCGAACTTCGAACCGGACTCCTCCCTTCAATCTCCTGCGACTTCGACTTGTGGGTCCCACCTTAGGCTTATCGACATCACATCACGAGTCAAAGTTCAGTCCGCCAATCGTGAACGTCGTGACCGTCGTCCCATCTATGACACTTGTCATCTTATCATCGGTTCTATATCTGCGTCGAGCCGAGACTTCGGAGTGTCATGATCTCGGCGATCTCGAGGCGCCAGCCTCGATCGCTCCGTCGCGATGGGCCCAGTCGCCGAAGCCGAGACTTTCACCTGCTTCCAGGCACATGGTGCGACCGAAGAACGGGAGGCTGCGACCTCGTCCGAGGTCCACCGTGACGTGCACGCTGCTAGATGCTCATAAAGAGACGAGGGAGCAAAAGAAGGGACGTCGAATCAAACGCCATCATCATCATTTGTCAACGAGGTGACTTCTCTCGATCGCTGCACGAGGATTGGAGTCTCGGCACTGTAATGCATGTGCTCTATTGGTTCTGACGAGCTGTAGATGGATTCACTTCGTGCCATCGAAGATCGATTAGATCGGGAACCGATCCTCGCTAAGTGTTGAACTCAATGTCACGACTGCCATTCGGGACTTCCTGGCGCAGGGTTTCAATCTCTCGAAGCACATGGCACAATCGTATATCTCGGCCCACAGCAGAGCTTTCGAAAGTCGTCGGGTATGATCTCACCTTGACTTCATACTTCGATCCTTAACTAGAGGATCGTAAAGCTTCTGGCCTCTGAATTACTGTAAGCACTTGTTCGGTGGAGAAAGCATCAGAAAGTAAGCAAACAATTATGTAAGGTATCCAGATTCTTCCCTTGAAGGAGTATGACTGAGGTATTGAACGAGTGATATTCTTGAAGATGTGAATATGCCCCCATCGTGTATTTCATGAATGGAACCCAAAGTATGATACGTAGATAGGTATGAACAGTTCCACAATGGTAAATGTGTCCTGCTGGAGTTAACTATGTCTAATTTTTCCAGGTGAAACTGTGAACTTAATACATTAGCATCTCAAGAAGTATCACTTAACATGATTGTTTTACTTTTAAGCTGGATAGAACCTTGCAATTGGATATCCAACATGTCAAGTTCAGCAGCCATAGCTCCATACAGTTCCAAAAGTATGAGAACAAAGAATTTGGATTCCTTTCGTATCATTAAACTTTGATACCTTGGTTGTAGTCATTGCTCTTGTAACCCATCCATCATCATTCCACACTCATGTGTAAATTTGTATCTTCAGACTTTATTATCAAATATATATGTAGTTCCTCGCGAATCTAGTGCAAGGCATATCAATGCTACCTCCATGTACGATATACCATCTCTTGAGACACAGGATACCATACAAACTAACATCATTATTTGTAGTTGTACTTTGTATTACTTAGAATATTATACACCCATGTGTTCTAATCCTAGACAACACATTACGGCTTTATATAATATAACTATGTAAGGAAAAAAGTAAATCTGTATTTTGAAGCCAAGATTTTTAACTTATGATCATGCAATCACAAATTAGCAACCTTGAATAGAGTATAATGGTTTAGAACATAAGGAATTTAAGATTAAAAAAATTGATAAAATAAATTCTATAAATGATAGTTTATCCATCAAAATACATTGCTTTGAGTAAAAAAAAAAGAAGAAGCCAACTATACAAACATTGAATACATAAGCAAATTTTTTATCTCATAGCCGGAGATACATGATTCAGTTTGTATCAAATAGTATACATTGTATTACAATCAGAAAACAACGTTTTAGCTCAAGAGTTTATCACAACAATTAGCTCAAAGTTTAAAACATCAAGGTTTGTTATTCAATTCATGTGAATCCCACGATTTATTGTGTCATAAATTGGATTTATCAATTTATGCCAAACTTTTGTTTTCAACACAATACTCAATCAACAAATAAAATTTCAATAATAAAAAAAAATATTCCAAATTTTTTTCACACAAATTTTTTCAAGTGAAAAATAATAATTTTTCAATAAGATATTTTTTTCATAAAAAATTGAAATTTTTCAAAATAAAATGATAAAAATTTTTCTTTAAGTAGTTACAGTTATCCAACGTAATTTCTATCACATTTAAAAATTTCTAAAAAAATTTTAAGTTTATTCAAGATATTTAAGTTTGAAAAGAATGTTTGTACATAATTTTTATTTAATTTTTCATTTTCTATAAATATTTATTGATTTTATGATAAATGAAAATATATTAAACATATATAAAATAATTTAATTCAAAATTTTGTTTTTTTAATAATTATTTTGAATTATAAAAAAATTATTATTTTACTTTTTAAAATGTTAAATTGCATCTAATTCAAAATTGATTTATTGGAATATTTACCATACTCATAACAATAAGATGGTACTTACAACACACCCTTGAATACATCACATTGAATAAGCATATCTTAAAAAATTTCAAATTTATAAGCATAAAATAAAATAAAATGGAAGAAAAATAAAGAGAATTCTTGTTACAATTTATTTATACATAAGTTCTTTGTACTCATTCACTTATTTAAATTGATTTTTTGATATATATTATATATATATATATGACAACATGACATTATTTGTAAACTAAAGTTAGAAATATTGAATATAGTTCAAAATCATCTAATTTTAAAATATTAAATAAAATTAACAGCTTAGTATATACAATATACACTCGCTTAAGTTCGCAACTTGATTCAAGAGTTCAGGTGCGGACTTAAATGAGATGCGGACCTAAGGAATATTAGTGTTAATACACATGAAGATTACGTTTAGCACATATGAAACACAGTTTCAAGTTCATTTGCAATGATGAGTGGACGTGTGGTGAAACGCAAAGCTCAGAGCTAACATCTGAATGACCGTCAGAGAATGGAAATTATCACTATATTGGAGCAATCCAAATCGCCGACTAATCAAAGCATTACTCCTCAATATGGTGTCGACGAGAAGGTTTTCGGAAATTGAAAGCAAGCAAAGATGAGATTCGTGAACAAGTTCAAAATGTTAATCATGCCACTCAAGAATCCACATTTCGTGTCTCGCATTCATTATTTCGTGAGCTTAACAAACGACTGTATGAATGGATTGATGCTTGACGCCGAATGTCGCTTGTTTTGCCGCCCAGTCTCATCTGCCACAAAGCAAAACAAATTGCCGAGGCTATGGAGATAGGTGATGATAAGTTCAACGCTTCCTGGGGATGAATTTCGAGATATCGTCATTGGGTTGGTTTAATCGACAGAAACTTGGTTGGTGAACGCGGTGAGTTTGACAAAAATAATTTTGAAACTCTACGAGCTTTGAATGAGTTATGTGCAATTATCAACCAGTATGATCAGCTTGCGTGTACAATATGGACAAGACTGTATTCTTCTTTCGACTTGTTCTAAGTTACATCGTCTTGATGTCAAATGAAGATACGTCAACAGTTAAGGGCAAGAAAAAATCAAAAGATCGCATGACTCTTGTGGTTTGTTGCAATGCCACAGGGACTGAACAAGTCCCAATCACCATAATCGGTAAGGGGAAGGAGCCCGCATGTATTTCATGCAACATCTGGCCGATTCTATATCTTCAGTAGAAGAAAGCTTGGATTGCGTGCCAACGTTCAACAAGTGGTTTTTGAGCCATATGTTGGTAAACGTACTGGCTACAAGGTTCTATTGATCATTGATATAGCTCATGGTCACTCGACTGTCTTTGAGCGGAATGATATCCATGTTGCATTCTTCTCGTCAAATGTTACGTCGTGGAAGCAGCCGATGGACATGAGCATCATTGCAACATTGAAAAAGCGATACAAATATTTGCTACTCAAAGAAATAATAGCCTATCACGATGATCTGCAAAGTTTAAAGGATCAACTGGCAATAGCTGCATCGAAGTTGAAGCATGGCGCTGTAAGGTTGTTTTACGAACGTTCTTCACATTTGCTGGACGCTGCAAACTTCAGTAACATTGACTGGAACAAAATTTCCGCTGAGAGTTTGAAAAACTGCTAAAAAAAAGCAGATATTATTTCTACATTCCAGAATGTTGACCTTGGCAACGACAATGATGAAATCTTGGACGAAAATGCTCGTTTGTTCAGCAATTGTCATCTCTTGAGTGGCGGTCATGAAATTGACATTCATGGTGAAATTGAGCAAAGTTTGATAGATGAAAACGATGATTCAGAGCTATTCAAAAATACTCTTCTTCAAGAGATCGAACAAACAATGGATTCCGTCCTTGTTCAAGAGTCTGTCATCGAATCCAAAGACGATGAACCCGAACCAACCTCGGCTCACATCAACATTGATTAGCGCGATGTTATACTTCAGTCTTTAGAGAGTGCAAAAGGTCTCGATGTCAATATGAGTGACCTGAAATCTTCGCCATATTTGTCATCCGACAATATAAATCAGGCCAAGGCAGCACTATTCACAGTCCGTAACATTTTACAAACTGGACAATCCGCGATAGCTGGGAAGAGAATTGAAAATAGGGGCCAAATGACTCTATTTGATTTTCTGTAAAATACACTCTTGAGAATTGATCCAGGAATTTTGCGTTGTGAAGTGCAAACTTAATTAGGATGCGGACTTAAGCCAATGTATACTATACATATATACAAAAAAATTGTTACAAAAATGACACAGAGATTTTATAGAATTACAAAAAAAAAATTTGTATTATTTTATAGCACGTTTGGTCTTTATATACTAAGAAGATTATTTTAGAGAAATCATTTTCATTCAATTAAAAAATTTCAAAATTTACTAGAATTGATATGATAATTTTTTAAATCAATGTTAATAATAATATTATAGGGTTTTAGAAGAAAAATTTACAATTTTTGTTATAAAATTTGGATTTGGATTGTGTATTATTTCACTAAACTTATACTTTTGCCACTATTTTTACTCAAGATATCTTAAAGTTAATCTGTTTCATAGGAAATTATGATGACATGTTTGTTTCAAATTTTCATTAAAATAATCTAAAACATTTTTTTCCATATAATGAGATACATAATTGTTATCAACATACTTTAAAAAAAATAAACGCATATTTTTCAAATAGATTGAAATGAAGAGTTCAAAAAATGTATCAAAATTCAGCATATATTATGCAACATGATGTTTAGATAATCTTATGTGTTATATATTTTATCATAATTATGTGTATGATTTTAAACATTTGCTAGTTCTATCATGTGAATAATTGAACAAAAGCAAGATTAAGGCTTGATGTTCGTATATGACTTTGAAATGTATCAACAGTTTTTGTTATCAGAATGTTATGAATCGTAAATAGATATATTAGTAATATACAATGATTAGGAAATTGGATAATTTAATAAAGCCTTACTGACCGAGTTCGGATTCGTAACCCCATATTATGACCACAGTCGCAGCCACCGGGGGTTAGAAACAGTGAGCAGATAGCGAATGAGAGCGACCTGCTGCAGGAGGTCAGTCTTTGCCAGTGGAGCCGGGGCGAATGATTGCAGCGGATAAGCACGTCGTCGCATGCAAGCCGTTGCACCTTTGTTCGTTGCACAATGAATGTCGCAGCTGACGTGGGCTGGCAGCATTCACTAGTCTGGGACTCGTCGATGCTTTCGACATTCAAGAATTTCGACATCCGTGGCCAAATTTGGAGGCCCCAGCTCTCTCGAGCCCCAGCCCCTCTTCTTGAACGTTCCGAAAGTGCTTCCCCTGGCCGCCCCCTGGCTACCCCCGCCCTTCCTCTCTGCTTCTTCCCCACTCACTAGCACCCCATGCTCGCATCGACTCCAATTCCCCCCCTTCCCCCACCCCCAGCCCATTCATCAACCCCCAGTACCGTTCCTTCTTCTTGCCTCCCTCGTAGCCCCCTGCTGCACTCTTGCTTTCTTCATTCCTTCCTTCCCGTGCCTCGAAATTCATAACTGCGGATAAGGACAGGTACAAAATAAGACCTCGAAGGGAGAGAGAGAGAGATAGAGAGATAGAGAGGCTGATCGGGCTCGAGAATCATCGCTTTTTCGCCGAGATAAGGATGGATGGTCGGCCCCACATAATCTCGGTGATAGAGTATCGGGAGCTTTGCAGTGCAGCAGGGAAGGCCTCGGGACCGCGAAATTGCTCTCGTGCTGGCGGTGTTGGTGCGCGAGCGACAGGTGGAGACGAGGCACGGGAAGAGAATTCTGCAGCAGTCGCGCAGGGCTTTAGGCTCTCGGGGTTTAGATGTCCCATAGCTTCGTCTTTTGCGCCTGCCACCGAAGGCAATGAGCGAAAGGAGGACGAGGAAGAGGAGGAGCTGACGAAGGGTTCGGTGGACGAGGAGAAAGCAACTGCTTTTGACAATTATGGAGGCTTCGAGCTTGGCTTCAGGTGCGGAGAAGCCGAACTAGCCAGAGCTTTGTCTGCGAAGGTTGGGGTCGATTTTCACGAAGAGATTATTGGAACGAAGCAGCCTTCGAATCCCTTCGGTCGTCCAGGAGCTGGAGATAGAGGATCACGGGACACATCAAATCACCGAAAGGTTCGTGCTTTGGAATCTGATTCACCGGAAACTCAGCGAGATGAGAATGAACTCCGGGAGCAGAGATCAATTTCTGATTCGCGAGATGGTTTTCGAGCGAATCCAGGTAAAGGGTGCCACTGTGAAAACGGATCGAAGGGTCTGGAAGCAGGACTGCGCGATGGCAGAGGAACACAACCATCGCATGTGCACGAGAATCCAGCAGCGGACGAAGGTGGAGGCCGAATGGCCGGGAGGATCGCACAGTGCCTGGGACCTACAGGACCCGGGCTTTTGGCGGTGAGAGGCGTGCCGGGAGTAGCCGAGCTGCGGAAGAAATTGCTGCCGCTGGCCAAAGAGTTGGCTCTGATGCCTGATGACTTGCGTCGTCTCATCCTCAAGGTAGTCAGTCTGATCGCTGTGAAATCATGACCACCATTGTTCTCTTGTGGCAAGAATGCTCGGCACATTGAAATCCGATTCATCCCTCGGAGATCACGATCATGAACTAAATTTTGGGATCGTAAGAACCTTCATTGATAGGACGGCATGGTGGAGCTGGTGTGCATGTTCGCACCTCTGAGAGGCTGACCATCACTGAATCTTTTTTTTTGCAATTTGTGTGAATCTCTTGGGAAAGTTCTTCGGCTAATTTTTTATCTTCTTTTTTTTTCACGTGATCAGGAACATGATTTGAACACCGACGTCCCTCTGAAGAAGCCCGATCGACCAGTGTCTGCGTTTGCCACGCAGTTGCGCTACGGTCATTACAGCAGGTCTCATATTGAGTGTTGCAATGCTGTCCCTGGATCCAGAGCCGTCTACGGCCCGGGCATCTCGTCGGGCAATTCTGGGAGCCAACCGAAAATCGACTCAGTGATTTGCGGAGACAAAGACATGGACGAGCTCGGAAGAACCCTGAGGCAGCTGGGATCGTGCATGGTGGAAGTGGGGACACTTGTTGCGCGTCTGTGTGACAAAATTTTACCAGGAGTTGAGCTCGAGGATGCCATCTGGGAGTCTGGAACTGCCAAAGGCCGGCTGATTCATTATCATTCGGAGCTCGAAGGCAGATCTATGCGCTCGAAGATTAGCCACCGATCCTCAAAAAAGATCTCTAAAGCTGGGAACGAGAACAAAAGCAACAGCAATTCTCTCAATCTGATCGACAATGAAGGGTCTGATTCCAAGGTGGGGAACGAGAAGTCTGATGCATGGCAGCAATGGCATTACGACTACGGACTGTTCACTGTGCTGACATCGCCCATGTTTTTGAGCTGGGAGGAGCCGTCTGAGCCAGCGCAGACAACCACAGCGACGATCATGAATGCTGTGTCCACGTCCAGTTATGCCTATGCTGCTGGTGACCACTCTGGCTTGATTATTATGCACCAAGGCGCTGCTCGATACGTGAACATTCCAGCGGACTGTCTGGTGGTGCAAGTCGGTGAAGCAGCCCAGATTCTGTCCGGGGGCAGATTGGCTGCCACTGCCCATTACGTGAGCAGGGCAGCTCAGGCCGATGTCAGCAGGGAGACATTTGTGGTGTTTCTGCAGCCTGCATGGCACAGGCGCCTCAGTCCCCACTGCGGATTCAGTAGTCCCCTGAATTCACAAGAAAAAGGAGCACCCATTCACGACTTGGAAAACAGGAGAAGCTGTTATGACAGCAGCGACCCACTTCTGCCAAATTGTCGAGGAAATTGCTACCAAAAGCACCAGGAAGTAAGTGGTCAAGTCGATCCAGAGGACCCGCAGCCACAAGACGATCAACAGAGTGACTTATTGCAGGCAGTACCACCTCTGTCATCACGATGGAGGGACGGATGTACATTTGCGGAGTTTTCCAAGGTGACCACAGGACAGTACTACGGTGCGCATGGCCGCCAATCACGAAAGTAGCCAAGTGGCAAATTGGCAAGGCGTGCTAGTCCGAGCCGCTCATCGAAGCAAATTCTGGAGGCATGTTCTTGTAGCGTACAGCAGCAGCGCTCGAAGAGTACTGTACAGTGTAGTAGATCTGTGATATGAATATCCAGCAAAGTTGCACTATTTTCTTTCTTCACGCACCAAGGATTCACTTTACAATGTCACGTACTCCTAACTATCAAAGATGAATCCTGGACTCGGGTCTGAAATGCATAAGATTGAAATCAGTGAACTCGTTAACAGCAAGACCACGAAGTATGTTAATTGAGAGCTCTTGTCAGAGCTCTGACCAAGCAATCACCTTTGAAAGGTTGAAAGTACTCTTGTACATATTAAACATGAACTCACCATTTTTTTTTCAAAATTAGTCGGAGACACACGATACTATCCAGCTAAACTAACACGACTCTAATGAAACAACAAGAGAAGGTAAAGAGAAATAAGTAAACTGCCAGTTTAAAGAAGAAAAGAGAACCATAATAAACGCATCTTAAAGAGGGTGAATGATAGAATTAAAACTGATATAAAAATTAAATTTGAATATCAATAAAAGTGATACTACTCTCATTATAGATTACTTCCGAAAACACTTTTTTTGAAACAAAGTGAGTATTGTTGTGTAAACCTAGAGAATGGCACATATCGAAATTTACTATAATTTTCTTCCGTGCGTTTTATCACTAAAATCTGAAAGCATGTGTAACTCTGTACAAATAAAAATAAAAATAAAAATATTTCTGCAAATATTCTTGTATTGTACACTTTGACTTTAGTTACATTAGGTATCAACTCAATAAATTGTAAATATCCAAGAACTTGTATCAGTGACATAATTAACAACAATTTTGAGTGAATACTAAGACTCTGAAACTAACAGGATCATTATGTACACTCTCTTGTGTTCGAAGAAGATCACGAGAAGTATCATGATATTTATATCAATATTCATTTCTAGGTGTCGAATCTCACACCATGCATTTTCAATTTACAAGGTAAACTGTTAAGTAGTCAAAGTAGTCAAAGTGAGGAGCTACAGGTGCAGTATACTACTCGGGCAAACATAGTCCAGGTGGCGGAATTAACGTGTAATTGACAGCACCATCATGCTCGCAGCCGACACTACAATGAATTCTTCTCCGAATATCATGCACCATCCACTGATGATTGTTCCAATATCTAATGTCGTTCGTCAAAAGGAGAGATTACATTTAGATTTGGGCTTTTCCCACCAATTCGAGCAATAGAAAGAAATACGCTAGACAATGTGAACAAGAGAAAACATGCAGCACTGCGACAACATGATCTTGTTGACGACTCTGTAGGTACCACCAGCCTAAACTCACAATTGTCAGCATGGAAAGCTGGCTTAAGATGCTAGAATCGATATAGTGCAAGCACGGTGCAGTTCAGATAGTTGTCAGTAAATCGAACTGTGGTCATTCAGAAGCGGCAGGAGACTACCATGAAATCTAACTCTGGAGATTTGACTAGTCAACGCTCTCTTGGACACTAGAAAAGCGACGGCATCGCCAGTGGCCCATGATTACTACTCGTGAATCGGGATTTGCAAAACAGTTGTCCGAGAGAGGAGTTTCAGCAAGAACTTAGGGTGGGGAATTGCTTTTCGGCGAGGACAGACTTCCATCTCTTTGACTATCACTGAGTGCTTCACATGTCTGAGATCAGCAAATCCCCATGTCTGCTGTTTATAAGTGAAGTCAAAGTACAATCTGCACGACGTACGGATACGTGCTCAGCACGCTGTGATAAATAGAGCATGACGGCAAACCAAATAGAAGACTTGAAAGGTGTGCATTTTGCCATTGACACACGTCTTAATACTCTCAGTATGACAAAGAGATAATCACATGGAAGCTGAAGGATCTACTTAACACAGTCAAACTCTCCGTATTCTTTGATCAACGAGCGAATACGACTCCCTGACTAAACTGCTCCGAGAACAGGAGCAAGCTTTGCAGCTTTGGATATATTGCCGCATCTAACAAGAAACTGAAAGCTAGCACCATAAGCTGCAATATAAACTCCTTTCAATTCCAGCTACCGTGAACACGTTATATCCAGCTGAAACTGGCAACACTAGATTGGTGTATGACATGCAATCCACTGCTAAACTGATCTTGATCCTGACATCAACTTTTACTCGAAAATTTGTTGTCGACTGTTTGATGATTGCACGGTCAGATACATTTCGTTCAGTCTGGAACACCTTCAGGGCAAAGCAGTGACGGTTCTCCCTGTACAGCCTAGGACACAGCTAGCTACTCCTACAGGCACTGAATGCTCGAGATGACTAGATTGCCAGAACTAATGAGGAACGGTTTGACAACAAGCAGCACACTTCGAAGCTTTGAGCATTTAATATACAGGTAAACAAATGTCCCGAAGTTCTGCGAGGATTAGTGTTCAACAGCATTACCATTTCACCGAGGTCAAGTTGCAAAAACTGTACTCGACCTTAATGATACATGGTGAAAACCGAAGTAAGTTGTTCAGGAAAATCTGGCTGGATGCAGCAGATCAAAGATTTCATAACTGTACGCACGTGGCTGGTTCCACCACGCTAGAATGCCGCAGGATATCCACGAAACAGCTAAAGCAGCTCAAAGCGGTGTGTTCTGTGCACGTAGACAGGAGGCTTACTTTAGATTTGGCACCATTTAGCCTCTCCAAGCCAGACAAGGTGGTGGATAGAAATCGGAATGCCACCGAGGCGAATGAATGAATGCGATTTCTTGTGCCTGTACACCTTTTGGAGTCTAGACTCGGATAGGTACTGTGAAAAGTCGGGAGATGGCCCAGATAAACAACGATTCAGGTTCAGGTTCAGACGCTCTACGTTGGACACGATGTGATACGCTTATCGATAGTCTGAAACAGAGTCCACGGTTTCTCCTTCTGTGAATTCGACCTGTTCCGGTGAGACGCCGTTCACGAAGTCAGTCACAGCCGCTGTCAGCAGTCGCATTCCATTGCACACATCGTAGACCATCAGTCCTACTTCTCCTCCGATCCAGCTTCCCACTTGGCTTCCAATCATATACCCAATCCTGCCGAGCTTCAATTCTCCCAGAAATCCCCCTACCCACGTTCCGCCCAGCGTGCCCGCGGCTTTCATCGATCCCTCGACCAGAGTTCCCCCGTAATACATCACCTCGAAGAAATCCCAAGCTCCGGCGATGAGCGGCCCTGTGATGCGCTTGTGTTTCCGGGATGCTATTTTTCCTGCTTCCTTGCCTAATTTCGTGGCCTTGTCTCGAGCTACGTTGATAGCCAGGCCTTCGGTAATGGATTTGTGATAAGCAACTTCATATGCTCTTGATTTGGCTTTCTCCACGTATCCTCCCCGTATGCTGAAAGTGTAAAGCTTCGCAACCTGTTTCACGGCACAAGCTACCGACCCTGTACTCATGTCAAGGCAGTCGGTCCACGAAAGGTCCTCCGTCCTCGAGAGATTGTGCGCTCCTAACGCTTCTCTCGACATCTGTGCTGCAAAGATCAAAACCACGGTATCCTCGGGTTAGTAAGTCCTTCGGAGTATTGGCATCCGTTTCTCGAGAATCTCTATTCAGCTCACTCCGTAATCTGATGCATAACTTCTTAAGCTCGAAGAACTATTCGCGTGAAGAATTTGGACCGGCACGGTGCCAAGGGCTCCATTGATGCCGAACAGATGAGTTGAAAAGTACAGAAGCAGCCGTGGATTGTGATCGCGCTTTCGTACTTTCGTACTTCTGCTGGCCAGCTATGGACTTGCGAGCAGCGTTTGACCAATGAGCTGAACAAACTCCTCTTAGAAATCAAGAGTCGGTCACGATTTCACGAGGCGCTGGAGCTAAGAAAGATACAGAGCTATTCGGCGAGGACAGAAGACAGAAAACAATTGAAGAAGTTTCTCGCAGCTCCTGTCGTGGGGCAAACCATTCCTTGGGGCCCTTTAAACAGACTGGAATTACAAACGACGATCTTAAGAAAATCTCGTCGTCCCGTGAGGTCATCGAGAACAATTTCATCACGATCTTCGACGAGGTTTTCATGACTAGAGCGTTTCCTCCAATATCATCGAGCAAGACGACAATCTCCGGTTCTGTCAGAAGTCACTCTCCCGACTCCCGTCCGAGAAAACGAACTGGACGTCAATTGTTCCTCCACGGCACACCCTTACGGCTGTGTTTGCAGATTGCCGTGCTGACAATTGCATGAGCATTTGTTAATGAAGAAAAATGCTCCGACGAATCGAGGCTGATGCAGATCCAAAAGATTCATGAATCATGAACGAACGAGCATGGCTAGCAGCGCAATTCTTCGCTGACCAGCAGTAAAAGGTAGGGTAAAAAAGAAAAACAAGAATCGGGAACGCCGATTTCACGACCATTGCAAGAGAGAGAGAGAGAGAGAGAGAGAGAGAGAGAGAGAGAGAGAGAGAGAGAGAGAGAGAGAGAGAGAGAGAGAGAGAGAGAGAGAGAGAGAGAGAGAGAGAGAGAGAGAGAGAGAGAGAGAGAGAGAGAGAGAGAGAGAGAGAGAGAGGCTTGCATACCTGACATCCAAAGAACAGCGATAACAAATCCGCCGAGAAGAAATTTCAGCGAAGAAGTGACCTTCCCCGCCATGACGACCGTCCGCGACCAGATGCTCGAGGCCCGCCGAGGATCTCAAATCAGTCCCGACCCAATGCTCCTGCTCTCCGGTGCCCTCGCATCCAGAGATGCAATGCGGAACTCCGCACCACTACACACCAAACCACAACGCAACGCAACACGGGCAGAGCCTCCGACAGGGAATCTGCAAACTACACACAATCACGCTCCGGCACCAATTGCCAGAGCAGCGAGATCAGACACTAATCAAACGAGGTCCCGCAAACCAAGATACTCCCGAATGGACCAACCCCTCCTGTAGGTTAAATTGGTTCGAGGCCGCATCAAAGACCAAATTTGGCACCCAATTGTAGGCAGCCCAGGGGCTACTGTAGGTAGAAGAGAAGATTCAGCGCGCTAGGCTCTAGAGCCCGGGACATCGGCACTGACTGGCGCCAGCAGCAGCACGGAAAGGGAAGGGACGGGGAAAGGGAAAGGGAAGGGGATGGGGAGAGGGAGAAGGAGGGAGAGGGAGAGAAAGCGATTAGACACGGCCAGAGAGGAATGGCAGCAGCAGCAGCGAGGGCCGAAATGAGCGTGGCTCGTTGGTCGGACGAGGACGACGAGGTGGGCAAGAAGCAAGGCTTGCCAAGTGTGTAGTGCGCGCTAAGCAAAAGCCTTTGTGGAGTGCAGCGCTGCTCTCTCTGCGTGCCCCGAGAATCTTCCGTTCGGCCCCACTGCCCCCACTGCCCCTAGCCCCTAGCCCCTCCTCTCCTTGCCTCTCCTTCCCCTGCTGGTGCCAAACACGCCCTGCCCCTCTCCTCTGCTCTCCTCTCGAGTCTCTCTACCACTAAGCAACCCTGCCCTCGTCCGGCCTGCCCCAGCCGGCGTGCCTGCCTTGCTGACTGACTGACCGGCTGGCATCCGAGTTGGCAGGGCTTCGGAACTCCGGGCGGGGGGAGGGGCTACGGCCGAAGCTCGGTGTCAGGCATGCGCGGCCGCTTTTGCGAGCAGCGGGTCCGGAAGTGAGCTTCGCTCGGATGCTACGCGCTGTTCTGGTTCGACAGGTGGCGCCGAGGGGAGTGGGGCGGGGCTGGAGGTGGGGCAAGAGGGAGGGGCTACGGCCATTGACTTTGCGTCCGGACTAGGCCCCGAACACTCGATTCTCCGAGCGTGCTTGCACAGATGGCTTCAGAAGACTGGACATCGACGAGATCGAGGGCAGCGTGCGCCCACAGCTTCTTCTCCGATTCTCTGATTCTCTGAATCCTGCCGACAGCCAGGTCTGGCCGGGCCTGCTGCTGTCCATGCACATGCTCGGGCCACATCTCACAGCAGAGCGCTTGCTCGCTCGCTCGACCAATTGTGTCTCCACAGACCGAGAGGCCGGAATTGGCGGGTCAAGCAAACAGAGAGAGCTTTGCCGAGAGGCTGAACGAAGTCTTCGAGACGAAAAAGTTTGCAGAGCAACGACGACTGTGGGGGTTGCTTGGTGGGCGGGCATCTCTCCCTCTCGATTCTTCTGCTTGTGGCCCGGTTGTTCACTGACGGACGCATCGTACCCATGCTTCGGAGACCGGCCCTCATGTTCTGTCCCGACGCTCAAGACCGAACAAGTCAAAATATCGTACGGGAGGATGACCTCTGTAGAGCTGCAACAACGACATCGAGATGGTACATGTCAACGCCGGCATCTTTCGTCCCAGCTTGAACTTAATTTGCTAGAGGCACGATCGTTACGATCAAATAGAGAGTCATTCGGTGAATGTGGGGGTCAGTGCTTGGAGACTTTCGTATCGATGTCGGTGGAGCCGCAATGAACAGGTTTTAATTGACCAAATCAGCACCAGCTTTCTGTTCCAAGATTCTCAGAAAGCTTCAAACACAGGTTGTCTACGATACCACGAGATCCAGTCGTTTATCAGATCATCGAGACGAAAGCCGCACATCATTCAAGCTCATTTGTGACTCACTTGTGCACACATGCATACATGAGACCTATTGGCTATGTACAAATTCGGAATTATCACTGCCAAGACCAACAACCAAGACAGCCGCTTGACCAGCCATGCAGTTCCAGGGCTAAATGTTTTCATGTGCGACGCACGCTATCTCGTACAGCTACTACTGGATGATTTGTTGAATCCAGTAGTAGCTGTACGAGATAGCTACTACTGGATTCAACAAATCATCGTCATCTGTAGTACACGACTAAATCTAATATACAGACGGGCTGATTTCTGACAATCGAATTCCATCACAAATCGAATGAACAAATAAATTTGCATATCAGTACGTGCAACAGCTTGATACAAACGTTCCATTTCGTCTGATGAGTCACACCAGATTGAGCGAAAAAAAACCTCGAGGCACTCCACGCCCTCTTACAGGAGGAAAACACGAGTTTGTAGAGTGTTTGTCGAGGCAAAACTTCCAGTGACTCCCATCCTTATCCTTCCATATAAAGGAGATTTGACATTCTACCTGGAAATTGCTTGACCAATAGAAACAGCAATCTCGTTGACTGCCTGCTGTTCCAAGGACAAGCCAAATTCCGAGCTCACCTCTTCACCCGCAGCTCGTGCCCAGCTACTTACAAAACTCTCTCCCTCCTGTGGAGAAGTCTGTCGAACACGTTCAGGAAGGTATAAGCAGAACTCTCCCGGTAGAAGGCAGGGATCGAATGTGTCATTAATGCCTCAAGAAAGGTGAGTTACATACTGAAGAACAATGCTACAAAGGAGTATTTTGGCCACTACACTTCAGTCTTTGAGGTGATCTAGATTCGAGTACAATGCCTACCCGGAGACTATCTTCTCTAGATCGATTATCCTCGACCCAGTGTTTCCGCATCAACTCTTCTCGATTCACAAAGATTCTCTACAATCGTGCAGGACAGTTAACAGGGCTATTTACGACAATGAGTTTCCCTCTATGCTCCTACCCACTGCACAACTTCTCCAGAGCTCCATTTTCATCACCCCCGCAAGACTCGAGGGCACTCTTCGAGGCATCTTCGGAGAAACCCATTTCGACCAGCTTCGCCACCTACAAAGCGCAGATAATGAGTGATTTCATAATCAGGTAACAAAGAGACTGCTTTTATTCCCCTTGTTAATTAGACTGATTAACAACATAAAATGTGCTATATGGGCCCCTCTTCCGGTGAGATAACGAGTACATACGTACAACAGCAAGAGACAAAGCTCCCAAGAGAAAATCGCAAATACTGACCTTACATATATTTACAATATTCAAGCACAAAAAAGGGTACATTGTACACGTAGGTTCTATACGCATATGGCATAAGAGTGTCTGAGCTTCCATATGACTAGTACCTTTTCCTTCAATCCTAAAGATCCCCTCTTGGCAAATGTCTCCGTCCAATATCGAGCTGTTCCAACGAAGGTTGCGTAATCTCGCAGATACTGTCCATCCACCACCAAAAATACACATTACTTGCAACTCCAAGCAACGGAAAATATGCCATGACCACACAGACGCAAAAGCCTAGCGATGCTTTCTGAAAAATAGGTGGGACACTGATCTCCTTTGTGAGGTTGAGCTTCTTTGTGAACAATGAAGCGAATAGAGAGGTATTAAGAAATTAGACAAGAATTATACTGACATCTTATTTTTAGCACTCGGACGTTTCCAGTTGGAAGCAAGAGAGTAGCAGCTATGTGCTCAACAAAGAGAGAAGTAGATTGCAACACGTCAACTTACAATCCAAGCTTCTCATGCGTGACAAAGCTGATTAACCAAACTGGGCCCACAATCTACCAGGTCTACTTTGAAGGACTTTCGAAAACAGCTACACAACAAGCTGCACACTGCAAACTACTTAGTCCAGCAGCAATTGAAAACCACGATCATTCGACAAAGTTTCCCTACTTAAAAGTTTTTTGGACTTCACAAGACATTATTCAGATTCTACAAAAAATGTCTTGGTCGTTCGAGACGACCCATCTTTGTCCAACAGAGACAATCAACACTCGGCATCGAATTCAGTATTTTCAGAACTGATAAATATAGTATGTGATGTGGTATAGAAAGAAACCTTCTCACGGATGCTTGTATCCACAATAGAGAAGGATAAGTATTGATTACAATTAGAGAAAGACTCTGCTTTTCTTGCCTGAGTAAATTATGGTGCTTCTAGTCGTTTCATCTGGGTGAGCGTTCTAGACCATGATGTGCATTCTAGACCATCGCATGCATGTACAGAGTTCCAACATGGAAAAATATAATGGTGGTAATAGCACTGATCTGATACTTCACTAAAAGAAACAGACGTGACCTATAAGTGCGGAAATGCTTCCAAATCGCCTTCACACACCCATGAGAGATGTTGGTAGTATATTCAGGGAAAGGTCTATGCCGTGTCCGGTACAGACCAAGCATCGTTGCAGTAGCTTAACTGCGATGTTGATGGAAAGTAAGGTCCCGACCAGACCAAAGGGCTAGCAATAAAAGTATTTTTCTGAAGGTTTTTTTTACTGCTAAAAGGGTTCTCTGAGGACAGCTGAACTCAAGCACGGAACATGCCATTACAAATCTCCAAGACCGCATCCCAAATATGGAACATTTCAAGTGTACACGTACCTGCTGTGCTACAACAGCATCCTGAGGATCGTCTGGCTCAGGGGTCGATAGCAGCGCCTGAAGAGAAAGCAACGCTGTTTTCAACGTTAAAGCAGGACTCCACTGATCCTTCAAAATGTCCAAGCAAATGGCTCCATTTTGGCTGCTCACGTTTGGGTGCCTGTACAGAACGAATCGTCAAATTTCAAGTTCCTCGCAAGAGCTGGACCTTTATAATACTGGACGTTCACACCTGACAAATCCTTTCCAAAAGTTTTACAAGAAATCGGAAATCATGCTGTGGTGAGAGACTTAGGATTCCGAGCAGACAAACGCGTTCACAACCCTAACCTACAACGCGAAGCTTGATCTCGTACACTGACAGTTTCAGAGGAAGACCGAACTCACCAAACCTTCGTTATGAACTGCATTTTTGGTGGCTCGAAAGGGTAGGCAGCTGTAATGCAAGACAATTAAGCCTGTCAGCCATGACGGTACCAACCCCCACTAAAGTGGGAAAGATTTGAACCACCATCCAGGACATAATAGATTCACCCCAAATAGAGAAAGAAGAGACCCGCACGTCACATGTCTCAACTATTTCATATCTTGAATTGAATTATTTAATTTCATAGGCGAAAAGTCGAGTTTGACAACAACACGCTACTCATCTGGGCAAGAACACTAAGTGCGACAAAATTGGTCCACACAATCTATGATGGAGAAATCGACAGTCAGTGTAGATTCGGCGCTAGCTGGCATAAAATTAGTCGGTTCGATATCTTGGAACTGAAAAAAATTGGGTAAAATTGAAAACATAGCGAGGGGCAGTTCCGCTTGGTCGAGCTCTCTCGATACAACTGCGAAAGTTTACGTAGAAGGAAATTCGTAAGGGTTTCTTATGGTGGTGAAGTATGGTGAAAGGCACTCCGATGATGCCTTCAGACCCGGCCAAAGGATGTAAACTATCAAAGTCTAGACTCCAATTTCGCATGTTGAACCGTAAATTGCAACGGCAAATTCTATTCGGATGCGGGACAGCAGCAATTCAGTGAAACGAAGATCCACAATGGACGAGAGATGCTTGCAGAGGCCCCAACAGGAAAGAAACTGTGATCTCAATTGGTCTCTCTCGCAAACCCAATACGAGTTGAAGAAGGAGGAACGCACATGGAAGGTGGATATCCACCGAAAAAATGCCGCCCTCGTAAGGAGTGCCAACAGGACCCGTGATGGTGCCACGCATGCGAGCCAGATCATCTTCGCAGATAGCAATGCTCACTCCGGAGAGATTCTTATCTCTCTCAATCTCGACCAGCTCCTTCTGCACTCGTGAAACATCAAGCATTGTGGCAAGTAGCTTCTTGCAACTGGCTCTCCCGTGGCTCGCGCTCTCACTCAACAACCGACGACGACCCTCCTCCTGACACACAGCTACATGCAGGTGCCATCGTCGCTCGGCTCTCCTCTGCCCTGCCCTGCCATGCCTTCCACACAGACCTCCCTCTCTCCAACCCCAAGGGCGAGGGCAACCTAGCAACAAATGGGCAGGCCCTCGCGCATGCAACAGCAAACAATATGCTGCAGCATCGACAGTCGAACGCAAGGCGCCTCGTCTGCTGCTCTTGCTTACCAGGGCCCTTCCTGCCGAGGCAAACGAACCACCGCCCACAACAAATGACAACGATGACAGATGTCTCAGGGCTCTCTATCTCTATCTGTCTCTCTGTGCTGCTGCTCTCGATCCGCGGAACCAACCCGCATAATCCTGGCTTTCTTAATTAAAGACGCAATTCATCCGCTAGCTAGTTGTGCAAATCGCCGCCGTTTTTCGCGTGCCGTATGTCGCGCTACTGATAGCCTCTCGGGTCAGAAGTACACGCAGGTGCCATACAGCTTGCCGCCTTTATCGGACCACCCTTCTACACCATCGCATGTCACTACAGACTCCTCCCGCTACACGATACTCAAGAATACGGTGCCGATCTAGCTACTGACGCATCAGCGCCATGTAAACTGTAATTCGACTCAGACTGAAGCAGAAGCCCTGCTTATCATCATCATCATCTGTAATGCCAAACCGACCTCCACCATCAAGTGGCCGACATGCCCGACCCGACCAAGGATGACAAAATTCGAAGAGGTTTAAGAATGCGATTGAACCCAAACGATAAATCACATCCGCCTGCCTTCTTACACAACCACTGTGGGTAACGGATGAGGGGAAACGTAACAGCACATGAAACCGTGGCCTAAAATACTGGAGGACCGGGCCCCCCTTTAGATGATGACGAGAGCATCTTTCGCTTAGTGACTTCTTTGGCGGTGGCTGGCAGGTTAGGGAGGGAGGCTGGCTGGCTGACACCCGGCCACAGGGAGCTCGGACTCAAGCGCTATGAGTCACTCATGGCTTTTGTTTGCTTAACCCATTCGACTCAGGTCCATGTTAGCCAGTAGCTAGTAGCCATGCACGAAGATGCCTTTTCTGCCTTTTACCCTCTTGCTTCCGAAGTTGGAGGTTTTATCACACAGTGCAGCAGAATTGATTCCTCATGGATTCCACAGATGCAACACTTTCATCGACAACGATTCGCACCCATCCAGCTTCCAAACTCAAAAGGGCCATGCCATGCATGACCTGTGCGGAGAAGCATCTTCGTCTTCTTCCTTCACTTTTCTGTCAACAAGTTCGTCATGGAATTTTTTGACTTCTGCTGCACCTTTCCCAGTTCTCCTCGAGAGTCTCTTACCTCCTCCAGGTCAACATTGTGTCCCAACGGTTGACTCAACCCCCCCTCTAGCTGCAAATGATCGAGGGCCGACGACGAGGAGGAGCTACAGCTATAGCGGTGGTAGGTGTGATCGCCACAACATTTGAGGGTTTGAAATTATATATTTAGAACGGCGACTCGCATGAGTCGTATCATAAATCGCACGCTGACAATCACTCGGTTCCAAACTTCGACTCATGATTTTCTTCCCGCGACATGAATCTTTCTTGTCATGTATATGTCTAATTGCGTTTTATGGCAGTCAATAATTCTATAAATGTCTCGATGTGTTGTCGTCGTAAATTAATGCAAGTTGAACAGATTTGAGCAAGTTAGTGATGAAAAATAATCTATGTGCTTGTCATTCGGCAAAGATCTTCCGGTTTAGGAAATGAGAACTTTCTTTGGGTTTCGTTTTCGTTATTTGCTGTATTTGTTTAATTTTTTTCAGGGAGATAATTCATCGAATACTTTTTATAATCATTATTTTATTAAGCATTGAAGATCAAAACTTCGGCCAGTGCCAAGTGATGGTATTGAACTCTTTCTGCGAAAAAAATAAAATTTGACGTGCAATGAGCGTCAAGAAGTATAGTTCTTTTAGAAAGAAAGTTGATCCTGGTAGATTTTCTTCAAGGAGTTTAGTTACATGCGGTACTGCAAGTGATGATGATTTTTGGCTTTAATAGAGGTCATTAATCCAGATCAGCACGACGTGAGTTCAGATCATGAATAACGAACTGAGTGGAAAACACGGAAGTGAACAAAATCACCTTTACTTGGAGGTGGGCCTCTTGCTAGATCGTTCCTGAGGTACTAGTGTTGACTCCTACCCAATAATCAGTGAGATATAAGGTAACCTTTTTTGTCTGGGAAACTAAAGCACTACGCAGTAACCAATCCTATTAACATTCCATTTTTAGGTAGAAAAAATCATTTTTAAGGAAGCTTTCGAATCCAATTGTAGTACGTCAAACTACAAGGGTAAATTAAGAAAATCTGAATGCTGATCATACCAAAACGATTCAGTATATTTGAAACTGTAGTGAAAAAGATATGATCTACTTTTGAATGTATTTGTAATGATAATGTATTTCTGAATTGGATAACTTAAACTCTATATTTGATATAATAACGATAATTTTCAAATTCGTTATGATGGAATCCAAATATTGACATAATGAAGTGCAGAAAAATTTCGTGTTGACTGTAGTTCTAAGAAAAGAAGGTACTGTACTAGTAAAAAATGTAAAAACTTCCACTTTTTCAAACTTTGGTTTGTAAAAGATAAGAGTAAATGATCTTTCTAGATAAGAAATTATCAATTGGAAAAAAATTGAATTCTTAACATTTCTGTCACATTAAAAAATGTGGAATAATCCAGCAGGAATAATTAATATATGGAATAATTTTAATACGATCGATACACACTAGCAATGTAGTTATAGGCGAAAATAATTGTATTTCTTCCATAAAAAATTATGCTACATTGTTATGAAATCATTTTTTTAGATAAAAAATAATTCAAGTATATTTTATACCCTTCATCGATAATCACATTCCAAGATTTTCACTATTTTATGTCATAAATTGATTTCATAACTTTTAAACAACAAGTTTATGATTCAATCAATTGTTATTTATCACGTACATGTCATGTGCATCAGTCGATATGTCTGCAGGTTCCCATTGACCTATGCGAAAAAATGGGAATTAAAAATACTATCTCATGAGAGTAGATATACTCTTTTTATTTTAGAAGCCAATAAAACTAATCAATCAATACATGTAAATGAAAATATGTCAAATTTATGAAATGAAGTTTTGGTTCATGTAAACTTAGTATGCAAAGATATATAATGTTAAACACAATGTAATCTGCAAAACGATTGAATTATACTGGTTGGTTGAACAAATCCGTCTGGTCATGATGAAATGAAGTAGATTATGACCAGACGGATTTATTAAACCAACCACAAAACATCGTCCGATCCAAGATTTAAGGAGCGACTTTTAACTAGGAATGCAAATTTGCTTGTACTGTAGTACCTTTTAAACTGCCGACAAGATTACGTGAAAGTAGTCTCACATTAAGATTTTTGGCTAAAAAGAGAAAATATATTCATGTCCGAGCGAGAAAAACTCGAGACCGAATTTTCTTTACGTTACAACTGATTTTTCAAATCGTTAAACACTTATACATTTTACGGGTTACAAGAAAATTATGAACTTTACTTTTTTTACATGGAATTTTCACATATTTCATTAAATTTGACACAAACAAATCAAACTTTTAAATTTTCAAAATTCCAATGAGTAAATATTGTATAGATTAAATTATCCGATGTCGTATACCCACAGTACTCAGTAAATTTGTACACTGTTTGAAAGGACTCACATGTTCTTTTCAATAATCACCTTAATTGACTTCATGTTCAAGATTTAATGCCTTCGTAATGTTGTGATAGATATTTGGTAGGTATATCTTTATCTCATTGAAGTTACTTTAAATCCAATTCAAATTCTAAATTCTGTATGATAAGATTTATGGATATCTTCTCTAATATCATGCGTGATAACTATTTATACAATAGAGAGTATGAGGTTGAGTTCAATTTTGATAATCTTACAAATTAAGTCCTTCAATTTTTATTTGCTCGGACATGAAGAGAATCGTTAAGGATGCCGGATTTCCTAGACGGAGGAGGTCCATCACTACAATTGTGTGAAAACCTTCGCGTCATTAGTTTTCCATGGAAATGCAGAAGAAAGTCTTTGCAAGCTTACACACAACAAATGGGTTCAGAGTGGGATGTCCAACCGTGAGCTAGAGGAACTCAACCGTTGAACCGACTGTGGTTGGCAAACGCCATCACTTTCATCAAGCCCATAAACTTTGTGACAAAGCATTCTCTCGAGGCGAGATTTGGCCCATCAATCCTATTACTTTACGTTTTACATTGAAGGAATACCTTGACATGTAACAGCAAGAAGTAGGTCTACGAAGATGGATTGCACATGGATGTGATGGAAATGTTTGCACTTGTCACACAGATGAGGAGTGTGTCACGCCCTGACGATTTTCTGGCGTCGTCACGAGTGAAAGGATTCTCCGCTAACAATGTATTATGACGGGAACTTGGAGCAGGTGTGAGGAGCTATCGAACAAACAATAAAACTATAATCGACAGAGCTCACGTGGTAACCAGAAGGCCCTTCATGTAAATATTCCCGAAGACTTGCACAATTGGGGGCATATTTGCTTTGTACACACAAAGGGATGGGGATGCATCGCGCCTTTTGTTCCATGCGCCTCCCTTGTGGCACTGTAGGGGGCCAGAGACATCTCGGACCCAGTCCTAGACCTTTTACTGTACGGTCGGTACCGTACTGTCATTACTACGTAACTGTTATTACAGTACAGTGTGGTCGAAGTTGGTCATGAAATTCTCATGAAGTTCCAAGCAACTCGAATTGTCGACAGAGACACAGAGAGAGAGAGAGAGAGAAAGAGGCAGTGGGAAGGTGATGTGAGGGGAGATGCAACGGACTCCTCTCATCTGTCTTTCGAGGGAAATCGCCATTGTGTATTAGGGCGGGTGGTTGTCAGGAGGAGCTGACAGTATGTGGGTGGTGTGGAGGTGGGGGAGGTGAATCTTTGGGGTACCGTGGAATTTTCTGAATGTCCTGAGGTGCATTTTTCTTTCTCTTTACCCCCGTGTACAATTTTGGTATTGATGGCGTTGGTCGCGGTGGTACCACAGGTTGAAGGTTGAAGAAATTGATTGAGGTTCGTAGGACAAGTGAGAGGAGCAGAGCAGTGCTGAGAGTGCGTCGCTGATTCTGCTGCTAACATGGATGTGCAGAAGCAGATTCGTGAAAATACTCTCGTACTTTCCGGACCCTGCACTTTCCGAAAATTTGAATTTCGCATCAGCGATAAGGCCAGAGCCCTCGGCATAATTTCTATTTAACTCATGAAACGGCATATGGTTCTGACGTTCTGTGCAATTCTTCTGTCTGTGGACTGTGTTTTTTGGACTTCTACAATTTCGTTTAGATAATGAGAGAGTAAAATTGTTTTCGGTGTTTTGTTTCTCCCTGAACGAATAAACCATCGCGGAACATCTATTTCTCATTCGTTCAATAGAGGGGGCACGGGTGATGAGAGTTTTTCTGTGAATTTCTTACGTTCAATGCCCGTTGTTTGTGGAATCAATGTGTACTTTCTGTAGAATCAAATATGGGACTGGACCAGTCATTTGTTAGTCCTGCCCGTTACATCCCTAGTCCAGGTCATGTACACGCTGTATAAATTTCAACTTCCCTTTTGAATGTGGGATTTCCTTATATTCGATTTCAATGCAGCCAAACAACAACGGACTCCGTCCTTAGATTCGAGAAGGCCCCTCACCGCAGTATGGGACGGAATTTTTGGTGCTTGAGTTAGATACATTTCAAACTTCTATTTTCAAATAATCTGCAGCAGGATTACTTGGCGACGTAGTTACAATTACAAAGTTTGGTGAAGTACATTTCAGCTAGAGTAATTGGATTGTTCCTGCTCAGTTGTTTGACTGTCTGAATCATGCTAGTTCTGATTGGCTCCATGTTTTCTGGTTGGAAACGGGAATGATTGCAGGAGTTACACGACTTCTTGAAGGATTTGAAGGGCTGGGAGAAGTCTGTGAAGGAAAAAGAAAAAAATCTTCGGAATGAACAAGCCACCAGGGGAAATGATGTGGTAACACCGCTCTCTCTCCTTCTATGTCTTGACTGTCTGTGTATGAATCAGTAGGCCAGTAGCATTGAGGTAATGTAGAACCTTTGTGGCTGTACTGGAGTAATTTCGCTGATGCCGCCCACTGAATACTTAAGTTGCTCTTTACCAGCATGTGGCTTCATGCTTTGATTGGTTTACTCTTGATCGACATGAATATGTGACAACTGTTTTTTTTCATTCCACATTGGGAAGTTTGTTGTTCCCCTGTTCATCCTTGGAGCTCTTGTATTCATGTTAAGGGTACTCTAATTCTGGTATAAGACCTTCCTCAAAATTTGACATGGGAATGGAAGAGAGGGTATGCAATAATATTCGTTAGGTTAGAAGTAGCAATTATGAGCAGAATTATAACAGAGGCAAGTTTGGAATTCGCGGACGTCGTTTTTCCTCCTGCAGTATACAAGTAGCGGGTAATTTCTTTTGTAGAATTTGGCCGAAATTTCCTATGAACAATCATCATCAAACTTTTGCTGGGTTTTTGCAGTTTCGGTGCCTGAAGTGCGTTCATATTGTATCTTGTATCACTCGGCCTTCGTCGTTTCGTTGTGTGGACGCTATAATCTAATTCATCACAGTGAGGAAAACCAATCGTTATTTCTGTAATTCACACCTTCAATTCTTGCTTGATTGTAAAAGATTCCCAATCCAAGGAGGAATTCCTCAGCTGCAGCTCATGTTGAAGGCAAGGGAAGCCAGGAGATATGTAAAGAGAAGAGCAATGGCAAGGTTGATCCTATTACAGTAAGCGGTAGTAAGAAGACAGAAAAGACTCAAGTTCCGGCCAGCAAACCTGGCACAACAGCTGCGAGCCACACGTATGACTACTTCCGAGACAAGTGGGATAAGTTTGATGTGGTGTGTTTTCTAACTTTCTGCATATTTCGTATCTACAGTAATTCAGGCGAAATCATGGACATTTGCCTTTGCTGAGTGCTCACATATACTGACATTTGCTAATGCAGAAGGTATCGGTGACTGCTGCATATGCAAGTGTCGCATTTGATCAATATTCATAGATGCAAAAATAACAATATGCTCAGATCTTTCATTTTACCGTACTGCAGTAGCATTTTATTCGTTGGTGGAGGTATATGAATGATTGTTTTAGTGCCGTACCAATCACAGTCTATTTGTTCCATAGACCTTGGTGATCTACTCTAACAGGGAATTCGTGAGGGAATTTATTATGGTCAGGTCTGACCCAGTCCACAATCCGTGCAAACTAAGTTTGCCTTAGTTTCTGTTAGTTTTCTCAGTGCCTTAACCACTCAACTGCCATGTTTTGATTGGTTATTTCTTTGAGCTGAATTGATTGTAATATACTTCCTTCACTGCTTGCCAGTGCCTAGTATGGCTGAATGGTTTTCCAAGTGCTTTCCTCTCAATGCATCACTTACTAGTTTGATTCTGATGTCCTTGGCGGTATACTAGGATGCAGCTCTGAAGGAGATTGATGAAGAGGACGAAGATGGCGAAGACTTAGGTCAAAAGAAGGTACAGGACAAGGTAATACCTCCTGTACGTGGTTCTCAGGGTGGAAGCAAAACTGTCGAGAGAAAACGGACAGCGGAGGCCATCTCGAAAGAACAAACCATGGAACCAGGAAAATTATTCGGTCGAGGAATTGGAGCCATGAATCGACTTCCTGGTTCCCTGGGATACGATGAAGGAATACCAGACGCAACATCCGAGAAAGAGCTCGTGAGTAATTTATGCACTTCAAATGTTCTTAGGTTATTCCACTGAATGGTTTTAATGCAAGTTAGAACTTTTCCAAGAAGGATGCAACCAGTAGTTGTTTTCTATCCCTTGATCAGTGAGATACTAATGGCTACATTTCTTTAATCCAGGGAAATGAGTATTTTAAAGAAGGAAAATACGTTAGAGCTTTCGAATGCTATTCGCGGAGCATTGCATTGCAGCCGACTGCAGTCGCTTATGCAAACAGAGCAATGGCAGCGCTTAAGCTGAATAGGTGAGCGCTTCGTTGCTATTTTCTTAGTTAGTTGTGAAGAGAGTAACCATCCATATCTTTCACGTAATACTTATTGGCTGAATTTATAAATGAATGTGTAGGAGAAATTGTCTCACTTGTCTTCTCAGTTTCAATGCCGCTTACTTTGAAGTTATTCCTTCAATACGGAAGGTATAATTACATTGTATCATATATGCTCTTTGAAAGTCCAGAGCTGACGCTGTATCGTCAACCTTTTGTTCACTTTGATGAAGGCAGGTTCAAAGAAGCAGAAGAGGACTGCACAGAGGCCATCTCTCTAGATGATCGTTATACTAAAGCCTATGCTCGGCGTGGTACTGCTCGGAGAGAGCTCCAGAAATATCTGATGGCAGTTGAAGGTGAGACCTTGGTTGTGCATTGAAGCAATAGCTGAATATTAGCAGGATCCTCTCGGATGTAGATGCATCTGTCATGGAATGCATTCTGTCCTGGTGTGAGCACCACCATGTGGACAATACATTCCCGGCTGCGCATCCTATTACCTGAGTTTTGTGCCATAACTATGTACAAGAAGTTTTGTAGCCCATAAGATACTCCTTATGATTCGAATTATTTCAAAATCAGTATTTGAATTTATTTCTTCTTATTTGAACCATGTACCTTTGTAGATTTCGAATTTGCATTTCGATTGGAACCTGAAAACACGCATCTGAAGAGACAGTACATGGAAGCAAGAGAGACCTATGAGAAAGTAACTCTCTACACCGATCTTGCTCTTTTTTGTATGTGAATACTAGCTTATAATAAGGGAGATAATGTTTTTCATGGTGCAGACTCGCTAATGAGTCCTTATATGATCAACCATCTTACATAAAGACTCATGATTGGAAGTAGTAGTTCGGATTGTGTTGTTCGGAGAGTTTACAATGGCCCAGTTAGTGTTTTTTTTATTATATTATCAAATATTAAAAAATCATCTCTGTATTGAACTTCAAGTAGCTGTTGACCTTGCATTTTATATCCAGTTTCCTCCTGTTAGCTGCAATAACGTTCCTACAACGGCCAGCTCTAAAGTTCGACTTCGTTACTGAAAGATCTGAACTCCACTTAATTTAGCCGGTTGGAGGCTCTATACTTCGCCTGTCGCAACTTCTCGTAACTGATAAGCTGCCAGCATCACTAACCCCCGTTGTTTTTGGCAGCGCACAGGAAATAAACCATCTGAAAAGAAAGTACCTATCATTGTTAAAGAAGTTGCAAAAACTTCACCACAAGTACCGGTTGCAGCTAAGTCCTCCGCCATTGAGGAGTCACCCAAACCTGTTCATAAACCTGCAGGGCCAACGAGTAGTAGTACAAAAATCAATAACGCTGACCTAGCTGGAGATATGGAGTCTTTTGGTGCTGATACGAGGCCAAAGGTTCCCATCGTACAGGCTAACGGAGCCGGAAGACCTGTAACAGCTAGTCCACAAGCAAAGGCCAAGGCAGCAGAGCAGGTGGCTCATCTAGCCATAGAATTTCTTGTTGCTGTAAATCTAGTTTTTATAGCCTGAAAAAGTTCTGAGTTGTCAAGTTTTTAAAACGTTACCAACCATTAGACCAGGCTCTCTGAATCGTAAACTTAGCGCAACTTCACAATTTCTTCATCTTTTCTTCTTCGATCGGATTGTTATGTGTTGCAGGCAAAACTGTATGAGAAGAAACTGGTAGAGGCAGCAGCTATACAGAACGCTGCAGCCCGAGCAGCAGCCACAGTTGCTATGGCAGCTGTGCGAAACTTTGCCGCTCCTAAAACAGCCTATGAGTTTGAATCTTTATGGAAAGGTTTTGACGGGAATCTCGAGGCACAGTCTCGGCTTATGAAGGTTGGTAACTATCTATTAGTTCGAATTTAGTGCAGATTATACAAGGAAGCTGGCAAAGCGGCTGAAAGTTTGAAAGGTTGCTGGTTCAAAAGGTTTAGGCAACTGAAAGGTTAATATAGGTTATCATCAATTCGGAAAGAGTTACTATTTGACAAGCAAACTATTTTTACTTGCAGGTCATGGATCCTTCTTCTCTTCCTGGAGTCTTTAAGGATTCCCTTGGGGCCACTATGTTGGTGGAAATTATTCGTTGCCTTGAACTTCTGTTTCCGTACGTATAATTTCCAACATTTCTAATAACAACTCGTACTCATTTCCTGAAATGCTAGTCATTGATGAGGACCGTGTGAATGTTTTTCTTGAATTTTGTAGCTCTTAAAATTTTCTTATCGAGAACCTTCTATATATTTTTTGCAGTGACGATGCAAGCTTTGCAGTACAAATCTTGGAGAATCTGACGAAGGTCGGGAGATTTAGCATGACGGTTATGTTTATGTCAGCAAAGGATAAGAAAGGTGAGAATAGCCAACTGCATGAGTGCATTATCTGATAGTTTATTTTTCCTCGCGAAAGAACTGTTGTATATGAATGGAATAAGTCTCAAAGATTGCTGGTAATAACAGGAAGATATTGTGACAGATCTCTGCAGGTTATGGGATGAAGTTTTCATGAAATCTTCACCGGACATGCATTCGGCGCTGAAGTCTTTACGGGCCACCTATCGGCTAGGTTGATTTTCGGTCAATTTCAATTTTGTTCATACATATCGACCAATGATGCCGGATAGTAAATGTAGCCGTATGAAAATTTTTGGATACACTTTGTACAGTTGAGGCAGATCAGCACGTCCTGCTAACAGCCCTTAACTAGGTCCCTCAGCTTACAGTAGTGATTCATGTGCACCTTTCTAAGAACATGACGAACTGGAAGTTGAAGTAGCAAGTTCATATCTGGACGGGTTTGTGGGGTTACGGTCTTCTTTGCAGTAGGTACCATAAATATGAAGTGTTGAGCATAGCCCACTTGATTGAAAGTGGACTGAGAAGGCCTTGTGAGTCAAGTAGGAGCACATTCTCGATGTGGAATGTGAAAACACCAAATTTTAATGAAAGGGGACTCTTTGAACACTGGATTGGAACAGTAGTTCTGGAGTTTGTAGACCTTTTAGCTGGTTGTGCGTGTTGTCATCTTCCTTGTGGGGAAATTCTGGCGCAAAGTATTGCCAACCAAGGTGTAATATCATTCCCTAAGGTGCACACTTTTGAAAGAGAGACCGTGAATACGAAGGAAACGTGGCACACATATCTGGCACAAGTTGTGGTGAGGTGAGAAAGTTGGAAGTTGAAGGAGTTGAGAAAGTCAGTGTTTAGAGACGTACAACCTTTTCAAACTTGGAGACATAAATGCAAAATCAAGGCCCGAAAGATGAAGACCCCTATCGTGGTTGGTATTGTGCACGGCCATCCGTGTTCCATGGGAGTCTTGCCATCAACTGGGCATGTCCCCCACTTTTAAGAGACCTGGAACGAGACGATGTTCCTGGTTGGTAACTCGCAAAGACAAGTACTGTACGTAGCTTGTTACCTCTCGGAGGTGTGACCCGACATTGCGAGAGCATCATCGCTGACTGGGTTCACATCACGCTATGCTTTTGAAATCATATTTCACGTCCAACTTCCTTGTCCTGACGACATCCCAAATCATAAATAGATCAGTCTAGATAAGGCTACCAATTTTTGTGAATATATAAAAGCTTGTACGGACATGCATGTGGGGCCACACCTTTCTTGGCAGATCATTTACTGAATGTCAAACCGCTTGCTGATGGCATATTTGGCAGACTCAAAGAATCTGTAGTCTTCGTGTCTTCTTGCACTAGCATTTGTTATTTTAGCTGAAGTTATTACACTAAGGGGCATATCATATGTCCCTTAGTCCCTTAGTCCCTTCATCACATCCAATGTGTCACATATGGGATGCGGGGCAGAGTAGATTTAATTAAAATATCATGAGTGATGTTTGTTAGGCATGAGAAATAGTTTATCGTATGTAATGTATTGAATATAATTGAAATAGATGAAAAGAAAACTTGTTATTTACTGATACTATACATGATATTTATTTCAAGAAATAGATTATTACAGGACGATTGAAGCCAAAGTCATGAAAATTTTTCAAATGATTGTTTGATTTAGGCAAACGTTTATTAAATTTTAGAATTGTATGAAAGTATAATGACGCATTTTAGATTATTATGAAGATTTTGAGAGGTACTAAATCATATAATATAGATATAAGTAATTTAGAATATTGTAAATTTTTTTTCTATTTTTTTGCGTTCATCTGTATGCAATGATTGTAAAGTGAAGAAATCACAATAATGTTTTTAATCTATTTTTAGATGTAAATAATTATGATATCTTATATATAAAAGAACATTATTTCCATTGTCATGTTATTAGGCCAGGCAAGTTTCCCGTTTGGTTTCATACATGAATGACTGAATAAGATCATCCCCGTACTATTTTCTTATGCACCATATGTCTCTTTGTCTTGAAAGTCATAAACGTGTTCGCTTCGGAAATTCAGTCTGTAACTTAGGTATAGATGGACATAGGAAAAACACGCTCTAACCGCACTTACATAGCTGATGTCCAATTGGAGGTTTCCATGGAATGATTTGCCCAAAGCCAAGAGAAAACTATACTCGTGTTTACGAGTATAGTTTTCTACAGACGTGCTACAGCCATAAATTAGTACAGATTTCGTCCTCGGATAAGATCTTTATTTGGCGCTTTCTAGGAGTGATTCATATGCAAGACCTGTCATTCCTGTCGACTTTGAAGTATGTGATACAACATATTCAAGTTCACGAAGCTATGGTTCAACTCCTCGTTGCTTGCATAGCAGTGTAAAATATGCCGGATTGGTGCCATTCTTGGGTACGTGGTCAACGAAAATATGCCTAAAAGTCAGATACATAGTTCTCAAAGATTCCTCAAACCCAGGATTTCCGTTGATAAGCTGGTACCATGTATAACAGGAGATAGCTTCTGTTACCTAGTTTGAGACATCTAGAGGATCACATCGTTGATTCTGGAGAAGACCAATTGAGCGGCATGCAGGCATGAGGTTAAAGATTGAACCATTCTGAAAAGTCCACGGGAGATCCAAATCCGAAACGACAGAAAGGTCAGTCAGCACGAAGAGCTCCCTTCGCATTGAAGACTTCCACGAGGGTAATAATAATTCGATCTTCGGGTCGAAGTCAACTAGGTCAGATGGACATGCGGCTCGACAAAAGTGGACAAAACTCGGCGCTGGACTCATGGCTCGCTCATTATTGTCTCTGCCCCTGCCCCGATCCTTGATCCTTCTGTTGTACTTTTGATGTACCTCCTCTGCTGACTCTGATCTGCCTTTCTCGAACCACTCCGCCACGAAGAATCCTGGAACCTCGTCCTTTTCCTCCTGCTCCTCCTCGTCCTCGTAACGAAGCTGATCTGGGGCGACAGTGGACTAGTGGTGGTTGTGCTGGCGGGCCAGTCTAGGCTCAGAGGCTGGGGTATAATTTGCAGGGATTCAAAGCAGTGCAAGACTTCTTCGTGGATAAAGAGACATCTGAGAGCTGACGACAACAAATTAACATAATGAACAAATAACAAAAAATAATTCTTTCGATTTGGTCGAGTGGCTAATACGGAAAAATTCCAATAAATGCTTAGGATCTCTAAAGACGAAGCCTCTTTTAAACAGCAAGGCTCTCAAGTATCAAGCCTTTTTGTTGCATGCCATTTTCGGCTGCATTCAGATTCATTCTAAAATTAAAATCCTCTCAAGAAGATAAAAAACTAAAACTCAGTCATCTTCATATTTTGGTAAATCCAGTGCCATTTCACTTGGAAGTGAGCAGACGCCATGCTAGATGAGTTTACTGGAAAAACATTTCGAGTTTTTGACAAAATCTCGCGTTCATAGTATTAAGTTTCAAGTGCAATGTACTGGCAAGAATTGGACATACTAGTGATCTATAAACCTGAAGAAGATTCCATGGCTACGAGATACCAACAAGCAATAATAAATCGCATAATCAATATGTTAAATTTTTTGAATAAATACTTATGCTTAGTGGAAGTTACTTTATTATTTTCAAAATCCTTCTATCGTATACCCTCCATTAATGTAGCCTAAAATGCTTATTTACAGTGTTAAATACAAGGTTAAAGGTATATAGGAATACTTGTGTATATCTATAAAAAATGTTTAATTACTTTTACATAAGAAAGCCTTACATGTAGAAATTGACAATACAATAGCTTGAAAACGGAAGGGAGGCCAAAGTAGCATTCACTCATTTGAAAGTGTATGTTAGTCACACTTGCCCCTTGCAGACTTTGGATGTAGTCGTACGATTAGAGGTTTAGAGGGATAAGTTGTACAAGAATTTATATGATTTGAGTGCTGGCCGATGCATCCACAAGGACAAAACAGAAAAAGAAGTTCGGACGAATTCATTCGGTAAGGCTGAGAAAAGGGGGACATAGGACAGTTTTGTGCATGCTTGGGACCCTACGACGACCTCCACCAGCCTCTGCACGGAAAGGGAAGGGAAGGAGAAGTGGGGACTCGTCGACATTCTGCCGATTTCAGTGACCAATTGCACGCTCAGAGACAGAGAGAGCATTTGTCTCGTCCCGCATTCGATCGTCTGCCGGCCCCGCTCGGCTCGGCTCGGCCCGGCCCGGCCCGTTCTGTTCTGTTCTGGTCCGCCTTGCATGATCGTAAATTGACGGATGTTGTTGTGGGGGGCATCGGTTGTGTAGCTGCTGCTGCTGGTGCTGCCTGAGAACTGCATCAGGACGGAGTCGATTGGGCGATATGGGGAGAAACAGGAGATGGGTCGCGGCGCTGCTGCTTGTGGCAGGGTTCGTTGTGCTGGCAGGCGTGTGCGTGCAGCAATGTGAGGCCTCGGCGTCTCAGAATTCGGCCGACGGCAAGCGGATTTTCTCAGATGGCGAAAAGGACGTGCAGCAGGATGAGGATGCGGATTTGAGTTTTTTGGACGATGAGGAGGCCGCCGAGAAGAAGCAGGCGAAGGAAGAGAGGTTGAAGAAATTAGCGGAGGAGGAAGCAGAGGAGGAGGAGGAAGACGATGATGATGATGACGACGAGGAGGAGGAAGTAGAGGCCGACGATGACATCGAGGGCGAGGACTTTCAGGGCGATTCAGCTCTCGATGAAGCCGGCGAGGACGAGGAAGAGGAGGAAGAAGAAGTGAAAGAGGTGAGTGAAATTTTTATCACCGCAGTTTCGTACGAGGTTTTCAGATCTGGATGATTCGTTCCCTGATCACGTTGTAACTTGATCGACCCTCTCGAAGAGCATTTTAATTATTCAAAGCAGAGCAGTAACTTGATACCTGTGATACAATGTGTGTATTATGCTCGAAAGTTGGGTGCAGCTAGGGGTTATGGATCGCTGCACAGGAAGTTTACATTTTTGATCATATCGGTGAAATTTGAACATTTGAATTGGGGTTAATGACAGGCCGATGAGAAGGACGTGGTCGTAATCGGCAGCGGCAACTTTTCTGAAGTGCTCAAGGCCAATCATTACGTGATGGTCGAGTTTTATGCTCCATGGTGTGGCCATTGCCAAGCATTGGCTCCAGAGTACGCCGAGGCGGCCACATTGCTTAAAGACGTTGCTGTATTGGCTAAAGTCGACGCCACCTTGGAAGATGACCTCGCTCAAAAGTTTGATATCGAAGGGTATCCGACTTTGATATTTTTCATCGATGGTGTCCAGAAGCCTTACAGCGGACAGCGTCAAAGGTCCGCGCTTTTGTGATGTCTGAATTGAGGGTGGAAATTTACTATTTAATATTTTTTATTTTTTACCTGCACTGATCCTTAGGAGTTTTCAGTCCGGCACTGAGAATAAGCTTGGTGAGACTGCAGAGATGCAATTGTGGAGTGGGTGAAGAAAAAGACAGGACCATCTGTCATTACTATCACCTCGAAGGATGATGCTGAATTGATTGTTGACACACAGAAGACTACAATGGCTATTGCCTACCTGGAAGATTTGAAGGTTTGGACTAGCGGTCAATTTTACTACTTCCTTTGCATTTCTTCAAACTCGTCAAACTATCCATGCTTAACTTGAATTTCTTTTGACATGTATACTCAAGGCCTGAATTGAGTTTTACTTGTGTTTATAGAGTTCTTATCCTGAGCTCTCTGGTTACAGGGTGCAGATGCTCAAACCTACTCCGCAGTTGCCAGACAAGATGATGACGTTGTATTCTATCAAACGGACAACAAGGAGGTGGCTGAGGCTTTTACATTTTCCAAGGAAGCAAAGCGACCATCCCTCGTTCTGCTCAAGCAAGAAGCTGAGAAAGTATCGTGGTTCGGTGAGATTTCAATCTTGCCGAATATATGTTCAGTAGGCGTTATTTCGATGAGTCAAATTTCTTAATTTAGTTCATAAGAGAAAATTGGCGAACGCTGCTTCAAATAAATCTGTGATCCGAATAGGGTGTGTGAATAGTTCAGCATTGGTCGGAGATAGGATGCCGAATTGCGAGCAGTATGCGCTTTTTGTCGTCAAGCCCGTAAAATCAGGTGGAATACATCCATAGTTCAGTTGAGAAGAATGAATTGTCTCATGTGACAGATGGTTCGTTCGAACGAGATGAGCTTGTACGGTTTGTTGCTGAGAACAAGCTTCCTTTGGTCATCACTTTCAACAAGGAATCGTCGGCACTGATTTTTGAATCTCCCATCAAGAGACAAGTATGTAAAACAACTTACTGCAGATGTTTTAGCCTTCTTTTTCCTTATGTTCATTTGGATTTTTTTTTGTTTGAATATGATTGAATCTAAATTAGTCAGATGAACTTGGATATAACAAAGCAGTTGTACTCATGATATGTTCTGGTCATGACGCTAATTTCACGCAGTAACAAAAAGGAAGTGTTTGTTACAAGTCTGGAGTACTAAATGTGATTAGAATTCGGAGGAAGTTATTGCAATTTTTCCATGCTGTGAAGCTTAGAGGCAGAGAATCCATGTGATTTTCTGTCGTTTGGATTCTCTTCCCTTGTAAAGGATTCATCGAATTATAGGACACCGTTAAGTGTCGTCTTGAAGCCAGAGTACACACAGCCTCTCAGCTTTATCATCACCTTTTCAACTGACGTCTAACATCACAATGATTCTTGGCAGTTTCTTTTATTCGCTGATCAAGATGAACTAGAAAGGGTGTTACCTGAGTTCAAAGTTGTGTCCAAGGCCTTTACGGGAAAGGTACGAATTTACATTCGATCAGTTCTTCGCCGACGCTGCTAGTTTGGATGATAAGATCTCAGATGTCAAATATCATATAACTAGAAAACTCACGGTGAGATGGTTGCAGATGGTCTTCGTGCATGTGGATCTGGGAGACACTGAGCAAGCCCCAGGTATCACGGAGTTCTTCGGGATCCCATCAGATAAACCAGCGGTATGATTAACCTATCCAGATATGACGATAATCAGCGCAATGTCGATAGTCTGTTGTCTACTCTTTGCGAACTCCCTTCTTCTTGATTATTTATTCGGCAGAAAATTGATCTAAAGCTGGAAGATGATTTTAATATCTGGAAGAAAATGCAGGTCGTGGCATTCGAGTCTCATGAAAATGGTCGGAAGTTCTTGATGGAGGGAGAAATCAATGTTGAGAACATGAAGGTTGGTAATCACGTATTTCCTTATCCTATATGACTAAAAGAGATCTCTGTGCCCACGATTTGCCTTTGTCGGAGAAATTTTACTGAGGCATCCGTTTTTTCTGTCAAGGATGACTCCAAGTTCAATCATATATGCACTAACACCAGGATTCAATCACGTAGCTGTTAGTGAGACTTCACTTATTCTTGTTAAGTTCGAACTAATTGGTATCTTAAGCATGTTGTTGCCCAAATTGAGTTCAATACCAAGAAATCCTCAATACTATACTTTACGATGGTAGAAGAAAAAGATAAACATATGTCTAACGCTGCGTCATGATAACTCCAGACTTTTGCAGACGGGTTTCTGAAAGAAAAACTGAGACCTCACCTCAAGTCCGATCCCATTCCTGAATCTGTAAGTCTGAATCTTTCAGTGAGCTGAGTCGTATTATCGTTGTTTTTCAAGCCTTTCATCTAATTGAAGTCTAATGAAGAGACTAGCTGCTTAGAGAAAATCTATTTCATCTGATTAGTTCTTGATTTTTCCTTGGCAGAATGATGGACCTGTGAAGATTGTGGTAGGCAAGAACTTGGATGACATTGTTCTTGATGAAACAACAGACTGCTTTCTTGAGGTATGTTGTTGTGTACTTTTGCATTTGTCATAAGTTTTGGGTCCTGATGTAATTGGAGAAGAATGGCTAGCTGGAATTTGGATCTGAATAACCTAGGCATGGGTTCGAAGTATCCATTCAGTCAACGGACTGCACGAGAGGATCGTATTCAAGGAGGTGTTTTAAATTCGGTTTTAAACGGACAGGGAGAGTCTTGAAGACCATGTCTTGTTTGATGACTGTGACTCGAATAGCCACTTTGCATCCAAACAAAAATATGATGATTTTTGTATAGATGGTTGAATGAGTCTACGTAAATCTCTAAGTGTTTGCTACCATTGCTCAGCCCAGCCATAGAACTGCATGAATTTTTTATCAACTATTTCATCCATTTTAGGCATTGATGACAATCTGTCTATATTTCGTCAGAACATCTACAAACAAACGGGACTTTTCTTCTTGTGCAGATATATGCACCCTGGTGCGGACACTGTCAGGCTTTGGAATCTACGTGGACCAAATTGGCTAAGCGTCTCCAGTCCGTGAAGTCTATCGTCATTGCGAAAATGGATGGCACCACCAATGAACATGCTAGAGCGAAGGTAAGAAACTTCAACTATTCTAATCGATTTATTTCGATCACGGTAGCACTCGACTTCATGACACTCTTATGGATCTCCATTTGCAGCCTGGCTAACATGTTCATTTCCATCTAATCTGATGACTCTCTGCTGCTTGTTTGCTCGCAGTCCGATGGCTACCCAACTTTGCTCTTCTTTCCTGCTGGCAAGAAGAGTTTTGATCCTGTACGTAATTCCTCAGCCAACACATCTTGCATGGCAGTAAGGCATAGAACAAGTTCAAAACTAGGACAAGATTTTCTGACATTTGTTACGAAGTGACCGTGAATTTTAAATAGTATGTCCAGTTTTGTAGAAGAATGTTCATCAATTCTCATATCATGATTCATAATCAAGAAAGGCCTCTCTGATCTTTGAGCATGTAAGTCGTTTAGCATTAAGCCATGTCTGCATCATAATACAAAAATGGATATCGTGATAAATACAATTTTTGGCGACGAAAAAACTATTGAATTAGGTCCCTTATTCGAGGGATGTTGGAGTTAGGTCCACAAACAGATTTCATCATCTTAATTTATTCATTTCACTGCACTCTCGCAGATCACTTTCGATGGAGACAGGACACTTAAGGACTTCGTGAAGTTTTTGAAGAAGGAGGCTGCAATTCCTTTCACTGTTCCTAAGAAACCTGCCACTGTCATCGAGGATGTCACCGCGACATCAAAGATTGCGGAACCCAGCAACACTGCATCGGCTACCACTGAATCCAAATCCGAGAGTGGCATTGGTTCAGTTACTGAATCCGATGCGTCAGTAGTCAATGAGCCTCAGTGCACTAAGGAGTCCATGTGTGAATCTGACAATACGGCACCAGCTACTAAAGAAGCCGAGAGCACGTTAGAGGCGGTCACCGAATCCGTCACCAATATCCCTGAAAAGATTCAACACGTGATAAAAGACTCGGCAGATTCGATGAAAGATGAACTATGAGGTTTTTCCAACCTTCTGAAACAGTATTAGACTAGGAAGGGATATTCCCTTAATTCAGTGTTAGGTCGCAACCAGATTTCAATTTGAGTCTCCATAGAAACTACAAAGGATCCCGAGATTCTCACAAAGAGATGAAACAGGCAAATTTTTTTTAGTCTCATTTGTTCTCTTGTTGCGAGGTGTAACATAAATATTGTTTCACTGCAAATACACGTGAGTGGCACCATGAAAATGTAAAGAGCCTTGCTGTGTCCCACTTTCCGACTCCGCCACTGTAGTCTCATTAGGATGAATCTATCAAAGCTGAAGTGTCAAGGACACGTTCATAAATGATCCAAGTGTTGATTCGCTCGCGCATCCAGTCGAGGATATAAGACCTGTGTATAAGTGAGCGAGTCCTCAAGGTGGACCTTGGAGCATATGCATTTTCTTTCTCTATATATAGTTTCAAGAGCATAATGATGTCATTCATGGTTTGTAACGTGATGCGAAAATCAGAAGTACAGAATCCTGAGTCCTTAGTAGCAATTATATTGATAAGGTGCCCTGACGATAAAGGGCAGTCAATCTGCAATCTACAAGTGCCTGTGATCAAGGTTTCTACCTCTGTAGCAGGTATGCAATTTACTACAGATTATTCACCATCAATAAATTGATCAAATTCAAGAAATGTCTATGTACTAGACAGCAGCATCGTTACTCCATGAGCAGGGATCAAAGCGGGTATCTAATCAAACAAGTCCTCTCATACTTCCCATGTTTGTTTCTCTTTTAGATAACTTTGAAATGTCTTCTTAGAGAGGCGCAAGGTTCAGCGTTTCAACTTTTATTTATGAAGACTCCACAATAAAATGAGGAAATGACACTATCATGGAGGACCCTCCACCTTCGCATCAACATTGATAATCGACAATGTTTACCGACTCACCCAATTCTGAACATTCGCGATATTACTGGACATGGAATGGATTGGGTTGATAAAAGCCGATGATAACGTTTAATCCCAACAAAATCTACTCCAAGTCACCAGCGAGCTAAACAGGAATCCTATCACGTGGTTCAACCAGGGTTGATTAGTTAGCTTATTCTCTACGACAAGATAAAGACACCCTCTCTAGCCGTAGAACTTTCCTTAATCCCATGACCCAACTTGATTCGAATGGATCGCCCTCGGCTGCCAAACATTCCTGAAATAACATGATTTCCACATATAGACTCGATCTCCAGTAGCAGGTACTGTGGATAGGAAGTGTGAACTTGTGGGTGGACAATTTGGTGATACCCGAAGAGGCAGTGAACGAGGAATGACGCAGGTGCTCAGACTCGTTAACACAGTTTGACCACGTAAGGACAGAAGTTTTACATGCCAAGTGTCACTTCAAGTCTCTATTACAAGTGCCACAGAGGATGGATGCCTCCAGCTCCGAGATCACTCACTGAGCTCCGAGCCTCAAAAGGGGGTACATGTACATGGGCGTGTGCACCTATGGTGAATTGCTTGTGAAGGCTCGTGGGCATGTAGACACATAATCGGTGACTCCTTTAATTAGCAAACGCGGAGTGTGTATACCCACCGAAAAGTGGAGACATAGATACAGTCTCTAAGTTGCATTCTGCACAGTCGTGTGGAATTGCAGTTCGCACGAGCGTTTGCCAACATGGATCCCTACAAGGTTCACTCTCTATTCTCTCATGATTTTGATGCACTCTGTCGTTTGAAGGTCTTTTACTACTTTGGTAGATGATATTTATGAGCTTCGTTGTTGCCCAGGATTGACAGAATGTCGCCAAAGTGTAGTGATTAGAGATTATAATGTAGTGTTGTCCATGGGCATAAGGTTGCTGTAATGTGCACCCTTGGGTGTGGAGTTCTGATCTTGTTGTTTACATGAACCTTCACTATCAAGTAATGCGAAAAAGTGTAAACATTATGATGTGCTCTCAATTACAGTCGGATGATACGATGACTTGGAGAGGTTGCTTAAATCATTGTCTGACAGCGAAAAAAACTTGTGATTATGGAACAGTTTACTCCCTCGAGCAAGTACAACTCCAACCACTGGACAACCAATTCGGGTGCTCCTGTGTGGAACAACAATTCTTCTCTTACAGTCGGTCCACGTGGTAAGCATCATTTATCAAACCTCTGGTTTCACTTGCATTTGTATCATATAGTACTTATTCAGATTCAAAAATCTGTGTACTGTCGATATGGTTTTTGTCGGCAATTTCCTTTGGGTTACGTTTTTAGTTTAGTCAGGCTTTGGACATATCATGCCTGAGCGTTACTCAGATAGTGATGACCCAGAGTCTGGCATAACTTGATGTTTATGTGCCTGATCGTTGGTTTTGCTGTGGATTTGTGTGCAGGTCCTGTTCTTCTGGAGGACTACCACTTGGTTGAGAAGTTGGCTCAGTTCGATAGGGAAAGGATACCAGAGCGAGTGGTACACGCTCGGGGTTTCAGTGCCAAGGGATACTTCGAAGTTACTCATGACATCTCTCATCTCACCACAGCAGATTTTCTTCGAGCACCCGGCGTGCAAACCCCTTTGATTACTCGGTTTTCCACTGTCATCCATGAGATAGGCAGTCCCGAGACCCTCCGTGATCCTCGAGGATTTGCTGTCAAGTTTTACACTCGTGAAGGCAACTTCGACATGGTTGGCAACAACATTCCTGTTTTCTTCATCCGTGATGGCATGAAGGTACTTATGATCATATTTACCCTCTAAAATGTTTCAGAACCTATGACAGTGGACAAAACTCTGGACTTCATCTCAATGTCAGTTTCTGTATCATGAATGGGAAATTTAGTCGTTTGTGAATTATAAGAGCTGTAGAACTGGAAACGGTGGAACGCATGATTTGGGGTGATTATGATCATGATGCACGTTCAGTTTCTAAATAAGCAACTTGAATGCGATTTTGTGCAGTTTCCAGACATGATTCATTCCCTGAAGCCCAATCCGAAAACCAACGTCCAAGAAATGTGGAGGGCAATGGACTTCTTCTCTCATATACCCGAGTCGCTGCACATGTTCTCTTTCCTTTTCGATGACTGGGGTGTACCTTACAACTTCAGGCACATGGAGGGATTCGGAGTTCACACATTTAAGGTGGGGTTCTATTGTAGCTTTCTTTTTCTGTGAACGTTCTGAGGGCGGGTTTCACTGACCTTTGTTCAGATTTGCACCACATTTGTTTGAGTTTATGGAAGGAGAATTGATGGGCAATGCTAATTACATTGCGTATGGCCCTTGCAGCTCATAAATAAAGCAGGAAAGGAGACATACGTGAAGTTCCACTGGAAACCTTCATGTGGGGTCAAGTTTTTGCTCGAAGAAGAAGCTGTCATTGTTGGAGGTACAAACCACAGCCATATGACCCAGGACCTGTTTGACACCATCGCGGCTGGAAATTATCCGGAGTGGGGATTGTTCATCCAGACGATGGAACCGTGTATGGAAGATGCATATGACTTCGATCCCCTGGACGACACCCAAACCTGGCCTGAAGACAAGTTCCCTCTTCAAGTACGTGCCAATCTCTGCATTATTAATCGTCGTTTGAGAGTTAGCATTTTGGCTGTAGGTTCTACAAGTTAGTTCATCGACTCATGCATATTGAAATCGAGACAGGAAGCAGTTGGCACTCTGTTGGACTAGGATGTGGTTTAATTTGGTATAACTCGATGTGAACAGCCGGTGGGGAAGATGGTTCTGAACAAGAATATCGATAACAACTTCGCGGAGAATGAGCAACTGGCCTTCTGCCCGGGAATTATAGTTCCCGGAATCTACTACACAGATGACAAAATGTTCCAAACGAGAATTTTCTCCTACTCTGATTCTCAGAGACACCGTTTGGGTCCTAACTACCTCATGCTGCCCGTCAATGCGCCCAAGAACAAGCACCACAACAACCACCACGAAGGCTTCATGAACTTCATGCACCGAGACGAGGAGGTTTGTTATTTTTCCCGGCTGTTCGTTGGATCATAGACTCAACCCTCTAAAAGAACTGTAATTCAGCTGAAAAGGGGATTGTGAAATTGACGACATGAATCTTGTGGATGTAGGTGAACTACTTTCCATCACGCTATGACCCCGTTCGACACGCTGAGAAAAGCCCCCTTCCTCAGAACTCGTTTTCTGGAAAACGAGAGAAGGTAAGATCTTATGTTTGCGTGAGTTGCGTGTGGAAGGGAAATCCGAGTTCTATCTAAAGTTCTATCGTAGCGTTTTACTGGAGAAGCGGACGCTAGAATGTTTGTGAACGATGACGTTGTTACATTACTGCAAAATTCCTACTTGCTCATCGTTTTCATATGATTCGAGTCTAAAAATCATCCGAAAACTGTGCAGTTTCACTGAATTTGTTGGGCCTTCGTCGTTACGTGTTATAACAGTCCATGTCTTCCTACTGATGCAGGCGATTATCAAAAAGGAGAATAACTTCAAGCAGGCAGGCGAGCGCTACAGGACCTTCGATCCGGCCAGGTATGAGACTGCGTGCACTTACGATGTGTTTGGAGTTCATTTCTACCTGGGCTGCTGTTTGTGGAGGCTGTTGAAATAAATGTGAAATTAAGGGAGCCTCATTGAACATGAGGCTGTGGATTAGTAGAAGTATTGACGCATGTATGGTTCGGGTCGTTCTACAGGCAGGAGAGATTTCTCATGCGCTTTGTAGGGGTCTTGAGTGACCCGAAGGTCACGGACGAGGTTCGCAAAGCGTGGGTGTTTTACTGGACCCAGGTATGGATGTGCATGCTCTTACGTGTGTGAAGAACCTCTATCTTCACGAGCCGATGCAAAGGTCTCGTGAATTTTTGCACAGTCACTATTGAAAGGAGCGTAATAATCATTTTCGAAGTTGGCTCTATTGAAATTTTCACAGTCACCAGGGCATGGGGTTTATCGCCTTCGTGGCTGTGACAATTGCTGACGAGCACCGTTTACTGTGATGCAGGCTGACGCAAGTTTGGGCAACAAATTAGCAGCGAAGTTGAATATGCCAGCTATTCAGTCTGGGATGTAGATATTCCAATTACGGAGTTTGTTACAGAGCTGCGCGTAGCAAGAAAGTTGGCGGTAGTGTGAAGGCTTGGTTAGTTGTGTTAGTTTTGTACAATTCAATATTCAGGGTAGGATGAGTACTTGTGAACTGTAATATAATAGCTTCGCCCTGAGGAAATTCCGGTCCTCGAGCAGATGACAGGAGGATATTTGAAAAGAAATCGTCCAACTACTTTATGTGGAAGTTTATTTTACTTTGGGAGGTTGGAATAAATTTGACGTGTTCAAAGACCTGGAAATACGAGCTGTTTGATCTATATACCAACTACTGATGCGCATCCAGTAAAACTAGTATAACTTGTCATCATCAGGGCAAATCGTCTTAAGTGTAGTCTCATGTGCTAAATGTTTTTATAGAAGAAGAATGATATGATTTGGATGTATATACGAGAAGAAGAACATCATCTACAATATACTAAAATATTTTTTTTTAGTGTATTGTAGTAATGTATGAATCAATAACCGAGACAAGTATGAAACTATTTATGAATTTTTAAACTTTACATTCTACTAGTCTAGGTATAAAATTGTCCATAGATCGTAAAATGGTTATTTTACACAGAACATGTTCGTTGGCTAATTTGGCAAGTCTTCTTTCTCTTTACGCTGAAAATGTTAATCACGAGTGCTGCTGAAATTTAACATATAGCATTTAGCATTAAGTGTCATCGACCTTTGTAACATGATTGTGGCTGAAAATCCATTCACATGTTAAAGCGGGCACGGACTTCAATCGATAAGAGGAGAAAGCGAAAATGTGAGAAGGTAAAGTCGAGACAGATTCTGAAGTAAAATTTTGATTTTTTTTATGATTGGCAATTTCATAATATATATTTCGAAAGTAGACGAAAGCATCTGCGATGTTACCCGTAGCCGAGCGGCTCCATAGCGGGAGCAGACATAGTCTATTAAAATATCTACAGACAATCGAGATCTCACTTCTGAAGAGAGAACTCATTTCTAAGCGGTAGCGGTGACCTGAGCTTGGTTTTGCTTCAGATATTGTTCCAAGAGTCTGAACGACCTTGTCAACATTTCTTTGGTCTCGTCAATGAAGCCTTCGTTGTTGTCTAGGTCACCGCCGTCATACTCAATGGTGAACTTCAGTTTACACTTGGTGTCATCGATGGCCACCACTTGGCTGGCAAAAATCCATTTGCTGAAACCTTGGGTGAGATGGCCTCCTTCGATCTCAGCCCAGGTCACACATAACTTCTGTGGTTGAAGGCCTACCAGCTTTTCCTTAACGTATGAACCTTCGGGAGCTACTATGTACACGATTCGAGCCAACACAATCCGAGGGAGGTTAGCAATCCACTTGATGCCAAAGATAAAGTGGAAAAGTACTCTCAAGCATGAATGAACTTGTGGTGCGATGGCACGAAATCTCTACGCAGTTTTTTGTATAAGACAAACGTTTCAATACCTATGGATCAAATGTTTAGTTGAGCTATGAAATGAAAATCAAGCTTCATATTCAACTTTTCCGTGCATTCTCAATCTGATGTGGGAGTTAAGCTAACTTGGCTCTTCATTTAAATGCTAGTGTCTGTGAGCTCCATACACTGCAGACCACGAAAACAAGGGCGCAATAAGTTGAACCCTGTCCTATGTGTTGTCAATGGATTGATGTAAAGGTAGGAACTATGATTCCAGATATAAGCATCTTCTGTGCCCCCGAAGTGCTAATTCCAGTCTCGTCACTCAGGATGCCACAGAGTTAGAGCGACCAGGGGTTCAGAAGCTTCATCTCAGCCAAAGGGATCAGCCATTGTCAGAGATGTCAGAATCCTCGGACAGGTGGTCTCGTTAAGCTCGTGGCCATACCTATCGATGCTCTCTCTAGCTGTAAGAGAGCACACCCTACACCTGCGTTTCGCTGCCCCATGCAGATCGTCTATGTCTTTCCGTCTGTGAGACTCTGATCTAGAGATCTGGGGGAATGCAATTCAGACTCTGGAGAGGTACTGCAGAACACCAGTTGGGGAACAGGTATTGCAGGAAGGATCATCACCCCTACAAATGCAAGTGATTCTCTGATTACTGAGCCAAAACCTTTGCTTGGTCATTAATAGCACCCATCTGCTTCATCAGTTCCTTCCCAGTCTAAATTAAAAGCTCGTCTCGTGATGAGTCACACAAACGGTTGGTATCTCTACTACCACAATTTCAATCGCTGAACAACAAGCTTGATAGTTTGGATCGTAACTGCCAGAAAAATATTAGATTCTCACCAGAGTCCTTCAGCTCCTAAAGAAGATGAGGAGGGATGCACCAAAGTCTAAACGATTGTGTGGCTCTGTGGGGAGAATCCGTATAGGAATAATTTGGAACAAAGCAATTCTATTGTTGCGAATGTGACAGAGGGGATCGGAGATGAGTCATAACTTGAGACCCTCCTGGCTGCAGAGTTGCCAGTCGAAAATTCTTGATCTATGACCTCGGTCTGGTTGTGCTGTTGAAGATAGTGATCTTCAACAGCCTCACCAGAGCAACACGAGAGGCAGGGGAAACGTGAGAGAGCCGAACACGAAGTGCAGTAAAGCATATGCAGAGAGTAGCCCGAGGGGAAATTCACGTACCAGGGCCAAATTTAGTGATACGGACGGATCCGAGCTCCCCTGCGCCTTGGATGAATCTCATGCTGGCGATCTCCTCTGGAAGGATTTTGGGAAACACTGCAGTATGATCTTTCACGGATGCCCAATACCTGGCACCCGAGATTCCCAGCTCCATCTCGTGCGTAAAGACCGGCATAATTGGTTGCGAAGGTTCAAACAAGGATGAAATTAGCAGCGAGCAGTTCTCTCAAGATCTCCGAAATCCGAACCAGAACCGAGAGATCTACAGCCCCAGCAGATCGAGTTGTGTCGCTTGACCTCGAGAGCTCTTTATCCGAACCTGCTGTGGGGGGTTTGAAATATCTGTATCAGACTTGAGCGAATCGTTTCAAAGCTGTCCTCGTCTTAGGAGCATTCAGGCAGACAATGTCAGTAGATCTAAGTTCGCCATCTCGGGATCGAGCCTATATTGCCATGCTTCTCCATCCACACCCCTCTGCATCCCGTCCCCTCACCTCTCGCACAAGTAATGTCTCCTCGTCCCGTCTCCACTCCCTTCCTTTCCCAGGGGGCCGGGACCCGGTCAAGGAGTAGTCATGGCGACTAGATCTTTCGATAAGTCCAGGACATGTGTCTTTCACTTTTGGTTTAACAGTAGTTTATTGCTCTAGTGGACTGGTCGTGGTCGACTGTGCAATATATTTCCAGAAAATCATGCCTGCCCACAGTGAATCGCCCTTGCCAAATTTCATGCTCGCTACAAAGATGGATGCTCTGCTGCCCATGTCAAGCAGGCGCCGAGAATATCCGCCTGCATCTGTTCACTCCCCTTCAAGGCTGCATCTCCGATCCGTCGTCAACCGGCCATCAACGAGTGATGCTCATGTTCTGTCCGTTTCGTGACTCTGGCCCATTCCCTCTTTTTCTTATTCCGTCCGATGGCAGTTTATTTGCAGGTCAATGCTCTTGGCATTCCTTGCGTGATATTGCGGATGAGACAGGTGAGAAACTCCTCCCCTCCCCTCCCCTCCCCTCCCCTCAACTGCTTACCGGCCCATCCGCTCTTCCTCCTATGCCTCTCACCTCAAGGATCAGATCTCAGACCCTCAGGCTGAGTATGATCACCAGATCTGAGCCGAGCCGACACGAGCAGAGTTGAGGTCAGGTGAGAGGAGCTGAACCGAGTTGCGTACTCGTGAGACTACCGATCCATCATCACACTGAAGGTGACGCCGGCCCTCATGGAAGCTTCGAAAGTGAGGTCCATGTTAGCAGCATTGTGAAGCGAGGCTGTAGCATCGGGGCAGGAAAAGTCCAGTAGCTGGAATATCAGATCTGCCATCTGCTAACAGCTGCGGATTATCTTCATGATCATCGGCACCATGCCTCACGTTGGACTAGAAGTTGGGCAGGTTGTGTGGGCTGGTGAAGGTCGTCGAATGGCCGACGAGGTCTTTGTCAGCAATGTTTGCGGTCATGGCCTAGAGTCACGTCCTCTGGAGCTCAGCCAGGTTTTACCAAGGTCATGATCATCTGCCTGCCCTGCCCTGCCTTGCCCTGCTGGGCAGATCTGGCCAACTTACAGATGTTTGATCTCCAGCCGAGGATCAGGTGATGCGCCTAGACTGCTAACTGGGTGTGATTAGCAGTCTAGATGCTAGATCAGAGCTGCCGACGTTTACTCATGGCTTGGTCGTAGAGCTCGAGTATTACCGCCAGATAATGACTACGACAATGCAAGCTGCCGGATTCTCTCCACATATACTTTGATGAATTTCCAAGTCTACATAGTTTATAACGTAGACCACCGAGATGCCCGGATCATGTGGGGCGCAATAATCAATCGGGGAAGCATCCGGACCCGAGCATTGAGGCCAGACGCTAGCAGGGACCGTCATGACCTTGGCTTCCTGCATACTCAGGGGATTGGCTTGGCCCACTAATCATGACAGTTCACATGTAGTAAACTGAACCCCAGCGTTTGATGCGTGAGTACCGTGATGTGTAACAGAGTATTGCTCTTGGTGGCAGATATCTAGAGTATCCATAATCGAAGTAGCTCAATGTCGGGAGGTTTAGCGTACAATATGTCTCTACCTTTTCTAGAGGAACGGCGAGGCTCCAACTACCCAGAGGGACCTTGCTTGACTAACAGCACAGAGCTGTTGGGTTCAAAAACTCTAAAATCTCAATCATCCCGTTGATGAAGATTGAGTAAAGAGAAATCTGAGCTCACCATATGCGTCGTTAACTACACCTTGATCCTTGCACGCTTGGATGCTTGAGACTTTGGCAGCTGGATCGGGGCTATATTGCAAAGATACTTCGACCGTAGAAGCACACTGACTTCAAAGAACTCGTGTCCCGTACAATAGGAAGAGTACAAGAGTATTCTAGTGCAAGGAGTGGTGATACTACAGTGGATTCAATGGGCCCTCCGAAACTAGAAGATGGAGCGAACATGATAAAAGTTGCGCATCTTCTGTAGTTCTGACTAGTTCGAAGCACAAGGAGCGTAATGCACTCAAAATATTATATGGTGATCGGAGTCATCCTTTGATAGAGGGATCGACAGAAGTCCTCCTAGAAGCTTGGAGGAATAAAAGGCTGCAATTTAGCATCAAGTTTCTCGTTCCATTTCTGATTTCAGTCTTCAAAAATGACGAAACTTCCCCCCTGAAACTTGTAATTGTAGATGTTCGTGGGAGGATATGGTCTGGATCGCGCATGTGTCCATATGAAAAAGTTAAAGAGTAAAAGAGAACCAAATTTGAGAGATAGCGAGTGGAGAATCCAGAAAGGATTTTACAGATCTGGAAACGAGAAATTGTAGATGATTACAATTTCATTGCTGTGAACATGAGACCCTTGCGGAAAGATAAAGATTGGATGACACTCTGAGATAGGAGTTAATTCATCGAAACCCATGAAGTCTTAAAATAATGGACAAATGCGATTTGAGGGAACATGTGCCACAGTTATCTTGAGCGCAGCATGTCAAAGAATTCTCTGATTACATCTGATAGGTCATATTTAATCAGAGTTCTTACGCTCCCAATGTTCACGGAGACCAATGCCAATCCTTGAGTCAAACTTGAAGATGGAATATACAGATTCAAGAGTGCGATGAAACAAATACAATCTCGACACGCAGGGAAAGTCACAAGCAACACCAGATCGCATTTATAAACTTCAGGAGAAAGAACGTGTTCAGAATCTTCACTCTGGACTAAAACTTCGAGCTGAATTGTCGACCTATATATATAATACTTAATTGTACAACGTTATCTTCTGGGTGTCATGATCTTTCATCAGAGTTCACGGTTCCACCGGACATCTAGAAATACTTGTGCACCATTGCACACTTTCTGAGCCAGATCGGCAGCTCTGTAGAATATCATGTTGAATCTTCTTCGGATTCACAATCGATTCGGCTGCAGAAGAGAAAAAAATCTCTGACATGATACCTGGCTTATTCTGTGGAGCAATACATCATGCTTTATATACACTCCATATGCTAGATTCAATCGAGTCCGATAGAAATATGGTCTATTGCGTTCGATGAGTTTCGCACTGGAAGCGGGACGTGTCTACATCCCAGACTGGATCATTGGCATGTTAAGCCTTTGCGCCATCTTCTTGCCCAAAGTCTGATCGGCCTGGAAAATAGAGAGGTAGGTATTGAGTTAACATCAACCTTTGGTCTGGTTAGATGATGAAAGTTGTGGTTACAGCGACTCAAAGCCAGATGTCGAGTCAGTAAGATGGCCCACAAGAGCATGATGAGGCCCCTAGCAGAATCTCTCTGTGTATGCATAGATTTCCGATACCATGAAGAAAAGTTCGCAGATGTATGTATGCAGACTTGACTAGTTATATCACCACGTTGCCAACACACTCTTTGGTCCTGATATCCCTCTAAAGGTTTCGGGCGATATGCTTTGAGGATTTTACCTGAGCACAGTAGTACACCCAGACTTTGCGAACCTCGTCTGTCACTCGTGGGTCTTTTAGCGAGTCCACGAATCGCTTGATGAATCGCTCCTGCCTGCTTACCAACATAATCTGTATTATACTCTGCATGAACACCATGCTTATCTTCATACCATCCATCAGCTTCGAGTAGATCACTATTAACTTCCGAGTATCCACTTACTTGATACTCAACTACAGCTTAACCTCTTGATGAACGTTATCATTGCGGCCTTCTGAAGCTCGAACAACAGCCTGATCACAGACTTTAATGCCTCAAGGTGCTCTAATTCTCCATCCAAAAGAAGTTGACTCCCTCAAGATAAGTATAAGAATCGCCAAGATCTACAAAAGCGGTTTACCTTGCAGTGTCAAAGGTTCGGTACAACACGCCTGGCTGCTTGAAGTTGTTCTCCTTATAAATGACAACCTACAGGACAAGTTGATAGAACATGGTTTAGATCAAGCACCCAAACAACTGCAATCAAGATCAGTCATCTCTTCAAGTGTGCAGCCATGATTCTCAGAATCAAACGAGGAGATTGATCAAAGCCAACAGAGTAAATGGTGGGAATACAAAGGCTCCACAAATATTCCGTCACTGGCGTCAATGGCCTCTTTGGATTCAGTGAGAAATTGCACATCCATACTCTGGCGTTACCTTCTCTCTCTTGCCGGAGACGATGTCCTGAGAAATGGGCGTTTTCTCCGATACACGAACAGGGTCGTGGCGAGATGGGAAGTAGTTCACCTGCGATCCAAATCATGACTCCTCCGTCAGGGATACTGTCAGCCACGTTGAAACAAGGAGATTCAGTCATGAGAGAAACGACTGCCCTTGTACATTGATCTGTAGAATAGAATCCGCTTACCTCCTCGTCTCGGTGCATGAAGTTCATGAAGCCCTCGTGGTGGTTATTATGTTTGGGGCACTTGGGGGCATTGACGGGTAGCTGCAGAAAGTTGGGCCCCAGACGGTGCCTCTGCGTGTCGCCGTACGCAAAGATTCTGGTTTGGAACATTTTATCGTTAGAGTAGTAGATGCCGGGAACGATGGTGCCGGGAGAGAAGGCTAACATCTCGTTTTCGGCGAAGTGATTGTCGATGTTTTTGTTCAGCACCATCTTTCCTACAGGCTGTTCAGCATGGACATGTCAGAAAGTCGCACTTCGAAGCATGCGTCGCATCAAGCTTCCTATCTATAGACTTGAGCAGTGATGGCCTAAACCACTCACAGAGGAAGTTTACCTTCCAGCCATCGCTACAATTGCAATGGTCGGTGTGCTTAATCATACATAGAATCTCTTCAGGAGAGAAGGGGACGAGAACGTGCTCGTGTTTTCTGCTGATCTTGCTGGCTAGAAGGATAGAGACGAGACCGGTAGAACATTCTGGGACCTCATTGTGGAGCACTGACCTGAAGAGGGAACAGATCCTCGGGCCAGGTTTTGGTGGTGTCCAGAGGATCGAAGTCAACTTTATCCTCCATGCTCGGATCCATGGTCTGGATGTAGAGAGACCACTCTGGATAATTTCCAGCTGCAATGTTCTCGTACAGGTCTTGAGTCGCATGACTGTGGTTGGTTCCTCCGACAATGATCGCTTCTTCGTCCAGCAAGAACTTCAGCCCACATGATGGTTTCCAGTGCCACTTGATGAAAGTTTCCTTTCCTGCCTTGTTGATAAGCTGCGCAATCCATTTTTCAGTCAGGCCAAATCAACTGCCTCTCAAAAATTACAAATCACGGAAATGCGTCAAATTAGTGACTAAGTGCATCACAACACCTCCAGGTGTGCCTGTCATACATTGATCTCACATTCCAGACTGGAGTCAGCTGCTATTTCCCAAGCAAGTACCCACGTTAAGGTCGAAGCACATTGCTTTCAATGGGAACAAGCTAATGCCACCCACGTCAATGTACCGAGCAGAGTATCGTGCACTACTCTACACGACCTTGCGAGGCAAAATTTCCCTCTTTGACCTGCCAACATAAAAATACCGACGCTCGACTGGGAAGATGGTAACACCTCATTGCTGGAAAAGTTACAGCACGAGGGGCATGAACTCGTCTATCGTACGTACATGCGAACTGCCTGCAGTATTGTCATAGAGCCCGAGGTGGGGGCAGAATAAATGCACCTTGTATGTGTGAACCCCGAACCCCTCCATGTGTCGGTAGTCCGAAGGAATACCCCAATCATCGAACAGGAACATGAACGTGTGAAGACTCTCAGGGAAGTGAGAGAGGAAGTCCATCACTCGCCAGTACTCCTGGATGTTCGTCTTCGGGTTGGGCTTGAAGGCATGGATCACGTCGGGAAACTGTAATGTGAAGCACGGTCCGTCAGATGCGATCGAAAAGCACAACGAAAGAATAGAATGCTCGCCATAGAGTGTTCATTCGCCAGAGAAACAATGTGCAGCAATCTGGTTCATATCCGATCCCATTAAATAAAGTGCGGACACACGAGCTTATCATCACCTGGATAGCATCACGGATGAAGAACACGGGCGTATTGTTGCCGACGATGTCGAAGTTTCCTTCTCGTGTGTAGAATTTGACTGCAAAGCCTCGGGGGTCACGGATGGTCTCGGGACTACCTCTCTCGTGGATGACAGTCGAGAATCGTGTGATGAGTGGAGTCTGGACTCCAGGTGCTCGCAGGAAATCGGCACAAGTGAGATGGGAGATATCATGGGTCACTTCGAAGTAGCCCTTGGCACTGAACCCTCGTGAATGCACCACTCGCTCAGGGATTCTCTCCCTGTCGAAGTTAGCCAACTTCTCAATCAGGTGGTAGTCCTCCAACAACACCGGACCTGCACACGAACACACGAAGTTGAGTACAATGCACGAGCCGATCGACCCATCTTCGTGATATTTCCTGCCTACCTCTGCAGCATGTGGCTGCAGAGGTAGGCACACTGCTAGCAGCTGCAGACTAGCTACACAACGTCATGACACTGCATATATCAGAGTTGCAGAAGTATGGATCAACTCGAGGTCCTAGATATGAAACTCCCATTGCACTTCTCGGTATGAACTGACAAATCGGCCCAGCTTGGTCCAAGTTTCAAACAGAGCATCAAGCATCACTTACCACGCGGGCCCACGGTGAGAGAGGAGTTGTTGTTCCATACTGGAGCACCAGAGTTTGTCGTCCAGTATGGGGAGTTGTGCTTGCTCGAAGGAACGAACTGAGTCATGACAGGCAAGCATGAGAAACTCCATTAGACGCATGAAAGATGAAGGACAGCCCAAGAGTAGCAATGCGTTCTTTCTAATTGCTACAAAAGTTAAATCATGCGTTGCAGAACATCGCCATTTTGTACGTGTGCAGTAGGAGATTGGGAGACGTAAGCTCGAAAATAAGTGCTTCACAATCGGCAGGAGAAGAGTGAGGACATCTTTTAAAGAGTTCAAGTCCATTGATATTTCACACGGCAGATAACTGTACACAACCCCAAGCGAAAGATTTCAACTTGACAGCACTGCATGCAATCGACGATCACGTCTGCTGACCATAATAGCCACATTATTCGACTTTCTACGTACAAGTGCTCGTGAAGAGTGGAGATGTGCACGATTACAACTAGGCAGATGTACAAGCGAAGTGGTGAAAAGTCGAGACCTTTGAGTGCTTCGATCAACCTCAAGCAGAAACAGAACGAACCTCGAAGGGGAGCATCGGGTGTATGGACATACATTTACAAAGATAGCGCAAGAGCAAACATTTGGCTGTCATGCGCAGGCACACTGTCAGCCAGAAGTCAAAGCACTAAGGTACATCAAACCTTATATGGATCCATGTTGATTGTCAAGTCTCTGAGACCGTGAAGCTTTCTTTCCCTCTGATCCTCTCTGAGAATGTTCTCAGGAGTCGTCACCGGCTGCTGAAGTTAGAAGCACACGAATGCCTGAGGAATGCACACTCCTCTGGCCTTTTTGTAACTACCCAGTCCTCAGAAAGGCCGTGCCACACCGCTCACTAAAGTTGTTAAGAATTTTTCATCAACGTAAAGCAGCTCATGTTAAGCACCCCGTGCTTTGAATGACTTTACTTTTATCCTTATCTCCATTCACCTAATCTGTATTGGCTGCAGATTCCACCCGCGTCTCTTGTGTGAGAAAGAGTTTTCACTTTTCAGGGCTCATATTGCAGCTATCTCAGGTTTTGTACCTTGTTACTTTCCAAGGAATGGCTTAGTTTTGATTATTTGCAAATTTCCACGTTGTAACTGACAGATAAAACATTTTGATAACCTGAAGTAGAAAGAGATCAAGGGTAGCTAAAAAGAGATCAAAACTTTAATATAAAACATAATAGCGTTGGAGGCTTGTTTAAAAGTTCGAGCTTTGCTTAAATTTGCAAGATGAGAGATGGTGAATTGTGTTGTGTTTTCTATGAATTGGTACTTATTCAAATATTCTCTCGATATTCGCCAAACGATGAACTAAAGTGGCCCAAACTATTCATTTTGGATATGGGCATGAGCAGAGTGATCTGAATTGTCACTCTTGAATCCAGAATTAAATGTCGGATAAGGCATGTGCCAAGCACGGGCTCACTATTTGCACTTTCCAATCTTCTATCCACATTATGCTGTCAATCCCAATTATCATGGTATTCTCACTGGATTGTATCCTTCACAGGTACTTTATCACGACAAAGACGAGCGTAGTGATGTAAAGGCTGTGACAAGACCAGAGGATCCGAGATAACTGCTATGATGTGACTTTTTTTTGGAGTACTGCCTCGGTTGATAAAGGCTGGAACGCACTAGGACGAATCATCAATTAAGCACTAAGAGAATTCTACAATAAACGTATCGTACAATTTTCATAGCGCAGCAATTGTTGCGAATGGATGCTAAACTAGTACTTTGAATTGTTTCCTGGAGAATAGATCGGAACAGTTGGCAGCTTCAGACCGGAAGTGTGAGTCATACATTCTGTCTTGTTGTACGTCCTTGTCTGAACGCATCTTCTATTGACTCCATAGTTGTTGCCCAGGCATTGGATCATAAACATGAATAATGACGTTGCACTCCGGCCTCACCCACATGCATATGTGGCCGCGTACCCAAACTATCAAACGGTGGGTGAGATGTGCGAACTCCCCGAAGCTGCAGTTGGGAGACTTCGATGTAGGGGAGGTCGCAATAAATAACGGATCACATGACAGATCAGTAAGTAGTGAGAGCAAAGTCTCTCTTACCCACGTGAAGTGCATGAAACTGCAGTTGCAGATCTTGAAATTCCAAGCTCATTTTGTAGATTGATAATGAAGTGGATTTATAGAATACATGGTCCGATTTAAAGTATCTTTCAGATTTAGAGATTCTATTGAGGATACATTTGCATTTGGATGATTCTGCAGATTATAGAGGACTAAATCTTAGAGAGCTATCCATCAGTTACCTTTCTGTGCTGAAACATTCATGTCTGAACTAGGCAACCTGAAATCCAGACCTGATACTGAAAAATTGCACATGACTTAACCGCATCATGCTGTTCTTCTTTCTCAATGAAACGTCTTACAACGTAGAGATCACTTCGGACTAAATCTTACACCAACTTCCACAAAGAGTGCTGGACAACGTCAGAAATATCATCAATGAAGATGGATACTTTAGGGACGAAATAGAGCGTATAGACACATGTCCAGGAGGACTGAATACATTACGGATTGGAAGTCTAAAGTCAATATTCAATCAAGGCGAAATTCTGTCAATGTCCTATTGTTCTGCTGTCAGATTAAGAAATTTGTTTTGGTTCTACAAAGTCTGTTTTAGTTGAACATTACTCTGCACTAGATGCGTACGACGGGTGTCTGACAGCCGTACACAGTGTTCGATAGAAAAGTTTTAGGAAAGTATTATAGAAAGGATTTTTAAAACGTTTGCTACGAATGAGCTCATGAAATCATGCTCCCTTGTCTGCAGTACGCTCGTACACTCATTACAAGCTAATCCGAAGTCCAAGACTGATGAGTTTGGTACAGATGGTGATGCAACCAATGAACTATAACGTGGGAAACTTCTAAAATTCTCATCGCATTGTAACTGGTTGTACATCTCACTGTGGATAGACCCAAGATTTGCTTGCTCAGTGGCATGCAGGAATTCATATGTGCGAAGTTCTGAAGCTTTGAACTAGCGGCGAGCTGGCAAATGGTCCATCTTAATGTCACACACAAAGGTACCAAACCTTTTGCTTACCCACCCTACACGAACAAAACCTTCTTAAGAACTAGATTCATATCAGCCTCCGATATATACTTTAAAATTGACGACGGAAATTGGCATAAAAAACTTGGACCTATCAAACTGTATTATTTTTCGATGTCTCATGATAAGCCGTAGAGCATGGCTAGAGGTCACCCATATTGCTTATATGAGATATCAGCTTGAGTTACATGTCCTTTTTTCTTTTAAACTTTGTGTCGTTTTTGTGGTTTAGTAATAGCTTGTTTATGAGTCAATATCCTATTCGATGTATAGAAAACGAAGGCTTTGATTCATTTTGATTTTTTACCATTCTAAGGTACCTATATAAGTCAAGATGATATAAAGTCAATCAGCGGATTAATGGATAAATAGAGTGAGGAGATTTCAAGAAATGTCAAGAGTGAGATTGGGAGACACAATGAGAGAGAGAATCATCTGTGAGAAAATGTTAGTCTTGCCTATGAAACAACAGTGATTATCTCTTTGTGTATTTCTCACCCGACTGAAATCTTGTAGCGAAGTCAAAAAAAGTATCAAGTCCGACGACAATGATCTTGGATATATACTCGAGCTAACTCTATTGAGGAGTTCGCAGGGACTTGACTTTTGAGCTGAACTTCATCAACCTGAACCTTGTGTTTGTTTGGTGTGTGGACTGAGATTTTTTACAGGTTATGGGGATTTAGATGCCTAAAGTGGTATTAGAGCGTGGTAGCATCTATCTTGATTTCACAACTTGGTCTCATTTCTCTCCAACTCTTTACTCATCCTTGTGTACTTGGAAGCATCGAGTCGTCTCACTGGGCGCACCAGCGATCCAGAAAGGAGCGACGACCTTCCACAGCAAAGCACAAACTTGATTTTGTCTCAACTAGGCATATTGAATCTCAATTCTTGGAATCCTTCGACAGGACTGAGAATTGACATTGAAAAATTTAATGGCACTAGAGATTTTTGCATCTGGCGCCGTAAAGTTTCAGCTCTTCTCGCCCAACAGAGATTGCTCAGGATCATCTCCGACCCAGTGCTATGGCCTGAAGACATACTTCAAGATAAAAGAGAAGAAATGTTAGAACAGCTATGAGTACAATCGTTTTTCATCTATATGATTCGATTATCCGTCTAATTGACATGGAAAACATAAGTGTGGAAGAAGCTTGAGGAGATGTTTCAATCTTGCTCTCTCTCCAACAATATCTACGTGAATGAGAGTCTCTTTGGGTTCAGGATGGATGTATCACCCAAAGTCATTAGAAGCCAACTTAGATGAGTTCTTGAAGATGATTATTGAACTCGCAAATGTTGCCGACAAAGAAGAACTCAGCAATGAGAATAAGAAAATCATTTATCTCAATTCTCTTTCAGATACATACATGGAGGTGAAATTGACAATCAAGTACGGGAGATCATCTATCATCATAGATAAAGTGATATCCGCGCTCAAATACTAAGACTTGGAAATCAGAGTAGACAAGAAAGTTTCTGGTGATGGCAAAAATCACATGGCTTGTGGCAAACAGCAGCGCAAGAATACAAATGGAAGCAACTCAAAGCTCAAGAATCATGGCAAAACGAGAATTGCTTCTATTGCAACAAGAAGTATCATATTAAGAAAGGTGGTTACTCATGGATCAAAAAAACAAGGAGTATCAAGCTAGCATATCACAAGATCACCAAGATTCAGCAATTTATGGTGATGGCTACAATGACGGCAAAGTTTTGATGGCATCAGGAAGCTCAAGTCCTTAGAATGAATTCTTGACTCTGGTTGCACCTTTCATATAAAACATAACAAGCATTGGTCCAATAGCCAAGTTCATTAAGTTCTTAATGAAGGGAAGGTAATAATGGGTAACAACCATTCAGCTGCTAATATAGGATCTGTTAGCATTAAGATGGTTGATGTTGTTATAAGAATTCTTGAAAATGTTAGATGGGTACCTGAATTGTCTAAAAACCTGATCTCTATTGGCATTCTTGATGACTAGGATTATACTAACTATAGAGAAGTGCTTTATGTATATTGCAAAAGGTGCTAGTGTTTTGAAGAGTATCAAGATAATCTGTCTCTATTATCTCATTAGAGATACTCTTCATGGAGTTGCGTCAGTTGCCACTTCTCAAAATGACATCAAAGTCTTAGCCATATCAGTGAGAAGAGTTTACAACTGATGAGCAACCAGAATCTGCTAGGAAAAGACAAAGTCAGCAAAGTTGAATTCTGCAAACATTGCATTTTGGCAAAGCAACACAAACAGAAATTGCCAATTGGAAAGCACACGTCTACACAAGTTCTTGAGTACATTCACTCAGATTTGTGAAGATCCTCAAGGACAGTAAAAAATGATGGTAACTTCTATTTCTTATCTATCATTGATGATTTATCTAGAAAAGTTTGGATATATTGTTTTAAAGAGAAATATAAAGAATGGAAAGTTTTGGTTGAGATTCTGATTGAGAAAAAGTTTAAAACTCTAAGAACTATTAATGTTCTTGAGTTTTGAATTGATGAGTTTAATCTATTTTGTGCCAATGAAGTCACAAGTCAATTCAAAGGCATAAAAGCATGAGACTAATCCCTCAGTAACTCCGTTTTGCTGAAAGAATGAACAGATCATTATTGAACAAGACAAGAAGCATGCTATTTAATTCCGGTTTGGCTAAGGCTTTCTGGGGTGAGTCAATGATCATAGCGACATATCTTGTGAAGAGATATCTTTCAAGTGCCAT